CCCTAACCCTAACCCTAACCCTAACCCTAACCTAACCCTAACCCTAACCCTAACCTAACCCTAACCCTAACCCTAACTAACCTTGAACATGTAGCAAATTGAGAGCAAACCAAAATGAGTCATTCGCCACCAACTGGAGAACACCCCCATATTGCCTGGAAACAAAAAGTGCAGGAGTTGATGAATACTAGAGTAGATGAAGGTTCCTAGATGTTTTTGGGGATGTTTTCTGAGACATATTCCACTTTAAGCGAAATCCATCCACTCAGAGTTTCAGAAAATGCATTTTGGCAATATTTTCATAGTCAAAAATCGGAAAAACAGATTTTCCCGGGGCATTGAGTGGAAAACATGCCCCAAAACTTGAAGCACATTACAGTAAGATGCCCCTGAACATTGCTAGCAACTTTATATGACACTTTTTGGATGGCCAAAAATAACCCATAACCGGGAACAGTCCTGTAACCCTAACCCTAACCCTAACCCTAACCCTAACCCTAACCCTAACCCTAACCCTAACCCTAACCCTAACCCTAACCCTAACCCTAACCCTAACCCTAACCCTAACCCTAACCCTAACCCTAACCCTAACCCTAACCCTAACCCTAACCCTAACCCTAACCCTAAAACCCTAACCCTAACCCTAACCCTTGAACATGTAGCAAATTGAGAGCAAACCAAAATGAGTCATTCGCCACCAACTGGAGAACACCCCCATATTGCCTGGAAACAAAAAGTGCCAGGAGTTGATGAATACTAGAGTAGATGAAGGTTCCTAGATGTTTTTGGGGATGTTTTCTGAGACATATTCCACTTTAAGCGAAATCCATCCACTCAGAGTTTCAGAAAATGCATTTTGGCAATATTTTCATAGTCAAAAATCGGAAAAACAGATTTTCCCGGGGCATTGAGTGGAAAACATGCCCCAAAACTTGAAGCACATTACAGTAAGATGCCCCTGAACATTGCTAGCAACTTTATATGACACTTTTTGGATGGCCAAAAATAACCCATAACCGGGAACAGTCCTGTAACCCTAACCCTAACCCTAACCCTAACCCTAACCCTAACCCTAACCCTAACCCTAACCCTAACCCTAACCCTAACCCTAACCCTAACCCTAACCCTAACCCTAAACCCTAACCCTAACCCTAACCCTAACCCTAACCCTAACCCTAACCCTAACCCTAACCCTAACCCTAAAACCCTAACCCTAACCCTAACCCTTGAACATGTAGCAAATTGAGAGCAAACCAAAATGAGTCATTCGCCACCAACTGGAGAACACCCCCATATTGCCTGGAAACAAAAAGTGCCAGGAGTTGATGAATACTAGAGTAGATGAAGGTTCCTAGATGTTTTTGGGGATGTTTTCTGAGACATATTCCACTTTAAGCGAAATCCATCCACTCAGAGTTTCAGAAAATGCATTTTGGCAATATTTTCATAGTCAAAAATCGGAAAAACAGATTTTCCCGGGGCATTGAGTGGAAAACATGCCCCAAAACTTGAAGCACATTACAGTAAGATGCCCCTGAACATTGCTAGCAACTTTATATGACACTTTTTGGATGGCCAAAAATAACCCATAACCGGGAACAGTCCTGTAACCCTAACCCTAACCCTAACCCCTAACCCTAACCCTAACCCCTAACCCTAACCCCTAACCCTAACCCTAACCCTAACCCTAACCCTAACCCTAACCCTAACCCTAACCCTAACCCTAACCCTAACCCCTAACCCTAACCCTAACCCTAACCCTAACCCTAACCCTAACCCTAACCCTAACCCTAACCCTAACCCCTAACCCTAACCCTGATCTGCTGGGGAGGAAGGGAATGGACGAAAAGAGGCCGGCTATTTATAGATAGGCAACCCAGCAGATCAGAGAACAACAACAACAAGAGGGGACTGGGGGGCGCCAGCTATGCTCCTAGAGCGTGCGTGGCGAGCGTAGAGAGCATTGCTACAGCTGCTGGCTATGGGGAAGCAGTGGGGGGTGTGGAGAAGCCGAGGGGGGATTGGCGAAATGAGAGGAGAGAGGAGGAGTGGCGATATTGCAAGAGGATTGGCGAAATGAGAGGAGAGAGGAGGAGTGGCGATATTGCAAGAGGATTGGCGAAATGAGAGGAGAGAGGGAGTGGCATTGACATTGACATTGACACTGACATTGACACTGACATTGACATTGACATTGGCGTTTGACATTTGGCGGTTGACATTGGCGGCTGTCAGTAGGTAAGCTTATGGTATGGGCGCGTCGTCCATAACACCAACTGCAGAACACCCCCATATTGCCTGGAAACAAAAAGTGCCAGGAGTTGATAAATACTAGAGTAGATGAAGGTTCCTAGATGTTTCTGGGGATGTTTTCTGAGACATATTGAACTTTAAGCAAAATCCATCCACTCAGAGTTTCAGAAAATGCGTTTTGGTGACATTTTCATAGTCAAAAAGCGGAAAAACAGATTTTCCGGGAGCATTGAGTGGAAAACATGCCCCAAATTTCTATGTACAGTACCGTAAGACACCCTTGAACATTGCTAGCAACTTTATTTGACACTTTCCGGACCACCAAAAATAACCCATAACCCGGAACAGTCCTGTAACCCTAACCCTGGGATCCTCAATCACTTCAAAGGATGGGTTCTCTCCTTCACCATTCACCATAACAACGACATCATTCCCCTCCTCCTCGTCAACAGCCACGCCGCTTACAGTCCAGCCCAGCTTCCGCCACCTCCGCATGCATCCCTCGCACGCATATGGTTCATATGCACCCTGCCCCATCATGGGCCAATACCCATAGTCCAACAAGCGAAGATAAATCTCCCTCCCAACCCTCCAAAATCCCGTAGACCCAACGTCCCCACATCCAATGCATCCAGGGTCGTAACGTTGCCCATATCTCTTATCACAACCAGGAAAGTTCACCCGAGCGCGACCCTTCTTGTGCCTAGGCACCACACCAGTTTGTGGTGAAGATATAGAGAGAAAGATAGAGTCAGCTCCAATTGTTGAAGACATCTTCAGCTCTTGTGCGCGCCGTACAAGGCCACTGTGAGAGGCCACGCCGAAGACGGCGTGTCTGGGTGTGGCGAGAATCAGGTACCATACCTTGGCATGCTGATTCCCAAGTCCAGAGTAACTCAAAAGCGAAAAGGAGAGCAGGGAGCCGAAGTCCAGCCACTGGGGAACCGTGCTGTTGCCAACCGCGATGCTGTATGTGTCTGGTGTTGAAATCCGTGACAATGATGTCTGCAATGGTGATAGTCCTCAGAGTCCGGGTGGCTGTGCAGGGTTGTCCTGAGTCCTGCTGTCCTGTCCTGCCAATCCTCCCTGTAGACACACGCGCAACCACCAACTTATCTGCATCACTCATATATACCCATAGAGTCAGAGCTGTCTGGTCGCTCAAATATCCGCTCTGAGCAGTTTGATGTGCAAACGAGGGTCAGCCAAAAAAAGCACAGCTGCTGTTTACTCCATCCAGAATGGTACGTACGTGCTGCTCCAAGGCTCTAGCGATCGATCCCATATACAGACCTACAGGTCCGTACCCTGATACCTCTTCTAACTGCTCTTCCTTCCTGGTGTCTGTCTATCAGAACCGATTCTACGATGACTCTATTGGGTTCCGCAACGGGCGCGGAGGAGGCGGGGGCGGCGGGCCTGTATTTCCGGACCTATACGGCTACGGAGGAGGAGGAGGAATGATGCCCAATCCATACGACGAGCCAGACTTTATGAATCAATACAGCCCCGTGGGACTGGATCCGGGAGGTTGGGGAGCAGCAGGCCCGCATATGGGCATGGCGGGCGGACAAGCAGCATATCAGATGGGGATGGGATACCATGGTGGAGGATACCCGAATGCGACGATTGGGATGAGCATGGGCATGGGCATGGAAATGGATATGGGAATGAATATGATGGCGTATCCACCTGCGGGTGTACTCGGGACGTATGACGGCGTGAAGGTCGGAATGGGCGGCGTCGGTGTTGGATACGGGATGAATGGTATGAGGATGATGGGCGGCATGATACCCGGCGGACGAGACTACTCACTCGGCAACAATGCTCGTGCGAATGCAGCAGCTATGCGCGGTAGCGCATACGGCCCGGGAATGGGCAAGCCCATGCAGATGCGGGGGTCTACTTGGCACGATCGGCCGAACAACCTCAACACCGCTGCCGCAAACATCGGACTGGCTACTCACAACAGCGGAATGGGAAACAGCATGGCCGGTCTTGGCAGCAACAGCAGCGACACCCACTCTCGACTACGTGTAGGCGGTTTTGACGGCCAGGATTTTCTACCAGAACCGGATGTAAGTCGGTTTGACGAGTACAAGCTGCGATGGGATGAGAGAACGGGGAATGGGATTGCGAAAGAAAAGACTGTCCAAGGCTGGGGCCCACAACCCGAGATCATTTTCGACCCACTCCTAATGTGGCGTCGCACGCCTGACCCGCCGGGCGTCCCGGGTGTCGTCAGTTGCGCAGCTAGTGAAGTACCTCTTGTCACAATCCCTGAAGATAAGGTTATCAAACCCGAGAACAGCGTTGCTGCGGTGCCTGACATCAAGAACGAAATGGTCGAGCAACCGACAGTGCAGGTAGAGGACGCCGTGAAGATCAAAACCGAGCCCGGATTACCACAACCGAAACCAAAACAGTCAAAGTCGACCCGCCCGACAGCAGCGGCTCTCATTGACCGTGCGCGAGAGCGCGATCAGTTCTACCGGGACAGCACGCGCACTCAATCAACACCACATCCGCACGTCCCGCCGGCTTATGATGAGGAGGCGGTTTCTGCTATGCAGGCTTATTTTGCTGCTGCGGACACCGGATCCGGTGTATCGACCCCACCCTCCACCATGCAAGACGGCCGGGTGGGGATAGACGAAACGCTGATGGCCAATGCGGACCGGAGCCTCTCATCAGCGCCGTCGCGTCATGACAGCACCCGTATGGATAGAAGCGGCGCTCAACGTTCTCCCAATCCAATCACAACACCAACGACAGCTGCAGCACACTCCAACCGCGACACCACCCTTACTCGTCCACGGCCCATTTCCCATCACCGCGACACCACCCTCACCACCATCCCCCCACACGCCACACGATCCCGCCCCTCCTCCACCCTCCCCAATCCAGAACGAGACCGAACCCGATCCCTATCTCCACGCCCATCCCGCTTCACTGACCACGATAAAGGCACGGGGAATACGTACGCGCGGAACAGCACGAGGAAGTACCGCGACGGGGATGGCGTGTTGGGCCGTAGTGACAGTGAAAGAAGACGGAGGAGGAGGAGTCCTGGTATGCCTATGGATGTGAATGCATACCGGCTCAGAGCCATAGCGGCACTGGCAGAGGCGAGGGAAAGGGCGGTCGGGTCGTACCACGCGAGGGAGGATGTGCGGATAGAGGTGGATACCGCTGAGCGATCGACAGTACGGAAATCGGCGGCAGATTGTGGTAATGCGAACGGGCCCGTAAGGAGAGAAGAAGATGGGTTTGGTTTCGAGTTTGGGGAGGTTGGGGCGGCTGCTTCGCTGTTGTTTCGGAGGGAGAATCGGTGAGTTGTTCCTTGTGCAAAACTGGCTCTGGATATTTTCACAGTTCTTTGCGTCGGGTCATTTAGACAGGTCAGGCTTAATCTGTGCTTTCATCTGCAGCTACGACGCCTGAAAAGCATCGGCGTGAATGCGATACCGCCCGCTCATTGATTTTCGGAAAGAGGGCGAACTCCCCCATTCTACTCGCCCGAAGATATCCCAACTGCGTATACCACGCCCCGCGGCCTGCATCGTGGTACCCTCACCTAGACAAAAGATGGCGGAGGAAGTCAAAGGAGGCTTGGTTACCACAGGATGCTGTGGCGAACCCCTGTCACACCCCTGTCACACCAGCATCGAGAACAGCTGCACGAAACCTTTTTCTCTGGTGGACCTTGAGATATGGACGTGGTTTTGATTGTACCTTATTTCCTCCTCCCTCGGTCTTCCTCCCTCCTAGCTGCGTTCCTGTTATGCCTGTTATCTGCGATACCCGTTTGTCCTCCCCTACCCCTGGGCAACTTCATTTGACTGCCGTTCCTTCTGACTCCTAACCCTAGCTTTCTACGTTTGTGTCATACATCTGGTTATTCTTTCGTTCAACGATTGTGAACCGTCGAATACCGTCGGAGCTGACATAAGCACGACACGCCTTTCTCCGCTCTAGCTCCTTCAAAACGGATCCGAAGCACAGGAGAAACGGGAACAAAGGAAGAACCACGATTGAACCAATTTTTTGTCTTTCAAACAATTGGAAAAGGACTTATTTGAAAAATTCGGACAAGGACGGACGGAATGGACCAGTTTTTTTTTTGGGTACAATCGAAACCAATGAATGCATTGGTTCACTTCTTTTTTTTTTTTCTTCCAACAATCGGCCAAACCGTGATTGAGGCGGTGAGGTTTTTCGAACAATGGCGGACATGGATTGGGAGATAGGTTTCTTCTCTTTGGAACAATTGACAAGGACACAACGGGAAGTGTACCGACTCTTATCATGCCGGGTTTGGGAATGTGCACATTCTTCAGGCGCTCTCCTGCCGTTCTCCTGCCTTTGTGCTGCCATTGGGCATGAAGTGCACCGGTATGGTACGCCTTCTCGCCGCGATCCTAAGCCGTGCGGTCGAGGAACTCTCTCCTTCTTCAGAGGTCGGATTACTTTTCACAGCTGCTGCAACAAATATCAAGCATTCTTTCCACGCTTCAGGAGGCGTGCGTTTCCCAACGGCACACAATCTTTCAGGTTTGATTCACGACACTGTGTCCGAGTGGTTAAGGAGTTTGCCTCGAATAGTGCAACTCGAAGTCAGACTGCCCGCATCGTCCGCCGCATCTACAAACCTACTTGCAATTCGTAGTATGACCACTAACATTGGTAACGTCGTCCGCGCCATACCCAACCGCCTGACTCCTGTCGACGTTACAGAGCTTGATGTTGGAGCACTGAATTTTGCCGATGGGGGATTGCGTTGAGCTGATGCACTTCATTTGGACGAGCGCTCTGGGTTTGTCGTTTTTGCCGTAAATTTTGAAATTGCGGTATGTTATGTTGCTGAATGTAAGGCTGGGAGGGATGGGTGAACGTTAGCATGGGAGGACGTCGGCCAGACAAATGGCCGCCGTTCTGGCCCCATCGCACGCGGATACGGTCGTTCACATCAGATTCCATGCCTCTAGGTCCACCGTTATCTGAAGCCCTCACTCCGACCGCACTGTAGAGCTTCCCCAGACTAAATCTTTTCCACATGCCAAGGTTTATGACGACCCGCGTTTGCAGCCGCACTCGAAGCCAGAGGTCAATCGGAAATCACACTTACTTTCCATAGGTGTTTCCGCAATCGCCTTTGCCACACCAGAATGGGTTGATGGAAATCGGGTACCTAAAATCCGGGGAGCCGGTTAGCTACCTAGGACTCACGCAGCGGACTCCATCCGGAAGTCCTCGTAAGTGACGTTCGTCACATATCCATTGTTGATGATGTACGCCTTGTGCATGATCCCGGCGGAGGCTGGACCAATCTGGATGGAAACAAGTGCAAGGCAGAAGTTCAAAAAAATGATCATAAAGTGTCACAATGTTCTTACCAGCGTGACATTCCGATAATACACATTGGAAACCCTCACAGGCACGGGGCCATTTCCAAACGACCCGATATTGTTGCCAGCCGTATTGTTGCAAAAGATGTTTTCGCCGCGGAAGTTGTTGGTGGGCGTTTTGACCGTGAAGCATTCGTCGCCGTTGCGGACATAGACGTCGTGCACGTAGTTGGACTCGGATGACAAAGCCGTCCGTTTCTGTTACGTCGCAAGATTTCAGTTCTGCAATGCCCCGCCAAGAATGGATAATCAAACCAAGAAATGACGGCACAGAAATGCGGCCTCGACCCGGATGTTCCACAGCTCGTTGTGATTGCCAATGACCGTGATATGAAATTTGGCAGCATTGAAGAGCCGCAAATATTTCTGTAGCTGACATCCTGGAAGCGCAGGTGACGCTCCTGCGAGGTAGTGGGTGTTGGTGCTGGTGCTGGTGCGGACGGAGAGAGGCTTATGACGGCCGGAGAGGATTGAGAATAGTTCGGCTGTGAAAAGATCGGCGAGGAAGCAATCGGGGTTGAGGGTAGGGAAGGAGGAGGATAGATGGCTGAGGACGGTGCAGAGACCGATAAGAGAGATGATGAGGGCGGCGCAGATGCCCACGGCGATGCAGACGACCATGGCTTTGGGAGGCGGAAGGTTGCGGCGATCCAGATGGCCAATCCGATGGGAAAGAACTATGAGCTCCAAAATCGGTGGAAGGCGAAGCAGCATCCCATGCGCTGGGCGATGGTGACACCCAGCTGTACACGGGTCACTCCGGTAACTCGGCAACTCGGGGATGCAAACGCGGAGTCCCAGCTAGATGAAGGAGCATCGCCGCCCTGTAGCGGTGAAAATGAGGCCGTTTGTAGCGGTGAAAATGAGGCATCACCAGCTGAGGGCGGGGGACTGTAAGCTGCAAAGGAGCTGCTGGGTCTATGTGCGTCTGATGCGATGAAGGTGCTCACACCCGGGTACCACGGAGAACCAGATGCCGGAGGGGGCAAGTATGAGGAAACAGTCGACCCGGCAGAAGAAGCGGCAGGTGGGGAGTATGCTGGTGAAGACGAAGGAAAAGCCGAATAAGCTGGTGAATTAGGCCTAAGGGATGATGCGGCAGGCGTCGAGTGTGAGGATACCGGAGGAGGCGAATAGGACGACGAAGCGGGCGCGACTTGAGTGGCGACAGGCGTCGACGAGATCGGCCTGCCTGATGACACAATGGGAGTTGCGGAAGGCACAGAAGAAAGCGGCCTGCTTGACGATGTGACACTGCTCCTGACAGATCGTGGCGTCGACGATCAATGGTGGGAGTTGACGGCTTTAGCATAGATGTCACGGGGTGGTTGGACGACTTTGGCGTAGCTGTCACGGGCGGAGTAGATGGTTTGGGCGCTGATGTCACAGGAGGGGTGGCGGCTTTGGTGTTGATGTAACGGGAGGGGTGGTCGGCTTTGGTGTTGATGTACTGGGAGTCAGATGGCTTTAGCGTCGAAGTAAGGATAGGTGACGGCTTCGGCGTCGATGTTACCTTCGCTGTCGATGCGATCGGAGTGGTAACTTTTGTAGTCGATGTGACCTTCGCAGTTGCGGTGATCTTCAAGGTCGTACGTAGTTGCGGCCAGCGCAACATCACCACCAATCGCCATAAGCGCCACAATGCAGGCCAATGGGCCCAGCCACCTCACGGATAGGCATTGCTATGGCTGACCTCTGCCAATTGGTTTGAAATAGCGCCTCGAAATACGTCTAAATGCGAGGTCTACTACTGGGTTCATTTATAGGAGGGGAAAAATCTTTTGGGCGAGACCTTATATGCACTTCAAAACCGTTCAGTAAAGTGGGGCGCATGTGGTCGTCTTGGTGCTGAACGCAAATAGCGCAAACGTTTAGAAAGTATAATGTCGAAATGGGGCGAGAACAGGGGAGAATGCACCCCTTGACTGCTGACGTCACGCGTATCTTTCCCCATTTTGACTGTGAGTGCAAGGTATTGGGACTAGCGGAATACCTTCCGAGAGATAGAATCAGGGCATTTCCGAATCTCTCTCGATCTCAATGCCGCATATGCTATGTCACCATGGCTTTAGTGGCCGGTGGAAATGATACAATAGAGTTAACCTATGGTCCTTGAATGACGGACCGGAGATGCGGGCAGCAACTATTTGTTATGTCGTCCGGAAAAGCTGGTTCTGGGCCCTTCTCGGTAACGGGATGCAATCTACCAGTGCCTTAACCTCTCTGCACGATATTATCACAACTCTGCTATGGACGCGGCAACTCTGCAAAAGGGATCAAAATCGGAATTTTTGGCCGCTCTGGAGCCCGTATACACCGCTCGACATGAAGCCGTGGTTATGCTACCTGCTCTTTGAGCAACTTTTTGGCGCTACACGCGCTGCCTACCGGCATTTCGACGGAAGTGGGGTAATAAAAATCGTTGCGCCGGAGGGATTAATGAGATTTTGAAACTCACCCGTATATACATGTGCCATGCAGAACAATGCGGCTAATCCCGCTTGGGGCTCGTACGGGACGCCATTTGGCCGGATCGAAGTTCGGGGATCACGTTATGTCGACGGCATTGGCGCGCCGATAGGGACGGGGAACTCCACCTACCCAAGTGCACGACATGTGTCGAATACAGTGATGGGAAGTGCAGGGGACGATGTGCCGAACGTGGAGAAGGTGTCGAATATGCTGGCTTTCTGGGGACAATTTATGGCTCATGTCAGTAAGGATTGAGAATGGGATGTGTTGTCGGATGCTGGGGGCTAATGTGTCAGCGATTATAGGACATCATCCATGTTGAAAATAATGCCTCCGAGTCCTTCAACATCGGCGTACCATCTGGCGATCCAGTCTACGACCCAGGGAGCACGGGAACAGCAACTATGAAGTTCACCCGCATCAACTACACCCCCGATCCGACGACGCACGAGCGTGTGTTCCACAACAAGCAATCGGCATGGGTGGACGGGTCACAGGTTTACGGTGCAGATGACGAGCGTGCTGCGATGCTACGGACGTTCTCCAACGGGCTGTTCAGAACGTACAAGGGAAATCTTCTACCTTTTCGGCCAGAAAGTACGCCGGATATCATGTTGGGATTGAAACCCCGAACCTTCCTGGCTGGGTGAGAGTTGGCAACGAGTATGAGTAATTGTGATCTCATATTGACGAATTGCTTTGCGTAGGGATGTCCGTGCGAATGAGGTGATCTATCATTACGTGTATAATCGGCCTTCACCAGCTTAGCATCCACTTACCGACGTTTTCCTTTGTCAAGAATCCAGCGCTGCTCTCAATCCAAACGTTATTCATGCGAGAGCACAACCGTCGTGCTGCTCAGTATCTGAAACTATATCCAAATGCCACAGATGAGGCTCTCTTTCAGATGGCCAGAACGTGGGTCGTCGCTTGCATTCAAAAAGTCACGTACTCCGAGGTGGCTACCTATAATTACGTCCGTCATATTGCGATTCGAGAGTTTCAACTGATGCAATGTCCTTAGTATCTTCCTCGATTGCTGGGCCAGCCACTTCCAGCATATAAGGGTTACAACGCATCGATAGATCCCGGTGAGTTACCGGTCCACCTCCTATGCGCTTTACTCTCTGCTCATCGACCGTTTACTCTCACAGCTATTGACATGCTTTTCTGGGGAGCATCCTTCCGCTACGGCCACAGCGCAATCAGCCCCATCATACCACGTCTTGACGAGAAATGGGCGCCATTCCCAAAGGGGCATCTAATTCTCCGCGACGCGATCACGAACCCTGCCGCCGTCGTGACTGATGGTATCGAGCCGATTCTTCGAGGCTTGGTGGCACAGGTGAGTTGGGTTTCGGAGAATGTTGTGTGCGGTGCAAAGGAAGTCACGCTCATCATTGAATTGCCAAACCTCAAAAGCTGGAACAAGCCGCAGACGTAGTTCTTGTCGATGACCTCCGTCAATTCATGCCGGCAGCTCCATTCGGGCTGAAGCCGCAGCTTTTCTTCGATCTGGCGGCTTTCAACATCCAGAGGGGCCGGTCAGTGCTTTGCGAATCAGGCGATGCCCTGGCAGACTGAGGCTTAATCCTGGAAAAACCAATTGCCCACAGAGATATCGGTCTCCCCAGCTATAACGAATGCAGGAAGAGTTTCGGCCTCACGAAAGTTTATGCATTCGCCGACATCACCGCCGACGAGGTTCTACAGAAAGCTCTCTATGATGCGTATGAAGGGAATATCGACAACATAGAGCCGTATGTGGGCGGATTAGCCGAGGATGCTGAATCTGGGCTAGTGGGGCCGTTGTTCAAGGCGTCGATCATGACTCAGTTTATGAGGTTACGGGGTGAGCGGTGGAGGAGGAGGATGTGATATTTGAATGTAGGATATACTGGAGAGAAACTCACGCTGTTATGCATCCTAGACGGTGATGCGTTCTGGTATCAACTCCCCGATGTGCTCAACGCCCAAGACACCAAGGATTTAAACAATGTGACCTTGTCAAACATAATCCTGTGGAATACGGATATCGCCGCCTTTCCAGAAAGCGCGTTTAGGTGCGTCACTAGGGCTGCGGTGGAGCTGGCACGTTCTCCGCGTCCGTTGGATCACCTACTGAAACAGGTTCTTCTATTGCGCCACAGCTGGGCGGACGCAACCACAATTGATGCTCTTCGCGGAGTGACCACGAGCAGCACATCAACTGGCACGACCCAGGGCTCCGCGAAACAAACCGTTCAATTGACGACAGGGCTGATCTTGCAATACTACATCGATGTCACTGCGAAAACGGTGGATTTTGTTATTGCCTCGAATTACAGCGGGTGGTAAGAAACTGAAGGGCTTCCATGTACTTTGGGTGAGAAAAGGACCGATCTTTGACGAACGCGGGCGGTAGGTTTGCATTCGGGATCGGTGATACCATGACGAACGCAGACATGTATGCGGTTTATGAGGACGACGATGGAACCTGGAGTGTTCACGATTTGTACTCCACATCGTATACACAGGTAAAGGGTCATATAATGCTGTGGGTCACCCCGCATACCCTTACTCCATCTTCTCATCGACTCATAGCCACCAACGGATGTCAGCCAAGGCTGCACAAACGACATCACAAACATGAAAGATGTGACAGCAGACTGGTCCTCCACCCGCGCCTTCGCATTCACCCGCAAACTCAGCACCGGCGACGCCTGCGACAAGGAGATCAGCAGCACGAGTGCAACGCTTCCGGTGATCTTTGCGTATTCGTCATCCGACAAGAAGTTGGCATATCATGGGGCCGGTAACCGGTTTCAGGTAAAATTGAATATTCGGGTTGGGTCGGGGAGTAGTGGCTCGTCGTCGGTTGCGATCACGGACTCCCACGATTTCGACGTCTTTTTCCGGATGTAAGTGTTCTATGCGATAAGGGTTCATTTACCCTTTCGTACACCAATACTGCTCGTTCCCGAAACCAGATGGCACGCAGGCGACATGCTCCTGATTCTCTTCGTGATGATACCTGTGGGGATCTATATTGCCCGTTATGGAAAACGTGCTGATCTGTGGTTGGGCTGGCACAAGTTCTTCATGAGCTTTGCGCTGGGAGAGTTTGCGTTTACGTTGCGACACATTGCCGTCTCGTATGACGAGTTTATTGTAAGGTTTGGAGTTGGGCTCGACGGCAGCAGCTTTAACGGAGAATTAAAGTGATACTTGTTATCCAGTTGAAGATGCACACGTACGATCATATCAAAATCGGCGTGGCTACCGCCTGCGTCGGAATCGCGGGCGGGACGGTAGGATTTCTTGCGCAGAAAGACTGGCGGATCTTTGCGAGATACTCCCAAGGAATGCGGTCGGTTCACAAACTCGGGTCTTACTTGACCTATGTACTGGGTACGTGTAAAGCGGCGCTTATAGCGATAACCGGGCTTCAAATGACTAAACGAGTTCGTAGGCATCCTAAATGGCTGGTACGGCGTGCAGGACTTGGGTAAGATTTCTCCAAGAAGCACAGTGCTCTTTGATACTTCATCCGTACTGATACGATTCAAACCACCCAGCCGCAAGCTACGGCTCCACCAGCAAGATCTGGCCCTCCCTCTACCTAGGCTACTTCGGTCTGCTCGTCGTCATCCTGCTGGGCATCAAATCAATCCAGGCCTACCTCGGCGATTTCGCAAACCGCTTCCTTGACCGGTTCTTGCAAAGCCGTCTCGGCAAATGGGTCGAGCGAAACACAGAGGAGAATGTCGGCGTTGTGCAGTTCACCGAGGATGTGCAGATCAAAGAACCCGCACGCGAGATAACACTGGAGGATTTTGAGCAATCGTGCATGGACGGAAAGCCTTGGATTTTGATCGGAGGGTATGTAGACGGTGGCTTTGTGTTCTTTGAGATGGAGATCGAACCTCTGACTTCACACTAGACTGGTCATGGATTTGAACGGCTATTTTGATCAGCATCCCGGTGGCCGTCGGTTACTGGAAGATTATGTTGGCATGGACGCCACAAACGCATTCCTGGGCAAAGTGAAAAACGGCGGTATTCACATGCATAGCCGGTTTGTAAGTTAGATTTGGTTGCTCTGACATGTGCATTTACATGAAGCTCACGGACTAATCAACTCTCCATCAAGGCCATGAATAAACTCAGCAGCCTGGTCATTGCGTGCCTCCCTAAGGAAAAGGTGACCGAGATGGGACGGTCGATCCTAAGCGTGAGCGCGGCTCCTCCTGCACTAGCCCGTCGTCGAAGCAGCATTGTCCCGGCCGCCATTCAAGAAGCTTCTACATCATTCGAGGCCAAGAAGGGGCCTTACAAACCCACGAAATCAGGACTGGGACCCAAAATCATAGCTTCGGCCGCATTATCTCAGCCGTTATTACCACCATCCGACACGGGTCCGCGGAAGTTCATTCTCTCTCCACCGTCAACGACGTCGGAAACTTCACATACATCTCTGAATACTTCCGCGTCGAGAGGCGCTGGAGCGACGCTTGTTGAGAAGACGACGGTGACGGCTTTCAATGCACCCATGCCGGTGCGAAAGTTTCGGTTTCGGTTGAAGCAGACGATTCCGGTGGATATTGAGCCTGGGGATGCAGTGACTTTGCGGTGCGTTCTCGTCTGTCCCAGAAACCAGTGCATGGTCTGATCGTTGCCTTGATATCAGATTGAGAGACAAGTCGGGCACAATCCACATCAGAGAGTATACGCCAATTAAGAGCCCGAATGATGATTGCATCGATCTATACATTAAGGTGCGTGCCTCTCATGTATGAGCGTGGGCACTCAAAATGTACTCACATAGTCGTTCTCCAGATATACCCCGCCGGGCTTGTCACAGCTCCTTTGGACGAGGTCGCCGTCGGCGACCTTGTGGACATGACAAATCCGGAAAGTCATATCGTTACGCCTCTGATCCATCCGGATTCTGAGGACGGCTGTTACCCTAACGTCGTTATGATTGCAGCTGGGACAGGTATGTGTTTTGCTCCACTCGCAATTGAACATCATTGAACGTCGAACTAATCAATCATGATCTGAGCAGGAATCACACCCATGCTCCAAATCCTAGATTTCTATCGCCAATTTGGCCAACGCAACAGTCAACCCGAGCAGCGAGTACGAGCATCCACACCAACAAGCGCCCGCAAAGGTCTCCTCAGATCGCATCTCCGGCTCCTATGGTCGAACCGCTCCGAGGAAGAGATGTTCCTAATCACCGAGCTCGCATGCATGGAACGCGCCGAGCAAGGGTCCTTACGCGTATCTCACATCCTCTCCAGTCCATCTGCTTCATGGACTGGATCAAAAGGCCGCGTCACCCGGCAGCATATCAAAGAGATATTACCGGAAGATTTGAAGACATTGCTCGACAGGAAGCTGCCGTCCGTCGACGGAACAGCGGATCTGGAAGGGGGGAATCTGGGCAGGTGCAACTGGGTGAATGAATACCCGTGGGATAGTTTGTGCATTGTGGTGTGTGGACCACCGGGGTTCAACACAGCGGTTGCAGAGATTTTGGAGAGTTTTCATGTGCCGGATAATGTTTTGCATGTGCTGTAAGTTTTTGCAGTGGTGATGGGAGCGCCGGTGAAGAACAATGTGGCAGTATGTACGATTTTTGGGCATAAAATCTGCTTGTTCTGTAATTCCCATCTATAAAGTTATGGCCAATATAAGGTGAAAATAAAATGGTTGTTGGGCGAGAGGCCCAAAGCTCTCCGACCAGTTTTGACACCGCGTATCATCAACTTCGGGAAATGAATTGCGACTCCCGCGTATTTACGAATCTGTAGTTTAAACATCATCGCAAAACATCTGCGGTTTCGTGGTGTAGCGGTTAGCACTTGAGACTCTGAATCTCACGACCCGAGTTCGATTCTCGGCGAGACCTTCTCTTTTTTCCTCTTGGTCTTTTTTCGGAGCGAAACCACACTTCTCACTAGCATCGACCCGCTTCCCCACACCGCACGTTGAATGAAGAGCGGAGAGGCTCGGTTAAGCGCGAGTGTTTACAAAGGGAGTGTTACAGAAGCAAAAAGAAAGTGCATTCAGGTAACATACAACTGTCGCGGTCATACTCTGAGCTGAAGGACGTGGGAATCGAACCGGTGACCTGCACGTCTGCAGACCAGGAAGATTCGCCACTACGCCAAACAGTATATACTGGCCACAAATCTGGTTACGACGCCCCAGACATTATTCCGAGCATAGCCACCACGGGTGTGAGCAAGCCTTCTCGCTGCCATATTCCACCCACCGTCATCTGCACCGTGGTCAGAATCGGATTACTGAATCAAAGCAAGCAGACAATTGCTTTTGTCTTCCGGGCTGCCATGGAACCCGGACACTGGTTTGAGGTTGTTGCAACATCGGTCTTCCCGGTCACGGACGCATCTGTGGCGGTTTTTTTAACCAGGAATCGCACGGGATTCCGACAGGCTTTGGGGTGCGTTCAATGCCTCAGCTTTACCATCTACCTTCCAAAGTCCGCTACAACCGAAGCAGAACAAGGTGGCGTGAAGGAAGGAGGAGTGTACGGCCGGGCGTGAGTGCGTGAGGCACGCAAGCCGAACCCATTTTCCACTCGAAGGAGCCCTTCCCCATGAGAGAGGCCTTCGGAGGCACATCGGAGGCCTTCGGCGAAAGCGCGCGCCACCGGCCCCGTCTGCACGACTCTTTCGACAATTGATCCGAACAAGATCATTTGCTGCAAATGGACGACGGGAAGCAAGTAGCCCTTGAGTGTAGCACAAGCAGCACATTCTACCCTGTGATAGATCGCAGATGCTCGTCATCCCCTGTGATGACTACATCGACCGACCCTTGCGCGATCGGGACGGATCGAAGGAAGGTACTGATGCTGAGCGATGGCGATTGACCAAGGATAATGACCGAGGTGATTAAGGGAAAGATCTGATGAAGCGATGGACACTACTGAAGCTACTTAAGGGATCGAGGGGAAGATCTGATGAAGGCGGCCATGCCGTGGTATTGCCACTTGGTCAATCGGGCATCCATAACTCCTGGCGTCCCGGTATCTCCATCATTCAACACGCCCTGACGTCGTGTCGAACGTCTAGATGCCTTCTCTTGCTTTAAGGACCGCCGCGCCGCGCAGTGGCTTGAGACTCCGCACGCCATTGCCAACAAGCGTGCGTATGACGTGCGCAGCTCATGCTGACCTCCACCGTCCACCAGCTCCTAGACATATTTTCCTGGTCATTTTGGATTCGGGACGGCGTACCCCACACTTTCGTCTTCACCACTCCGGAAGGGTGGAGAGCGGATTCCGTGGAGGACGGCGCCGCAGCTTGGACTGCTTTGCCGCCATATGATGAGGAAGATGCTAGCGGGTTCCCCGTCGATGATGTATCTATTACTAGGGAGATGGACATCGGGTGCTGAAGATAACGCACGTCGTAGCGATTCAGATCACTGGAATCTCTTTGCCAGATGGCGATTCTCATATTGCCAAATTCCTACAGCGTGGTACAACCGCCGTGACGGAGAAGCTGTCGCAATTGCGCTCTTTGGACAGGCAGCGCCGGTGGATTGCCGACTGATGTCCATTCTCCCCCACTTCGCGACCTTGACAGAGGTACAGTACAACGAAGCGATCCCTCTTTCCTGTCCACCAGCACCAGCAGTACAGTACGTGACACCCGTCAGGCGCAAGTCCATATGCTCTGGAAGTTGGCGATCCCAGACCTGTCTATCCACATGACAGATCCCTCCGATGGGACGGGGAATAGCGTCTCTGGTCTGGCTCGGCGCTGTTCAGAACATCGTCTGAACCCGGCGTGCTCGCGTTCAGCACGCAAAACGCCGCCTTTATCAAAACCTCAGATCCTCAAGATCAGATGTCTGATTTCTTTCAGGAGTCGAACGCCGGACATGGCGCAAAAATCTTGAAAACGATAAAGAAGTCCAAGAAGGGGACGTTGCTGGCTAATGGCATTGGTGTTCCGGGTGATGTCACATTGGACCATCCTATATTCGCCAACGAGGATCTCCCAGCACTAACAGTAGCTCGAGGAGCAGACGCATGCCGCGAGCTTTACTCTCACCGCCTAACTGCGAAAGGAGGGAGTGGAGGAGCTAGCCATGTAGATATGATCTGGCCCTTCCGCAATATTTGGCGATAGCGGACCTGACCAAGACTTGCGAAAGCTAGCTATATACATAGATTGCGCAACTGTGTCCTATGTATGTACTACGGCGGCGGTCCATCATATTTCCTCGCATAATGAGCCCACCCATGCTTCTCTGCCTTTTCTCCTGTGTGCTCGTGGCGTCTGCGTCGTCGGAGTCCACGTTCGCAGCGACGTCTTGCGCGACGACTTTCGCGCGCGTGATGTCACACTTCCCCAGACGGGCGAGTCTCCCGGTGTTCTGCGGGACCGGCGGAGAGCCCCATCCCGCCCCGCCATTATGAACGCAGTGTGGCATGGCCCTCACATAGCACCCGCACCTACAGTACAGTACATAGACCCGGTACTCACTGCCCTGTCGCTCAAATAATCGCATTCATATCTCACACCTCACAACAACATAACAACACAACAACAAGAACAAGGCACAAGATGGAATCCTCTCGCTCACCCCTGCAGGGCACCTACAAGCCAACAACCCTCCAACAACTCTCCTACGGCCCAAACAGCGTGAAAGATAACCTTCTTGCCGCCCTGCCCAAGGAAGATTCTAGAGCTTTTATTGTGACGGGGAACTCGCTGGCGACAAAAACGCCTTTAGTCAAAGAGGTGGAGGAGTTGTTGGGGAAGGAGAGGCATGCCGTGACTTTCAGTAAAATCAAACAACATGCGCCTGTCAAGGAGCTGGATGAGGCGGTAGAGGTTGTTTTGAAGGTGAGGGTTAGCAACGAAAGGAGTGAGCGTTGTTTGGCGCAAGGGAGCGGCAGCGAATACCTGCGAGCGATAGCGAGCCCGTGTTCTTGAGCATCGATGCCCAACATCCTTGTCGCGAGCGCAGCGAGGAGGATGTCGTTTTGATGCATCGCCCAATTTCACACACTCATACTCAACACTCATCATACCCTTTCGTTCTCGCATTCAGGCTCAAGGAGACCACCCAATCGATACCATCATCTCCATTGGCGGCGGCTCACCCATCGACTCCGCCAAAGCCATCTCTTTCCGCGTCTACGAAAAGACCGGCCACTACCTCCGCCACATCGCGATCCCCACCACCCTCTCCGCCGCCGAATGCACCTTCGGCGCCGGATTCACCCAACCCGACGGGACCAAACAAGCCATTTCCCAGCCGGGAACCTTACCCACCCACGTCTTCTACGACCCCCGTTTCGGCGCGCACACCCCACCGGACCTCTTCATCTCCACAGGCATCCGCGCCCTCGACCACGCCATCGAACTGCAATACCACCCCACAGCAACCTGGATGCCATGCCAACTCCTGGCCCTCTCCGCCATCAAAGAACTCTTCACCTTTCTCCCCAAGTACAAACAGGACCCGCAGAACCCAGATACCATCACCCGCCTCTTCCTCGCCGCCTACGCCTCCCTCGGCTTCCTTGGCTCCAATATCAAAGGCGGCCTCGGACTCTCCCATACGCTGGGGTATGCGCTCGGATCCCCGTACGGTATCCCGCACGGCATCACGAGCTGCCTGACCCTCGGCCACGTCGTCAAATTGAAAGCGCGCTCCTCACCCGCCACCGCCGCTAAAATCGCAGAAATCCTCCCGTTTATCGGCACCAACACTCGCAGCGATGACGACGTGAAGGATGCGGAGAAGGTCGGGGACAAGATATTGGAGTTGGTTCGGCAGTTGGGGTTCAAGACGACGTTGACAAAGAAGAACGTTGGGAGAGATCAGTTGGATGTTATTGTGGAGAGGGCTACGGGGGGGTTGAGTAAGAAGGAGGGGATTAGTGGGGAGGAGAGGGAGATGGTGGAGGGAGTTAGGAAGCTGGTTGAGGGGCTTTATTAAAATGCCGTATAGGTAGAGGTGGGATATGTAGGTTGATTAACTTCTCCCTCACTTCTTCACCTCGGCAATACGCTTGCATCTTGTCATGTACCTTTGAATACATGAGGTCACGGCGTACCGTACATATACCCTCCCTTTTGTCTATCAACCTGGAGCAGCTGCTGTCCGTAGCCGAAGAACGGAAAGGTCGGATTTTCTTCGCGAGATTGACAGTAATTGACACTTTTTGCTTTCTCTGCGTTCAGATTGCAGTTCGTTTGCTTCTCTTGCGGAAACGAGGAGCCACTGAGAGCCTTCTTGCCCAATATCCTCACAAAGAAAAAACCGAGCTCCTGTCGATCTAACTTGACGTAGCTCCCAATTCTAAATTATTACCCTCCAGAGGCCGTCCTCCCAAACCTCCCAGTCGGCAACCTCCGCACAGCAACATGGCAGCACGAGACTCTGACGACGTTGCCGTCGCTCGCGCGCGAAACTCCGCCAGTGAGGCCGTACAGGATCCCTTGATCTCGAAGCTCTCCCGCCCCAGAAGCTCAACACCCACCTCTGGGCGCTGATGAACGGTTGACCATACGGAACGGGGAGATATTGAAGCCGACGTCGGTTGAGACGTTATTAAGCGATCTGAAAGCATTTTTGAGACGGGGACGGCCAGTGGGCGGGCACGTGGATTTTTTTTGGTTAAGGATGAAGGGTTAAAAGGGTTTAAGCCATGGTGGCGGCTACGATGAGGGAGGGTCTGGCAACCGATGGACAGGACGAGTCGTCGTAAGGCCCTAGATGTTATTTTCGCAGCAAAGCGCAAAGCGCTTCTCGATGATGGTCTAACCGAACAAGGGTCCGCCACCGCCTGCTTCAACCGGTGGCAAGCTCGTTCTCCATCAAGACATCCTTCGTTGGCGGTCCAGCGCCGATTCCATCGGTCGGTAATAGTATTTTGCATATGATGACGTTGCACTCACGATGAATCGGATTTCATGCTTAAGTCAAGGCGACCTAGACATGTGGCGTGAGTTTTCCGACGGAGGCGCGCCGACGAGTTCTGGTAGCTGTCCCCGGCGGTGCCGGCGGCGTCTTCAGTGATGAGGATCGTACCGACGACCGCCTCACTTTCGCTGGCGGTAGCCGCGGAGTTATAGACTTCGCTTTCTTAACGATTCGCAGCCTCTGCGTCGACTTCTGCCCTCTGCGACGTTCGGGAGGTAGTATCGCTGACGACGGGGACGGCCAACATATGTGCTGATGTAAGAGTAACACCAAACAGCGTTTCAAAGATGTTCTAGAGGCCGATAGACAACCAGAGGCCGTACCAACTGTTGCTATGGAGTATGACTCCAGTGAGTGCCTGTGTAGCTTGTGTTGCAGTAAGTCTATCCTCAGTGAAGTGACAAACGCGCTCCCACTTAACTCCGACCGGAAGACTCCCCCGACGCGCCCATGCCAGAGTTCTCTATATCGACGAAGACTGGGACCAAGATTGGACTGTGGTCGATAAGGAGCCGCAGGCAGTATGATTAGTACGCGGTGGGTTGTTTGCGACTTTTGGGTGTGCGCCGAAAGAGCAAGCGAGGAGGGAAGGCCGGAGAAGGAGAGATTGCGGCTATTGGCGGAATTGTGGCGGTGGTGTGCTTAGGGTGGGGATTGAAGAGAGATCGGAGGGACATGTCTGTTACACTCTCCTACACGTTTACTATTATATCAATACACGAATGGCGTATAAAGAGAACGGACAGGGCATGCGGCCGGTCAATCAACGCTAGTCTCCATTGAAGACGTTCCGCAAAGGGTCACAGGTACCAGATACGTCTCTGTGTCTTCGTGAGGGACACCGACTTCAACGAGAAGCCATGCTCACGGATCGTTGGGAATGCCTTTGTTGGGTCCATCCACGTCGCTTCGAAGTCAAGAGGAAGCGACACGTCAAGCACCGAAGGGTCGACGGACGACGCTTCGTTTGCCTTACATAGTTTTGCGAGTTGAAAAGTTCCCTCATCGCCACGGACATACCAGCTTCAGCAACTGCATCAGAGCCTTTCCCACGATCGCTGCACTATATGAGTTTTCCAGGCGCCTTGAGAGACAGCTTGGAATATCGTCGGCGTTCCTGCCTCAGTCGTCAAGTCAGAGCAAAGCCGGAGGACCGGACGTAAAGCTTCTCACCGGAGCTCCTCGTCAGCCGGATGCGGTACGCCAAAGAGACGTTGTGAGCGCCTTCTCAACATTAACTTTCCAGGGATAATTGTCCATCAGTAAGTATGATTCCCGATCGGAGGTCGTGGTTGCCTCCCAAAATCGAGACAAAAACGCGCCCGACTGGTTGACCGAGACCATTTACAATCCTTCTGTCGAAGACACTGGCGTTAACTTCATTGTGAGGTGGCAAGCGGGTCGGTATCGCGTAAGCGGAAGGGATTAGCGGGTTCTAGAAACTATTAAAAAGAAGCGGGATCACGGTCCGACCTGTAAAGAATATATTGGCGCTCACCAACCTGAGGCTGCCCAAGTAAAAACAATTCTATAAACAGGGAGACATGCATCGCTCACCCAGTCTTCTGCTTTTTGGTCTCGTTTCGCTGTTAGCGACGAAAAACCTCCCACCCACATCACCTGCCTTTCCGTCTCCACCATGCCGACCGTCAACGATGGACAGGAGCTCCTCAGCCTTTTTTCAGACATCAAGTTCACCGCATATCTCTTCAACGCGATGATTTGCGGCTATTGCATGTTTTTCGTCAAGCGCAACAACTATCTGCGTTGCGCGTTGTGGTCCTCCCTCTGCGGGTGTTTAGGAACCTTTCTTGTGGCGGTGCACAACGGCATCCTCAATCGGAATGAAATGACCGACGCTCGGTTTCTCGCGCTGATTGTTGCGATCGAGATTGTTTGGTGGTTGTCTGAGCTGCTGGCCGCCGCCACTACCTACTGCAAGATTGCCATGATGAAGTACTCAAACGACCACCGCAGGCGCAATAGATGGCTTCTTTTCACCTTCGGCGGAATATTTCTGCTTGCTCGCCTGCCCGTATCCGTTTCTCGTCTTCTGGACAAGACTATCTGGGACCAAAGAATATACAGGGCGCATACTCTGTACTTTATCGCAATCGTGATAAACGACACCATCCTCACCACTGTCTTGCTGAAAGACTCGCGGGAGATGACTGGCGCGACCGAAGGAGCCGGCGTCACTTGCGTCCGCTCATTCCTTCGCTACGTCTTCCTCGGCAGTCTGTTCCGCGTCTTCTACATGAACATAATCATGTTGATCCTTGCCATCACGTTCATCCCATCGGAAGCGACCGCAGTAAACACCGCCATCCAAAACTTCGTCTGTATCGCAAAGTACAACTTTGGGATCGTCTTCGCCATGGACATCCTCCTGACGAGACATTCTCTCGTCAAATCGCCCGAGGGGAACGCCGCCGCCCTACCCCTTCCGCAGTACCACATATCACGGTCTAGAGAGCCTACATCTACCTCCCCTGTCACCGAGTGGGTCACGGACACTCGCAACAAGCATTTTCCTCCTCCACACGCGGCAATTATCGAATCTCGGCCGCTTTCATCGTACGCAGAATCTTCGGCAGAGTCTCTCGCCGCCGGCACAAGCACGGAGGACGCAGCGCGCCAAAGCGTTTCGGGATGTGTATAGAGAGCGTGGACATAGGCAGCGGATGGGGAAGGTCAAGACATGTACAGCCAACGGACATAAAGCTGTGCACCCCTTGAGACTAAGTCAGTGACCGGTCGCGTTGCCGCAACTGATTTAGACGCGGACTCATCATCCTTAGTCTCGGGGATCAATAAGGAACCTAATCTAGATGAAATCTAGACTTCGGTTCCTGCCTAATACCCTTATTAATACCGTGTCGTTCCTCCGTTTGCAACAATGACTGCCTGCATCCTTGTCGGCATCGATCCAACTAGGTTATCCAAATGCCTTTCCACTGTTGGCCACACCTGCTGCACAACACCATCCAGTCCCACCGCATTTGCATTAGCCTGCGATACCTCCCGCTTGACAATCCCCCAGAGGTTTTCAATTGGGTTGAGATCGGGGCTCTGCGCTGGCCACGGCATGATGTTGATGCCATGCTCGGCAAAGAATTGGCGCGTTTCGGCAGAAGTGTGGATAGGGCCGTTGTCCTGCATGAAAAGGAGGTCGGGAACAAAAATCTCAAGGTTTTGCCACATTGGCAAAAGATGAGCGGTTAAATGCTGAACGTAAGCAGTGGAATTGATACCCCTACCGCGAACTTGGCCCTCACGCTGAACCGGCTGGACCTGCGTCAATGGACCAACAGCGTTTCCAATAAATGCTCCCAAATACATAAATGTTTTGCGTCCGCTACGTCGAGTGCCTCTGATACAGTCAAGGTGAAAACGTTCAGTTCGCAGACGCCAACATCGCATTTTGGGAACCCAGCCAATATCAAAAGACGTCTCATCCGTCCACACAACCCGTGACCAATCCGCAACTGTCCAGTGCTGATGTTCCAACGCAAACGCAAGGCGTGCTGCTTTGTGCTCGTCAGACAAAAACGGCTTGTGGATTTTGAAGCGGGAGGTCAAATGGAGGAGTTTGTGAAGGTAACGACGCACTGTCTTTTCGCATGCCGTGATACCTGTAAGAGCGATGAATTCCAACCGAATTTGTTTTAGTGTCTTTTCTCGTGTCTGACTATCTGAGAGAACAAGTCTGCGGAACTCCTCCAAGTCACTGTCCTCTGGTTGATACTTAGCTGGTCTTCCCGGTGGCTTTTTTGACTGATAGGACGTTGGGCTGTCCGCAGATTCAGCAGCAAACTTCTTGATAGTATACTGAACAGTCCTGAGTGCAACCCCCTCCTGTGCAGCTATTTGTCGCTTGTTCTTGCCTGACCTGTGCAGCACCACTATGGCAGCCCTCTTCTGAGGGGAGAGTGGTTTGCCCATAGCAGTGCATGAAGATGGAGGTCGCAATTGCGGGCATGTCGGTAAGATCCTGGCTTGTCCGGCTGGAGGTTGGCTTGTCCGGAGGCAGGCTGGATGGAACGCGCATCCGCTTGTGAAACGGTCATTGAATTCAATGAGAGGGGGTGCACAGGTTTATGTCCGTTGGCTGTACTGTATATAATATCATTTTGTCTGGAAACTGTCAAGTTCATTTGTTTTTGCACATGCCGTCAGACCGGAGCCGTGGTCTTTTGGATCAACCCGCATATACCGGAACACTCGAGCCATGGGTCAGCTTGCTTTTGCACATTCCGGAAGACTTGAGCCATGGGTCAGTTTTGGATCAACGCGGAAATCAATACGTAAATATTTGCTTGTGCACATACCGGAAGGACCCGCCAAGGGTCCGTTTGTGATTTCGGGGCGATCAACGCGGAAAGCGACAGCGCGTCTTTTGGCTTACGCACAAATGGAAGGACCCCGATTCGCAAGGAATCTAATACGCACGGTTCTGTGGAGAAAGTTCTTTGCTACTTTTTTCTCTTTGCATATCGTAGCACGAGTGGCCATCCTCCGTAGTAACGCCCAATGCAGATAGCCTCAAAAAACTTCCGAAACTACGGGTAACCCGCACAGACATAAACGGAACTCTTCGGCGGACTCTGTGCTTCCTCTATTCTCACCGCTTCTCCGTTGCGGCAATGATCGAAGGGTCGCTTTCTTCCTGCCCTTTTGGTTGAATAGAACGGGAAGCCTGATTCGGATGACCCCCCCGCATCTTTTCAAGCAGGGGCGCTTCGCAAGTATGTACTTTTCCGTCGGGCTATGCTTGAATTACGATCGCACTATGTCCTGGCTCTCTTAGAATCGGTTTGACGTGGTTTGGCGTGGTTGTGTGTAAGACACTGTAGCTTACATGACCCAAATGCCCATAATACGCATCAAAGTGAATCTGAAAGAGCCGGTTCAATGACCAGGTTGGGCATGGTTTTACACGATTGAGCTTTTCTTAACCTTTTGCCTTACTGTACGCAGTCACGCCTTGGGAAACGCTACCACTCTTCCAGCTTTGCATTATCGACAACAGTCCAGGAAAGTACGTGGAAGCCTGTTTCTCAAGGATCGATGCTGCAAATCGCTGATTCTTTCCGGACCCACCAAATCTTATGTAGGTCCTTGATCGGGCATCAGATCAATAGATTCTTTCAAGATTATCGATGCACGCAACAATGTTGACTGTTTCTTCACGGGACAGGGGACCGCAATGCTTCCCAACAACCGAATCGATATCCCGGATGGAGATTCCAAATGGGGTTTGTCCTTCCGAGCTTCAGATCACACAGCCTCACGGTGAAGCTGTTCACAAGGATATCCATTACACCATGATATGTTCCTTAACTCCCCAAATCTCAACTTCAAGGAGCTTTACAGCGCGTGAGGAGATCAGATGGACGTTCCTTTCTGGAGCGGCGCTCGCAAGAACCAAACTGCGGTCAAAGCTTTCCTCCAGCAGCACCAATATCTGCGCTGGAATGGCGTGCTTCATTCTTCGTGAAAGTTTTCTTCATTGAAAGTAATCATCTGAATCTGTTCCTGGACATTCCATCGTCTAAGCACGACAGCTCTTGTATAGGAGCTCCGGAGGCGGGGGAAAGCTGTGCCCGCAAAGGCCTACACACCATGCCCCTGTTCGATTCCAGGCGCCCTTGCCCAAGCCGTCTGTCCTTGCGGTACATACCTGTCGAGACGGGCGCTCTTTGGAATGCGTCATCCTCTCGAAAGGGACATGCGGCATGCATACGTGAGATCTGCCTGTTTGCAGCCTAACCCTAACCCCCCTACATGTACTTTCAGATGTGCTGATTTGGTCCCGTCCATTCCGGCACTGAGCCCTCCCCAATAACCTCACTCTCGAATGCAACATACGAGTGGTTTGGGTACTCGTAGTCTACCCAGTCAACAATGCTGAACAAGCTGCGGCATCGTCTCGTTTCCATTTAAATTTTGAAACTATGCGTCCTATTCTCTCGATCAACGGTCAATGTCATTGGAGCCTCGTTGATTAGGTACATTGATGGTGCGGTGGGGCGCCAGAATAATAAGGGCTTGACGAGCACGTGCGGTGGGGCTGCGTAATTCTGGTACGTTTAAGGAAACGAGTGTTGCGCTGATTTTGCTGATTCCTCACTCTGCCCAACTTTCGCACCATGTTCTCAGCCATCGCTCTCTGATCGTCGTCATCGTACAAACCCGCCTCCACCAACTCCAAAGCAACCTCTTCCGTCAAAGCTCGACCATTGAAGTCTCTGAAAAGATAGCGAAAGTCTGTCTCGGTTACCAGGAGCTCCGCGGTCGATGCGCTAGGGTCCAGACCCAGCCACTGCTTCTTCACCTCCATCCACGACCTGCATCACGCGCGCCCAGCTTGTTCGGAAGATCACCGCTACATCCCACTCCCCGTTCGCCTTCTCAAGGATTGAGCAATTCACTCCGACCCCTCTAGCCGCCTCAAGCAACTGCCGCTTGTACTCGGTTTCTACGTTTATTCCAATCTGCCGGCGCACCGCTGCGTCCTCCCACAATCGTCGCGTTTCTTGAAGCTGCCTCTCCACTTCAGTCAACTTCTGCTCCATTTGTCGCATCCTCTGACGGAGAATTCGGGGCAGCTCCATCTCGCCCAAGGGTTTGCGGGTACCATTCTACCGGTCGGGCAGGTCGGTGGCGGTGGAAACGTAGCTCGGCAATAGTCAAATCGCTGGACTCGCCCACAACCCTCAAGTGCGGAGTGGCATATGGGGAGAGAATACGGAGGCATGTCTAGCTGTTTGCCCTACCGCCGACTCTTTCTCCATGTCTGTGGGGCAAGTGGAATATCCTGATCTTCTCGATTCCCGGACTCTTGCCGAGCTCGGTTGGGGAGTTTTTGTCTGCAGGGCGACACGAAAAGTTGTACGGGAATCCTACCGCCCGGCGTTCACAGCGACACAATTTTTAACGGTTACACTGCATTATGATAACGAAGGCCGACAACTCCGACAAGACCCAAGAGAATGGTCGGCGGGAACTTGGAACTGTGAGGAAGAGGGCCTGGTCGGAAGCTCCAGTGTCCTCGATAATCTCTGGCACTCTCCAGCATCGTCCGGCGCGGCCGAGAAATCCTCCCAGACAATCCGAGACGAGAAAGACGATCGGCAGCAATAGGACGTGATGGAAGCGGTTGGACTCGTCTACGGCCTCGACCCCGCTGCGGAAGCATTTCTCGTACGCCTCACTAAGAACGACCTCGAGCAGCCGGTCACCTCTTTTGTCGACTCGATCGCTAATTTACTCGGCTTACCCTTTATCACCAGCAACCCCTCTTTGTTTTTCCCTTCGAGCGATAGAAAAAGTCCGACGTCGCCACGTCAACAGCACTTTCGGTTATGGCGAATCGACGAGCCGAATGGTCTGGGAAGCTCCGACTCCAGACTAAATGCCGCTTACCAGACGGGTTGTCGCTACCCAAGCGAGCTGCGAAAGACTCCCGTGCAGGACCATTTCATGGCCGCAGAGATTACTTTTGGGTCTGATCCTCTTCGGGTTTGGCTCTTTCCCGAGCGTCGTCAAGATCAAGCGTCGCGCCATTCGCAGATCGACTTTCTTGTGGAGTTGCTGCGGCCGGAGGAACTTGAGCTCGTCGCTAGGGGCGGCGAAAAATCCCGTGTTGTCGGGCCCTCAGCGGGCTTGATGGCTCAAGAGACATCACAACCTCCATTCCGCGAACCGATGGTCCCTACCATCGCAGCAGCAGCAGCAATAGCAGATTGGCGAGAACGGCCGCTCTCCTACAGTTCGCCTCCGGCTTATACCGTTTTCGGGGACGACAGCGAACTAGGCGCCGTGGAGACCCCGCATTACGTGAAGCGGAGTACTACTCCTCCCTTTGACGAGTCGGGCAAGAGGACAACCTACCTTGGAGCAAAGGGGTCTCGCCAACGACGCATCCGGATTGGCATGCTCATCTTGCTTTTGGTGGTCCTTGCCGGGTCCGTTGCGGTGGGACTGAAGATCGGATTTGGAAAACGGGATACATCCGGCGGCACCGCGGATCGCAGCGATCCCAGCACCAGTCTGAGTACGCCGACTCCACAGCCGACCTCACAGCCAATTGTGCCGGGTACCATGGTCAGAGTGTTGAGAGGCCATACTCAGCCGGTTTTCGGTATGATTGCCTCTCCAAAGGGCGACCGACTCTACTCTATCGCGTCAAGAGCTGATCCCTCCAACGGGAATCAAATTTTCGACTATAACATCCTAAGCTGGAGCGTTGAGCAAGCTCCAAATGTCAATAAGACTCCTACGGTGGATTTCATCCCTTTTACGAATATGATCTCACTCAGCTTCGATCCTATAAAGGACCCTGAGGGAGAGTCTTTATTTGTATGCACCCAGAGGAAGGATGGAGACGCTCGCGAGGAAACTCGGGTCCTAAACACTCGTACGAGGCGCGTCGAGTCGTTAGATAGCACCGCGTGCATTTCGGACGCCAAGAACGGGACTCATTTATCCTACGATTTCGAAGCCGGGACAACGACGATTTCGAAACCAGGCGAAAAACCGATAGTGCTTAGGGCCGGGGCTGATAAATACTTCGGTCTTTCCCCCGACGGAGACGCTATCGCTTTCACGTATGGGGCCAATGTCTCAATGCACCAAGCCCAGGTTACCCTGTTGGCCAGCAACTACAGTCTGAGTCACATACCAAGCGACACCGAGACGCTTAACATCTACTCTGGCCGTCGAGACTTGCCCATAGGGATATGGGACTACGAGGCAGCCATGAATGATCCTTCCACCATCGGGTTCCGATGGTCCCCGTCTTCGGACCTTATTTACATCATCTGGAATTCGACAATCATGGTAAGCGATACCTCTCACTTCGAAATAGCATTCTGCATGTTTGTGTACTCACCTTCCCTTTATTACTGATAGGTGGCGCCCAATTTGAAACCCGATCTTCAACACAACTCCCAATTAGTCCGCGACGCCCACATACTTCTCAAGGTTCCTTCAACGTCCCCCAACAAGAATTACGTCGATATCAGTGACGATGGCCAAAATATCTTCACTGCCATGGACGACACCCGTCGCGTCTTTGGACAGTGGGACGCCAAGCAAGGCGAGTTCAAGGGAACTTTCAACCATTCGTGTCCTGTTAGCTTTTTCCTTCAACCTCGTGGCGCCCCGTACCTGTACACTTATGTCGGGTCCGAGGGCTGCGTGGATAACGGTTTGCCCGGGAACGATTCGCATGCGATCTATCAATGGGCTTTGTACTGATGCGCACACGCCACCGTCGCGGCCCTTGAATAGGATTCGTCTCTATACCCGTACACTCAGACGACTTTCCATTCACGTGTAGCCCGTTTGATAACGCCACGGTCGTGGTTATTGACAGCCGAGAAGCCGTAGGACTTTTTCACTTACGCGTAGAGTTCTAGAGGACGAAAGCGTCGACATTTTGTGATATGTAGTTTGTGCTGGACCCTCGCGTTCACCGATTACGATATCGGAGACGGAAGTTTTGGCCCGGCAGCAACGGCGTACTGTATGTCCCGCATGAGATGGACACAATTAGAGGTTGCTGGACCGCAATAAATGTACATAGAATCGAAGGATTATCTTTGACCCCTCCATACCCTTCCAAAAGCCTTCACAAAAAGGCGCCCATTTCCTCTACCGGGACACGCTCAGACTTTTCCTGCATCTGTTGCTGGGTTTGGAGGGAAATTCGATCACACCGAGAGACACGAAATGTAGAATATCGTTGGAGGAAATATCGGTTGAAGGAGAAATACGCTTAGGAACGGATGGACGCCCTTCGAATCTTCACATCACGCAGGATGCATTCCTATGAGCGCTGTATGATCGCATGTATGGAATTGACTATTATAATCGTGATGCGTTCTGCAGCTTCCTTTTGACGGATTGACGTCAACTGACAGTGCCAAGAGGCATGTCAGGTCAACAACGTTGGCAATAACAGTCTCGCACGACTGGCCTCCCCCACTGGCAATAACAGCCACGTACGAAACTATATATATACATAACGATGCAGAAGAGTCTGCTTGTGATTTTTCACCTCAACGGTGCTTCAGAAAGGTTATATTCAAGAACTGCAGCCTGTCTCGAAAGCTGTATCAACACAGCTCTGAGAGCCTCCCACTCGCCAAGTCGGAACAGCAATACTTGCCACCTCCCGAGTCTGAGGACGACGACTCGACCTCTGACGACGAGTCCAAGTTCAATGCTAGAAAGGGCCGCGTCTACTGGACCTCTGCTTTCAAGGAAACCGAGAATCGCTCAACCCCCCGCAACCTCTTGTCCTTGAAGACCTTTCACCCAAAGAACTCAGTAAGCACTTTTGTGCGAGTGTGAGTGGGCTGAAGAAGAAAGACGGTGACCCATTGGCACTAAGCACTTTCACAATATACATAGCAAGATTGAAGGACTATCTGGGACGGGCGAAGGTAGTTCTGAAGGAGCACGAGTTTAGGCAGCTTGGAGATGTCGTCGTAGGCGTCGAGAATGCAAAATGCGCCACGAGGACAAGATGCCAGCCCGTCGAATGACGGTGACTTCACTGGCACCTCTGGCGTCAAGATCAAAAGGGATCGTACGGAGAATGACCGCACGCACACTCGGGACCGCTACTGGACGAACATCCTCGACAAGTAACAGAGCAACACTTTTCAGTTTGAATGATGTCATCCTCGACCGACCAACATCCCCTTCACCCTCGAAAGTCCGGTCCAACTCGAAAGTTCCTCCACCAATCAAACAGCGTCGCATTCACTCCCGAAAGCCCGATACAGCTCGAATGATACCACCGATCTCATTTTTGCTAACTGCGACAGTGCTTCTCAAGGGCTGCTGTGGGAATTCAATGAAACTATGAGCGTATCAATTCCATTCTGTGGGAAGCAAACTCTTAGAACACAATTTGGAGGTAGCGAATAAAGACGTTCCCGACGATTTGATCAAGGTGCAGTTTGTCACGATGGGGAGGAGATATGGATCTTGACGAGTTGTGGAGGCTTACGTTTTGAGCGGTGGATAGGGTTCCTTGGCCCCGTCGACACCTACTCCTCCCCCCTCCTGCATAGAATTCATTACGGGTCTAAGGGTTGGTTACTCGAAGCTGCCTTTCCATGTGTGCGAACCACCAATGATCATGCCGCCTATTACCGGGCTTATGTAATCGCACAGCACAAGCGACAGCGCGCGCGCCCCTGTCAGTCGACACAATGCAGAAAAACTATCTAGCGCCGAACCTATCTTAACAAACGCCGATCCAGGGCGGTGAACTTCCTTACAAGGATCCCCCTTTTCATCTCCCTTTCAGTTGATGGTCCAGAAACCTGGAATCAGTATTTCTTTCAGCTCAGTTGATCCATCGTTTTTCATCCCCATCCACGCCCACACTCCGCACACCCTAAACCAAACAAAATGCAATTGTGTTGCACTGCACATCTAGGGCCAGAAATCCATTCCGTCAGGTGGCTGCGCCAGGGTTGAACTTAGGTTCAGCCCCGCCTCCTTGCACGGAGGGGTCCAGATAGCCAGGGAGTATGCAACGTCGGGGTTTGGGGGAGCGGGGAAACTTCCCAGACACTCTTTCAAACCCAGCCCGCCCTCCGAGGTGAGTTCCATTCAGAGGCGTCACAGCCCGCGGAATAGTGCAATAGGGATTTGCAATTCCGGACAGGTATAAAAGCTGGAGCAGGACGGCGGCCCACCCCTGCCTCTCCAAGTTTGTACTTGCATGCAGGTTCAACTCAAACGGGTTGACCCCATTCGGAGACGAGAACTAGCACTCGGCTTCAACCCCGACGAATATAAGTTGTGCTTGAAGAATCAGAATCGCTTCGTCCAGGGCGTTCCCGCTGGACGTATCTACGAACCCAGCACTCGAAACTCCAATAGACACGATAGTACAAGCAGAAAGAAATATCCGGCATAACAATGTGTCCTCCAGCCGGCTCCGAGCACGCCGACATGGCCGTGACGAACGTGCCAGATGGGAAGAAGCAGTTGGCGTCGCTGTCGCAGATGCACGATGCCTCGAAGGATGCGGAGCTGCTGTCCCATTTGAAGTTGATGAGGCTCGAGGATGAGGCGCTTGCTCAGGCGCTGGCGGTGGTGAGTATCTCATCCGATAGAGGTCTTTCGCAAGTGGCTTGCTGCATGTACTGACCCGGAATGGTCTTCCCGTCGAAATGTAGGAACGGCGTGAAGCAGATGCGACCATCGAGCGGATCCATCGTGCCAACAACTTCCGTGTGTATCCCCTAGTCAACAATCCTCATGTACTATTGATTCCCTAACCCTTGACTGATGGATCCTCACCGGTATAGGCATCGATGAGGCCCACATCCGCGAAGCCAACATCGCCGAAGCCCAATTTCTCGCCGACATGCAGGATCTGGAGCGCAAGTGGATCGCCCGGCGCCAGGAAGAGGAGGCAGCGGACCTCAAAGAGGAAGAAGAGGTGTGTACGCTTCCACAGGCTCGAAATTGTCTTGCTGACGTCTAACAGGGAGATTTGCCGTCGACAAATATAGACGCAACGCATGCTCAACAAAGTCACCCAAGAACTGCGTGCCCTCAAACTCGGCGTGCGACAACGCGAGGAGGCCCGACAGCGGGTGATTTCTGTTAAGCGCCGCTTGCAGGAACGTAGAGCTACTCAACAGGTACTTCAATGTGTCTAGGTAGTCGCGCTGCGATGCACGATATAATGCGACTGACGTTTGTTTACGTTATGTAGATTCGCATGCAAGCTCTGGAAGTTCGACAGCAGCGAGAACGCCAAGCGTTGCAGGAATCGCATGCCAGGATCATCAAGAATACGAGTTTGTACCGGAACCTTCTGTTGCAGGTGCGTTTGTTCTTGTTTGAAACTGTTGTCCCTAGAAATGTTAGGGACTCACCGTTCATCAATCTCCAGGAATACGAAGACTCCGAGCTCAAAGGCCTAATCATCAATTCCTCCGGCTCAAGCGACCGCCTCAACGAGCTCCAGCAAGACCGTCTCGACTCTGACAAAGTGCACGAAAGCAAAATGCTCCAGCTAAAACTGCGTATGCAAAAGGAGGTCGAGCAGCTACGTGAAGAGCATCTCCTCCGCTTGAAACATATGCTCAAGACCAGCGAGCTTGAACTTAACTGTGTGGAGGAGATGGAGACGCTGGCTGCTGAGCATATGGTCGAGGAGTTGGCGAAGGAGGCGGAGCAGAAGAAGGAAGGGGAGGAGTTGGAGGAGAGTTTGGATACGCAGTTGGGGCAGATTAAGTCTTTCCAGGTTTGTAGTGCTTGTATTCTTCTGGTGATGATCAGTTTAGTAGAATGGTAACGCTGATGCATGCCCCCTGTTCACAGGTCCAACGCCAACTCCAGATGAAGGCTCAGCGAGTGGTGCACAGTCAACGTCAGGAAGCCCGTCAGCTCGTCAGGTACATAGATACACGCCAACCGTTGCCATTTGCCATACAACACATGTTCCCTCGACCCTCATTCCAAAATTCCAAAATTGCCGTTCGTGACCATCCCACTGATTGCATCTGTCATCCCATTCCGGCAACCTCTGAACAGAGCGCACAAAGTCGCCGCCAAGCAGCGCGAACGCCTCTTCATCGAAGCCGAAGAAGAGCTCGCGGAAGAGCGTCGCCAACTGGAAGTCAGCGGCGACATTGATGCCGAAGAGGCCTACTCGGCCCACCGCCGTGACAGCGAGATGGGCAGCGAGTACAGCGGCGTCAGCGGCGGTGGCGATGAGCGTCGCAAGAATGGAAGCGGGTCGGTTGCTGATAGGAGCGATTATAGTGGGACTGGGACGGACTTCTCGGATGCGTCGGAGATGACGTCCGGGACGAATGCTGAGAATGCGGCTGATGATGAGGAGCATGCTAAAGATGCCGCCCAACAGGGTTCAGAGGTAGGTGGCAATCTCCACCTCGGATCTCCGAAGATGGTTCTCCCTTCATACATGACAAACATCAACCTTCATGTGTCGGGCTGCTTCATCAGATCGAAGAGCAAATCCGCAAGAATCACCAGGCCATGGCTAACCTCAGCAAAAAGCACGACCGCGCCCTACAAGAGCTTCAAGCCCAGCAACGCGAAGTCCGTGCTAGCGTGGGCAAGGAGCACCGCGAGCTCGCCTCGGCGCTGCAAGCCGAGCTCGAAGACGAGTACAAGGCGCTCAAGGCCCAGCACGCGAAGGAGATGGCTGCGTTGCTGAAAGTTCAGAGCGTCGCGGACCAGCTTGAGGCTGACAACAAGGTGTCGAACAATCTGTTGTACGAGATGTTGCCGAAGTATGTAGCGGATGACTTGAAGATGGGGAGGAAGAGTGAGCCCAGGGATTTCGACTGTGTTACCATCTTGGTGAGTGGTCAGGCTCTTGGAACGCTGCCTTCAGGACTACTGTTTCAGTGCGCGGTGCGCGGTCTAGCATTACTGACCAACGTCATCCTTCTCCATCGCATCGTTCCTTCAGTATTCGGACATTGTCCAATTCACAAACCTTACATCGCAATCCACATCCTCCCAAATCGTCAACCTCCTAAACCGGCTCTACACCGCGTTCGACACCATCCTCGACGACTACTCGGACGTCTACAAGACCGAAACCATCGGCGACGCCTACCAGATCGTCGGCGGGCTCGACGGCCAAAGCGGCGCCAACGTTCCTGCACCCATCACCAGTGGATCGGATGGAGGCTCCGATGCCGGGTCCGATGCGGGTACGAGTAGCCACTCTGCACGTCTGGCGGCCCGCGAGGTCGTGGAGTGCGCGATCAGGTTTATGGATGCCGTGTTCAATCTGGATATGTCGGACCAGGTTAAAAAGGAGTTGCAGATTAGGATTGGAGTGCATAGTGGCCCCGCGGTTGGAGGTGTTGCTGGGTCGCTTATGCCCAAGTTCGCTTTGTTTGGTGATACTGTCAACATTGCTGGTCAGGTATGTTACCCCTCGATGCCGTTTAACATCCGTCAAATTTCATCGTATTCAAGCTTCATCTCTCTCCCACACGTAGATGGAACAAAAATCACAACCCACCCGCATCCACGTCAGCGAAACAACGTACAATCTCGTCAAAGGCGGCGACTACGAGTTCCAGCCGGCCGGCGAGGTGACGCTTGAAGGCGGTCTCAAGATGCGCAGTTTCTGGCTCATGGGTTGGAGCAAGACAAACGGAGCGAAAGCTGCAGGCGAATCGAGCGGCAGGAATTCCAGTGCTCAGCGCCTATCCTCCGCGAAGGCGAAGAGAAAGGTGAAGCTGGCGCAGTGAGGAAAGCCTGCTGCCAGGTTACGAATCGAATCGAGGCGAGTCATGGTCCTCGACTTGATGTGGACATTCGGGTTTTTCTTTTGGGTTCATCTTTTTTTTTGGTTTCTGGGATTTTGTCCATATTTCAAAACATGCATTTGCTGTGCTTGCTCCGCTCCCTGCCTCCGTTGGTCTGCCCATCTCTGCCCTTCCGCCATCCACAGATTTTTAGAGCATCACGTCCAACGTCCCCAGTCCAGCCCTTCTTCACGCGTTGTGAGAGCACGACGCGTTAAAGTAAGTGTTCCGGACATGTCGATCGCGTTCGGACATCAGGGCTCCCTTCCGCAAATTCACACCCCCCCTTGCTTCCTCGTTTTCCCCTCATCTGGAAGCCCCGCCTAGAAGAAGCCTCGTTTGTCCACCATCCGCCGCTCAGCACGCACCTCCACCCTCTCGCATTCTTGCAAACTGGTGTCACAGAAGCATGCTGCAAGCAAGCCAGCCAGGCACTATCCTCGGCTACGAGCTACTAGAAACGATTGGCGAGGGCGCCCATGCAAAGTCAGTCTCTTCCACCACTCCTACCTCGCCCACCCTCCACTGACCTCCCACTCCCCCCACCAGAGTAAAACTCGCAATCGACCCCGTCTCCCGGCAAGCGCTAGCCGTCAAACTCGTCCGCAAACACCGCGGTCCGAACGGCGCAACAGCACTCGCTCAACTGCAGAAGGAGATCAAAATCCACGCGTCGGTGCGGAATGAGAATATTATCGCGATGGTGAATGCGGCGGAGGACGATGCGTATGTGTATATTGTTTTGGAGTATGCGGCTGCCGGGGAGTTGTTTGATCGGATAGGTAGGGGGTTGGATTTGGTGGATGGGGCTAAGACACGGAGGGCGGGACAGGACTGGCGTGGCTGACGATTCTTGGGACTTCTAGAACCGGATGTGGGCGTGGACGAGGTCGTTGCTCATATGTATCTCCAACAACTACTGGCCGGTCTGGTGAGGTGACGATGTTTAGTAGGCGGGTGAGTGGAGAATATTTCAAACTGAAATCTATGGGGGTTGATAGGAGTACCTCCATGGGCGAGGAATAGCGCATCGTGATCTTAAACCGGAGGTGAGATTGTTTCCATCTCCACATGAGAAACACCGCAGCTCTATCTAACGATCCCACTCGTAGAACATCTTACTAGATCAAGATGGTGAGGAGCGCCCATAATATCGATGTTGTGGGGAGAATTCCAGTGCTAAACTAACAGCAATCCGGGGCACGTAGGCAATTTGAAGATCAGCGATTTTGGCTTGGCGACCGTGTTCGCTCACAAAGGACAGCGCCGCGTGCTCACTACCCCATGCGGTACGCCGCCGTACGTCGTAAGTTTCATGCATCTCCTTCCATACTTTGCCGCTTGTACCAATCACACTCTTCCAACCAGGCACCAGAGGTACCTCCCTGATCTCGTCTCGTTAGTCCACTTCATAATAAAACAAGCAAACTGACCAACAAATCTCAACCCCAGATCCACCGTCTAAACTACCAAGGCGACCAAGTTGACATCTGGGCCGTCGGGATCATCCTCTACGTCCTGCTGGCAGGAAGTGCGTCCCCTCCTTTCCCCCTCTCGCCCCTCCTCCCCCCCTCCCCTCACAACTGACTATCCGAGTTCTGACTTTAGACACACCATGGGGCGAACCAACGAAGCACGACGACAGCTTCATGTTCTTTTGTCGGCATTATACGGAGGGGTTGCGTTATATGCCTTGGGACGGGTTTCCGGGGGATGCGCTTGGTAAGGGATCGGAAATGAGGCTATGGAGTGGGGCACGGAGCGGGGATACTTATGAACAGGGCATTTGGGTGATAACTTTTACACATAGAGTTGATCATGGGGATGCTGTCGGTGGACGAGACGAAGCGCTATCGGATGGAGGATATCAAGAATAACGCGTGGAGTAGCCAGTGAGTTCCTGGATACAGGAAACTTGGGCGGGGTGTATATATGTTAGGCATTGTCGCGAGACTAATTGACCGCTTGCTTTCTCGGACGCAGACCAAACCCATTACTCACCGACGGTATGCATTGGGAACGAGTGGGTTATGGACGTTCACATAAGCTAACACAAACCCCTCCTCCAGGCAAATCCAACGACCCAGCCCAACTAGCCGAGCGACTGATATCCAACCTCGGGCCCGCAGCAGAGGATATGGTTGATCCAATGGCGTTGTAAGTGTCACGGACCCCTCCTCGCCCCTTTCCACTCTTTCCAGTTGAATTATCCACGCCCAGTCTTCATCTCTTCATCTGATCCGCCGATTCTTCCCCGGCCTTACAGAACATCCTACTCACAACCCTCAGACCTCCGCGCCGACGCCTACGCCAACGGCTCCGACGCAGCAGACGGCGCCCGGGCGGGGTTGGTGAGCTTTTCGCAGCCGATGACGGTTATGGATCGGTATGGTGCGACGCAGGGGGCTACGCAGGGGGTAAGTCTATCACACTGCTCTCAAATGTGGATCATTGCTGTTTTTCACATCTGAACCTAACGGTAATATTACGTCCGGATGATTTTTGTTCAGACGCAAATCGAACGCGGCGGCTTCATGGACCTCTTCCCCTCGGTCCGTCTCACGCGGTTCTTCAGCGATGCTGGGTTGGATGCGATCAGTGAGGGGTTGCAGGGGGCGCTGGAGGGGTTGCTTGTGCCTCATAAAATGACGCCGGTTTCTAAGCGGGTATGTGGTGGTCGTCCTGCGGTTTGTCTCACGCGATGAGCCAGAGGTTGGCTTAACGTCTCTTTGACTGGTGCGGCAGATAACGTTCACGACGGTCGACCGAAGGAAGTGCCCGATGCACGGCGAGATACATGTGCAGCCGGTCAGTGGGGGCATGCATTTGATTGCGTTCAAGAAGAGCAAGGTACGCGAAAGGATTCGACAGAGCGGAGAAGTTTTTGGTTTGATGCACAAAAGTGAACGACACCGCTCACTACGTTACATACTTGTGCTACTTTAGGGCGATCCTATCGAGTTCAAGCGGTTCTATCGGGCCGTGCTGGCGGCGGTTCAGCATCTGGTTGTCAAGTGATGCTTTGTGCCCGACAGAGGGATTGAAATTACAGCACCGACCAGGACACGCTTTAAGGTACATCCATCTGCTGCTTCTGCATACCCTCTCCTGGTGAGAGGATTCGACTGTTCCGTTCGGCAGTGAACGAGGAGCAGCCTTCGAGAGCTGCGTTCTAGCGTCCTGCGCTCCTCGTTTTAGGCCGGAATAGACAGCGTAGGCTGAAAAGAGCAGTGCAGCCTTCGAGAGCCGTGTCCTGCTCGAAGGTGATGAGCTGCGTCCTGCGCACTTTCTGAGAAGCCCACTCTGTGGAATCCTCAAACCAGACCTTCATTTCTTTCAACTGAAACCCTTTTTTTGTCTTTTCTACCTCTTGCCTCTTCTACATATACAGGGTGGCGATGCGGCCACGATGAATGGGGGAACCCAACCCGACGTCACTCTTTCGGACGCAAACACTGGCCGGAATCCACTTGGATCCTACTGCTACCTCAAGTCTCTCCGTCACTCAAGCTACCAACACAAATACGCCTATGACGAGAAATCCAAAAACCCCTCAAACGCTCACAAGGCCCTAGTGACTGTTCTCACAAATTCCTCGCATCACGGTACCCCAACATCCCCTCTACTCGTTCAGCTATAGCCAACGATGCTGTCAGTCCGGGCGATTCGATGCCCATCAGGTTGACGAACCCCCGGAAGGATAGAGGCGATTCGATGTGGAAGTCGTGGAAGGGGTCGGTGGGGGATGAGAGTTTCGGTCTTTGTGAAGGAGATGAAATCGGTGGGATTTCGTGGGCCAGAGGAGGGCAGGAATGGATTGGTTGAACATGTACATACCTAACGCCCGCGTAATCCACCCTCAGATCCTCCTTTGTCACACCTCTGAGATACTTCCCAATAGCGAACGCGAACGATTCTCGTAACTCATTATCTTCTACGGCCGTTACATCATCTTTACAGCCGACATAAACCGCATTGGGACCAAACTTAACCTGTCCCGCCATATCCACAGTGGCATGCACGCCCAGACCTTTCAGGTTCTTCTCAGGGACGGGATACACCAGTCGTTTAACGGGTTGAGGATTCCGCGCAAAGGTGTAGTATGTCCCCTTGCAGGGGTAGATCTTGGGTACTTGGGAAGCAGGGAGGAGCGTGGATGCGATGTCGTCGGCGTAGAGTCCTGCGGCGTTGATGACGTGACGGGCGTGAACGAGGAAGGGTGTTGGGTCGGAGGTGCGGATTAGGTAGCCGCCCTTTGAAGAGGGTGTGATTGAGGCGACTAATGTGCGGTACGCGATGTCGCCGCCGTGGGTGGTTATCAGGCCCTGTAACGGTCATGCTTTGAGATACATTGTCTCAACTGTGAGCCGCACCCTCAACGCACCTCCAAACACGCCATCAACGCATGTGAATCCACTATCCCCGTCGTTGGACTCTCCAGCACCGTATGTGCAATCACATTCGGCTCAGCCTCCGTGACATTTTTTCGGGACAGGAAGCGGACGGGAACGCCTAGGTCGTCCACGCGTTGCTTCATGTCGTACAGATAAGCTGCCTGGTCTACGTTGGTGGCGACGATCCATTTGCCGGTCCGTCTATGTGAGATGTTGTGTTGCGCGCAGAGGGAATAGAGGAGACGGTTGCCGCGGATGCAGAGCTGGGTTTTCAAGGAGGTCGGTGGGTAATATATTCCAGCTGTGCGAAGTGGGAGTGAGCGGTTCTCATTTAGAATGTGACGGTTCCGCTCGATCGAACGCACCATGAATGACCTCTGAGTTCCGTGAACTCGTCTCCATTCCAAATGCCGGGTTGCGTTCGAGTACTAACGTGGAGCCATGTCGACTGAGACGCGCAGCTATGGCCAGTCCTGCGAAAGTGCCCGGCGGTGAACTCCGCGTCGTCTCGGAAGTCATGCACTTGTCATCCTACCTACCACACCAGCACCTACATAGGAGCGAATTAGGTTGAGCGCCTCTTTGCCTCCCTGCGAAAACTCCGACAACGAACTCACCGATCACGAGATTGTCTACCGTCGCGTCCACATGAGGTTCCGCCCGAACCGTCAGACAGCAGCTGCCTAGAGCATGACTCCGACCATGTGCTGGAAGCCTCGTATGATATCTTTGCAGCCGCTTGATATTGGGATGTCGCACTATCATCGTCTGTCTGATGAGTGGTGGGAAAGCGTGGGAAGATCGCCCCACCACCGTCAGTCCCAGCTTCTCCTGCTTAGTCCCACATGGTTTGAACCGCGGCCCAAACTCCCAAGTCAGACGCGTGAGTTGTTCTCCAGCCCACTTTAATTCAGAGGCAAGTCACATGAGCAGTATAAACTCCGAGTGATGAGGTTGGAGCGATCAACGGGGCGCTCCATTACACCCATTCCATTTTGGTCTCGTTTTCACAGTAACGAAGATAGCAATGGCGAACGCACGGCCTCACAGGTGGGTAGAGAGAGAACGCAGCTACGACAGACACGCTCCCGGCAGGATCGATTCGATGGATGGACACGGCAGATGGATGGATGGATGAGTTGGGATGGATGAGTTGGGATGGATGGGTGGTGGAATGGCGAAGAGACATTTGGACGACGACATTCCGAACGAAACCGCAACATACCGAAGGCCGCCTACGGACAAAATAGACGCCATGCACCAAGGCTGAGCGTTGCTGCTCCCACTTTGGGAATTTCGACAACTTTGGGGTGGAGGCCATGCAATTTTCAGCTTTTGAATACGAAATGCACTCTCGATGCTATTCTGCGGGGCCCTAGAGGATGCTCCGAGAGTCGAACGATCGGAAAGAAGGGAGGGCGTTATTTGGAGCGGAGCGGGAGGGGTTTTCTGGGAAGGGTGTGAGAAATGAGGAAGTCTGCTTGGAGTTTTGTCCGGCGAATGGATGCAATTCCCACTGAGTTTACGAACGAACGACTGACTCGGGGGTGTCTTCCTTCAAATTCAGACTCTACGCCAAGGGCCGCGTGCTCGGTTTCCGCCGCTCAAAGCGCAACACCAAGGAACACACCTCGTTGCTCCAAGTCGAGGGTGTCCGCACCACCGAGGACACTGAGTTCTACCTCGGCAAGCGTGTCGCCTACGTTTACAAGGCCAAGAGGGTCATCGATGGCAGCAGGATCCGCGTCATCTGGGGCCGTGTCACCCGCTCCCACGGAACATCCGGCGTTGTGAGGGCCAAGTTCAGGTCCAACCTTCCCCCCCGCAGCTTCGGTGCCAGCATCAGGATTGTGAGTTTCATTCTTTGCACACTTTTTTGCCCTTCAATGCAGTATGCTAACTTCTCTTTTCCCATTTCTTTCTCTTTTTCCTAGATGTTGTACCCTTCCCGCGTGTAATTTGGTTACGATTAGTCTCGATCTGTCCTCGTCGTTCTACACCAAATGTAAAAAATCCTAAAAGAACGTCCTTTTGGTTCGCCACTGAAATTTGGCTGCCGTTGCTCCTTTCGTTGGAGGTGGAATCAGCCGTCGGGGTGCTGTAGGAGATGGAAGGGGGAGATTGGACCTATGTCGGGGGTGAGAGGGAACTTACATTGGGGAAAGCGTGAGCACGGTGGTTATGCTTTGTAACGCTCAGAAGGCAATAGCGATGACATGTGGGAGGCCATACGAGCAGGGATGATTCCGGTGGAGAGTTGTTCAGATTCCGGCGGTCAGAGCGATGAGGGAGCGGTTTGTGTGTGGGATGAATCATCCATCTGCGCCTGCGTAAAGACGCTCGCGTGAACTCCAGCGTCTGACGCAACAGAGACATTCCTCGCCTCACGTTTCCGGCGTACCATCCCGCACCTATATACCCCCCACCTGTCCCCTTCATAATGCTCTGCACTCGGCGGGTCCTCTCTCGCGCACAACTAAAGCCACTTTGCCTCTCACCCTCCGTCCGTCCGCTACCATTATCATGTCTACCCACCCCCATTCGTCCACGGCATCCCGCCTCCCGCCAGATCAGCACAACCCCACCGACTCATTCCACAGGCGGCGCCGTCAAACTAACAGTCGAACGATACCCGCACCTTAAGCGGGACCCGCGGTTCAAGAAGATTGACGCCGCCGATGTGGAGTTTTTCAGAACAGTGGTAGGGTCGAAGAGCGTGATTACAGCGGAGGAGCCGGACGAGCTTGAGCCGTTTAACCAGGTGAGGCCCCCAAGCCCGCTTGCTTACCACAGAAGGCGGTCGGACGGAACCATGCTCACCGCCCGCCCCCCCTCCCGAACCCCCACAGGATTGGATGCGCCGCTACAAAGGCTCCTCATCCCTCGTCCTACGTCCCACCAGCACCGCGCAAGTCTCAGAAATCCTATCCTACTGCAACACGCACCGCATCGCCGTCGTGCCGCAAGGGGGCAACACGGGTCTAGTGGGCGGGAGCGTGCCCGTACACGATGAGGTGGTGCTGAGCTTGGGGAATATGAATAAGGTGGTGGAGTTTGATGAGGTTGCGGGGGTGCTGACGTGTGAGGCGGGGTGTGTCTTGGAGGTGCTGGATAAGGTTGTGGGGGAGAGGGGGTATATGATGCCTTTGGGTAAGTACTCGTTTCCTTACCGTGTGATGGATTCCTACAACTAACGTACTGTGAATGATAGACCTAGGCGCCAAAGGATCCTGCCAAATCGGCGGAAACGTAGCCACCAACGCCGGCGGGCTCCGTCTGCTCCGCTACGGGTCTCTCCACGGCACCGTGCTGTCGATGGAGGTGGTGTTGGCCGACGGCCGGATAGTCGAGCTGGGCAAGCCGCTGCGGAAGGATAACACGGGTTACGACCTGAAGCAGCTGTTTATTGGGTCGGAGGGGACGTTGGGTGTGATTACGAAGGTGTCGATTTTGACGCCGGTTAGGCCGTCGAGTGTTCATGTTGGTGAGTGTCAGAGAAATCACTCCTTCGATCCGTACACGCAAGGCCGCTGGAGACCTGTTACTAATGCTATGTCACCCCTCACGAAAACAGCCCTCTTCGCAGTCCCATCCTTCTCGCACGTCGTCAAACTCTTTCGCGCCGCCCGCACCGACCTCACCGAGATCCTCTCCGCCTTTGAATTCTTCGACGCTACCTCCTTCACCCTCGTCAAGCACCACATCCACGGTATCCGTGACCCCTTCTCCACTTCCACCTCCTCCTCATCCCCCTTCTACGTCCTCATCGAAACCGCCGGCTCCCACTCCGACCACGACACCGCGAAACTCGACGCCTTCTTCGAACGCGTGTTTGAGAACGACATTGTGGAGGACGGAGCTGTGGCCCAGGACGAGGCGCAGGCGAAGGCGATGTGGAGTATCCGCGAGAGCATCACCGAGGCGCTGGCGAAGGAGGGCGGGAACTACAAGTACGATCTGAGCGTGCCTGTGGAGCGGTTATGGGACATCGTCACGGACGTGCGGGCGTATCTCACCAAGGTCGGTGTGTACGCCGGTGAGACGGGGGCAGAGACGACCGCAGAAGGGCAGCCGAGATTCACCCACATCGCCGGCTTCGGCCACATGGGCGACGGCAACCTACATCTCAACCTCACTTCCACGGGGTACCACCCCACCCTCGACACCGCCATCGAGCCCTACCTCTACAAGCTCATCCAGCGCCACGAGGGGTCCATATCCGCGGAACACGGGCTTGGGTTGATGAAGGCGCCGTATTTGGGATACAGCAAGAGCGAAGAATTTGTGGCGTTGATGAGGAGCGTTAAGGGGGTGTTTGATCCGAGGGGGGTGTTGAATCCTTATAAGTACTTTCCGAAGCAGGAGGAGGGGGAGGGGATTACGGAGGCGCCGGGGAAGACGGCGGTGGAGAGGCAGACTAGGCAGGTTGTAGAGTAGGGTTTAGAACGCGGTAGATGGTTTGAGTTGACAGCATCAGTATGGTGAAATTCCTATGGTACTGAGAACGGCGAGGGTTGCTCGCTTATCTACATATACTGTCTATAGTTCATACACATCATGCGGATTCGTCTTTTCTACAATCGACAGGAAACCTCTTGGATAGCTGGTCCTGCCTGATCGATATGCATTTACGCCAAAACCCCCAAGCGCACACCAAAACGCACTATAAATCCCTCAAGAAAGCGCCCTCGCCAAATCCCGATGATACTCCCTCCGATCCGGGTCAATCACCTCCAGCCTCTGCAGGATCTCGCGGGCTTCGGTCAGGCTTTCGGGGTTGGAGAGTTTGGTGAGCATGTGGACCATTGTTAGGAGGGCCCCTGTTTTGAAAATAGGAGACTGTTAAGTGGTTGTCTGGAGTGGGGGGGTGGTTGGGCGGAAACGAGGACGAGGAAGGGCGTTACGTTGAAACGTACATTTACTATCCGGCTCAAGATCGACGAGTTCGCGCACGGACTGAAGCTCGGATTCCCAGCGGGTTGTGTCGTTTTCAACGAGGCTGAAAGGGGCAGGGATCTGAGTTCGTCCACGAAGAAGGGCGTGTATCTGGCATGCAGGTAGGTGCTATGATTACCTTAGCAGCCACCGCTGGTACAGCCACGCGCTCTGGTCTGCGGGTTCCGTGTAGATTGCGTTTCGGACTAGTTCGAATTCTGCCCCATATTCAAATCCAAAATCCATTGAGGACCTATGCTCTCTCTCGGCTATGCATGTGTGGTTTTCGCGCACCTTTATCCAACACCCCCTCCCGCTCCTTTTCATCGTCGAACGCCAGCAGCAGCACTTTACTCCGATAATGCCACGCCGAATAATTGGAGAAGTTCTGCGCAATCTTCTCCGACGTGTAGTTGAACTCCTCGAGTGGGGTTCGTGCATGCGAGGCTGCGATTACGTAGCGGCGGTGGCCCCATCCGTGGACTAAGCAATTCATGGACATCAATCAGCGATGCGGGGAACTTGGGGGCGAAAATAGGTCCCCGCACACGTACAGTTTCGCGCATCCATATCCAACAACCCGCCCAGCAGCTTCAGCTCCCGCGCCCATGTCGGCTCCGGCATGTTTTCGAGCAGCCAGCGGCGGTGGTTCCAGACCCAGTACGATTTAGGGTTAGCTTTGAGAGCTTCGTCAGCCAGTTTGAGTTCCGAGAGGCAGAGGGATTGGTAGGCTTCGTCTGATCTGTGCGTCCCAGTGGGGTTAGCATTATGGGAAAAGTCGTTAGATGGAAGTGGATCATTTTCCACATACAGTGTTTTCCGCCGGTCCAGCATGATTTTCCGGCGATAATTCCACATGGTGTAGTATTCAGGACACATGGCCAGGATCTTTGTCGTGAGGTCAAACGCCTCGTTATCGTATATATCATCTCGTCGCTGTTCGGTCGTTCGGAGATCAATATGCGTTGGCAGCATTGGCATAATGCATAATACTGAGAACCAGGCGCACCTTTTTTGAAAGAGCGTCTGTAAGTTTGCGATACTCTCCCAGCTTCTTTCGGGACTTTTCCCGTTGTGCTTCTAGAACCTCCTCGGAGATTTTGGACTTCCTTTGATGATGCTGTTGGCGTGAAATGGGGTGTGGTCATCGGCGGTGAGAATTTGAAGGTCGAACTCAAGGTTAGGAGGTGAGTGTCGCGACTCGGGCGAAGAGGGATGCCCCCATACCTGACCGGCGGACATGACGGACAAGGACTCTGCGGATAGGTGGTTGAGTGTTGACGGTCTGTGTATGATATTAGTAGGCTATGCGGTTCACAAGTCATTCTCCCACGTCCGCGCGTTCATACGTAGGTCTTCAACAAGTTTTCGCCGATGACTGATGCAGACCGCTGTTTGTGTCCCCGAGTCAGTCAATCCTAACTTTTCCCATTTTTCGTGTATTTGGGGCAAGATGTGTATGTTTTGAAAGCATCTCGAGTTCGATTCCAAGATGAACCGTATTTTTTTCTGCTTGAGGGGTCACGACGGATCTCTACCTCGTACTGGCACCATTCTAACGCCTTCCCATCTGCGTCTACCTTATTGACTTTGCGTAACAGATCGGCAGATGCATTGAGAAAACCTATCAGCACACGATGCCAAAACAAAACAAGAACAAGAACAAAACTTTCATCCCACAAGCGGGGACCTTCTGCGCAATCGTTGTCATCCCTAGCGAGGTGTCGACGGCCGCGTATTCTCAACACTCGCGCCAGTCCGGTCAAAGCGATAGTGTGGTTCCGGGGTCCCGCCTTTGCTACGTACGGGGTCGCCTAGGGAACACGTTTTCCGTACACTTCTGTACCGGTTTTGGTGGGAGAGACATCAGAACACAGTTTAACGATCATTCGGAGAAGAGAGACCGGTTTCTCGCTCTCGCGCCAACTCCTTCACATAACCAACATGGAGCTTTGAAGACTGTGGACGGATGGGATCGCAGTCCCGCGTATATTTGCCTCAAACCTGCTATACAAGTCACCATGGCTAGGACAAAGAAGGCTAAGCACCCCGTACCAGTTGTCCCAACGGAGGAACGGGATCGACTGGATGTTCTGATAGATACGTTAGCCATGATGGATCTTCCTGATGCGGATGAGGAGGGTGGAGATGAAGATAGGGACGACAAGGATGAGGATGAGGATGAGGAGGATGGAGATCAAGACAGGGAGGACAAGGAAGATGGTCGGAGTTCGGACGAGCCGAAAGGTCACTTGCCGGAAACTGAATCGTATGATAAGGATTTCCCCAGCGGCGGATTGGTGGCCTTCGATAGCACACGCCCTCCACCAAGGTATTCTTGCACTTCGTCTGTGCAAAGATGGGCATACGAGGTGGCCGGAATCGATATCGACTCACTCGCGGAGAATGACGCTGCTGTAGCTGCTGTACGAGATAGCGACAACTGGTCCGAAGTCAGTGGTTTCAGCCCACAGGACCTCCTTGCAGCTCGGGAGGATCGGATTGAGCAGGTCCGCGTTATGTTCTCAGATGACCTCAGCGATATCACCATGAGCGAAGACGATCCTACAGGGATGTTTATGCGTGAGGCGCGTAATTTTAGGTCTATCACTGTATTGTAATCTTTTGGGAAGTCACAAAGTTTAATGTCAGAAGTAGGCAGGGTCTAAGCAGGGTCTAACGCCAGAATGCCCATCTATCCCGCATACATAAGTTTCATTGATATCGACAAGTACCCGCCGAGTCGTACTTACGGAGGCGATTTCAGGGGTCTCCATTCTTTCCTGGAAGCTCTGGAAGAAGGTTCATTCATCGATCCCAAGCTTGTGACACATTCCCCTGGAGCGAGCCTGTATGTGGAACAGGCTATCGGTAGGGAGCGACTATGGGACGCTTTTGAAGAACTGTACAACGCGGTTCATGGTGGTTGGCGTATTTCTCTCGAGGCAAGGGCAAAGATGGGGTCATGCGAACGTGCTGATTCTTGACTTTCATCACAACGTGTATCAGCTTTTTGATCCTCATGGATTTGGGAAGGACGGGTATACCGCTATTGAGAGAGTAGTGAACAACGCTTCGTTGCGGCTTGATGGTCGCTGGAAAATGTCTTTACAGCGATCGCTTGTCACACCTGGTCGCAGACATCGGGCAGGTCCGCAAAGTCTGCAAGCGCGATTCCGTCTGGAGGAAGGCTACTGTGTGGTCTGGACGTTTCTATGGGTGCATTTGGTGCTTGCCAACCCTCACACGGGTAGGAATGAGTTGATGGACTATTTGATGGATCGCAACCCGGAGGAGATGTTGAACATCATCGAGCGTTACATGACGTTTGTATTGCAGACGGTGAAACCGCGCAAGAATATCTACCTCACCGCTGACAACTTTTTGTATAGTGCGGATGGGCGTCTAGATGATGGCGACAAATACTTTGGCGGACATTGGATGTACTCCTGGCCACATGAAGCCATAGGAGCAATCAATCGGCGTTTCGACCGACGTCGTCGGAGCCCTGCATTGCAGGATGTCGACGACAACTATCGGATCATTGCGTCTTGAAATGAATCAGTGGTTCCTTCTCCTTCTCCGACGCCTGTCGCACGACGACTAGGCAGTTGAACTGCAGGTCCTTTCCGGAGACGAGATTCCTCTTGACCGACTGATGACGGTGATCCGGGTCGCCCGGGTCGGTGGAAGACTGAACAGAGTGGGGCACAACATGGTCGAGTTCCTTTCTTCTTCTTTCATCTAAGTAGTTTCGTGTGTTAAGATTGCTATATATAGGCGTAGCGACCGCCTCGGCGAATCCAAGTACGTGACGTCTGAGCGTCTGATAGCGATGAGAGCGCCGTTAGCTCAAACCCTGCTGCGAGGGCCACCCATAATCAATTACGATGTTCTCGAATTGCTCGAAGATAGTTTGGAACGGTCGTTAGGGAGCCTTGCTTTGGACACGAAAGTGTTCGTTATCCTCTTCCCAGATCAGATACGTCCCAATCCGACAACATTGCAGGCCTTCAAGAGGAACATCAAAATATTGATGAAGAGAGAGGGTTTCTGTGTATGGGGGATCCGATTCACCGCTGATAGTGCGTATGTGACGATCGACTGGGAGCAAACCAGGAAGAAAAACATAGGGCTGCCCCTGACAGCGCGTCTCATATAACTGAATTCCCTGGCTGTATATACAGCTTTCTAGCCTCAACCCCTCTCATCCTTCCTGACTACCACATACCAATTATCCCTATCATACCCCGCCTTAACCGTTGTTGCACCTTCCAGCTGTCCCACGAGCGCATCGAGTTCGCCAGCTTTGAACATGTGGTAGTATCTGCAATTGGACATTTTAGCACACTGCGCGATTGTGACTGCAAATCCTAGCTCACCTTTGGTACACACGGTCCTCTCCTTCCTCTTTGAACGCAGGTGCTGGTGCTGTCGTATCTGGGGAAGGCGCGGTCTGTTGCGACTTGTCGGGGTTGTATCGTTGCTTGGGCATATGCCACGGGACGAAGACATCCTGTTCCTGGAACTTCCGCTTGCCCTAATGCGTTGCATGTCAGGGGGGGCGGAGGGGCGGTAGAAAAAGGGGCACATGATAATAGTCCAGATCCTCACCTCCTGCTCAAACGCCCATACGAATATAAGCATGGATCCGCCTGGCCGGAGAATCCGGAACAGCTCCTAGAGTCGAAAACCGCCGCTTAGCTTGAGCCCGTCCGGCATACTGTATGTACATACTCCCCGTCTCCACCACACACACACCTCAACAGCCCCAAACCTCCGCTCCGGGCTCGACATATGATGTATCACCGCAATCGACGTGACGAAATCCTACAGCCAGAATTCATCAGCCCCTCCCACCCCCAGATCAGCCCCCCCCAATCGAAAAACAGCTTGTGTACATCGTTATCTTACAAACGAGGCGTCCCGGTACGGCAGCCGCAGGTTGTCGCACACCATGGCTTCGAAGCCGCGGGCGCGGCATATTTCTATCAGCTTTATGCTCCTACGTGAATATCATATGTCGTTAGGGCAAGGGATAGGGGATATGGGGGAAGTAGGACGGGGGGGGAGTATGTACTGTACCTGTCGGACCCCACAGTGAACACCTGCGGGTTGACAGCGAGGTATTTCCCATTCCCGCATCCGACATCGGCCCCGAGGGCTCCTAGCTGCAGGTGTCTAAAGGCCAAAGCCCACGATCATTAGTCTCCCAGCCTATTGTCTCTCTGATCCCTTTGAGGCCTCGCCATGTGGACTCGAAACCACCCACTTTAGAAAATCGTCAACAACGGGCCAGGGCTTGTATCGCGTGGCGCTGAAATGCTCGGCAATGACGTTGTAGACGTCGTGGACGTGGTCTTGCTCGAGGACACGGTCTGGCTTGCCCAGTGTTGATGTCATGGCCGGGTCGTAGGTTGGTTGGTCTAGCGAATACCGCGTCGGGGGAGCTCGTTTGGCGATTTCGAAAGTCCCAGATGCGCTAACATCAGGATCACACTTTTCCACGCTCCAGCTGGGCTCGAGAGGGTTTTTTCAGGTCCATGTGTACATGTTTCATTTCGAACACAATATAATAATAAGCGAAAGAAAAAAGTAAATCCCTATTCTCGTTCCCACACAGGGAAGAGGTCAGGAAAGTGTGTTTTGGGGGGGGGGTGCAGACAGCGGGATTTTGGAGGAATTGGTGTTTGAACGCGGCATACGGGCCATTCATTGTTTTCCCGCCAAAGGAAACCCCGCGTCCTGGTCTGGTCCTGATCTCAAAGCCGACGTTGGGTGGGTAGTCAGCGGCTGCCGTGAAGCTTTCTCTCTACAAAGTCCCTTCTTCCATATTCTAATCCTCCTTAAGTTTCCTCGCCGGCACAATCCACTGCCTCGACACAAATTTGAGCACCTCATCGATCAGGATGACGGGGGCGGAGATCCACAGCACCGCTTGCCATTCGGCGAGGTTGAGGGGTGTGATTGAGAAGAGATTCTGCAAAAGAAAAGAAATCACAAACCATCGTTAATAAACCCACGAGAAATGCAAAAGGAGGGATTTTGCAACTACTCACCGAGAAAAACGGCACGTAAAGAATAACAAAATGCAAACACATGCTCAGCACCACGCTGACACACAGGAACGGGTTCTCCCACACCGGGAACGTGAGCAAAGATTCGTTTTCAGAGAGAGAGTTGATGGCGTTGAACATCTCGACGACGACGAGGATGGAGAGGGACATCGTTGTCGCTTTTTGGGCGAGGATGTTGTGGAACATGTCGCAGCCGATTTGCGGGAATTGGGTGGCGCAGGAGTGGAAGTGGGTCTACAGAATGGATCGAGAAAGATAGTGGTTAGCAGCCCTGTAAGAAGTACCGCGTGGTTATCCAAAAAGAGATTCAGGTGGAACTCACCAACTGATGAAACGAAATCCCCGGCCCACCCTCATAAAACATAAACCACCAAGCATAACCAAACACCGTCGCAAATCCAACATAAGTGCCTACAATCATGTATCTTGTAAACAGCCAGCCGGTGACAATCGGTTCCTTGGGGTCGCGCGGCGGGCGGCGCATGATGGCGTGGTCGGCGGGGTTGAACCCGAGAGCGGTGGCTGGGAGACCGTCGGTTACCAGGTTGACCCAGAGGAGTTGAACGGGGATGAGGGCTTCGGGCATGCCAAGGATTACTGTTAGGAAGATGCTGGTGGGATAAACAGATGTTAAGTAAAAACAGTAAAAATCAAGCTGATGAGGCGAGAAGAGCGAAAAGAAAGGAAGATCGCAGACATACCTAACAACCTCCCCGATATTCGAACTAATCAAGTACCGAATAAACTGCTTCGTATTCGAGTAAATACTCCTCCCTTCCTCGACCGCGATCACAATCGTCGCAAAATTGTCGTCAGCGAGCACCATATCACTCGCCAATTTCGCCACATCCGTGCCGCTGCCCATCGCGATTCCAATATCCGCTTTCTTGAGCGCCGGCGCGTCGTTGACACCGTCGCCCGTCATGGCCACGATGAACCCTTCACCTTTGAGGAGATCGACCAACTGTTGTTTGTGGGCGGGTTCGGTGCGGGAGAAGAGGTTGGCGCGGTGCACGGCGGCGATCTTGTCTTCCAGGGACATATCGTCAAACTCGCGGCCAGTGTAGGATTTGCCCGTCAGGTCCTCGTCCTCGCCAAACACGCCAATTTGGCGGCAGATGGCTTCCGCGGTCTTCTTGTTGTCGCCCGTGATCACAATGACGCGGATGCCCGCCACGGCGCATTTGCGGATCGAGTCTTTGACTTCCGGGCGCGGGGGGTCCATCATGCCAACGAGGCCGACAAAGGTCATGTTGGCTTCGTATTTTGCGTAGGACGAGGGGTCGATGCGGTCCGGGACGTTGGGCTTATCCACGGTGGCAAAGGCGAGCACGCGAAGGGACTCGTCTTCACCCCACACGGCCACTTTCTGGAGAATGCTCTCGCGGAGGGCGGGGGTGAGGGGTGTGGGGTCGGAGGTGGAGGAGAGGCGGATGAAGGCGCAGCGATCGAGGACTTGCTCGGGTGCGCCTTTGACGAGGAGGGCTTTGGAGGTGGATGCTGAGGACTGGCGGGTGACGCGATTGGCGGAGGAACCGAAGACGGAACCGCCGTCAATGCGTTCGACGAGGACGGACATGGATTTGCGGTCGCGGGAGAACTCGAGAGTGGCGAGACGCTTGAACTTTGCCGCGATGTGGTCGCTTACGTGGGAGATTCGACGGGTACGTTCGGCGGCAGAGAGTCCAGCGAGGCCGTTAACGTCCGCCGCGAAGGTGATGGCGCGGTTGACGGTCGGGTCGTCGGTGCCAAGTTTCTCGGCGAGGGTCTTCAGGGCGGCTTCGGTTGGTTCCCCAATCTTCTGGTACTGATCAGTTTCCTGAGACAGAGGGTTCGACCCGGTCAGCAGATCCGCAATAGCACTGTATCCATCCGTCAAAACTCTTTTTCCCTACCTCATCGTAAGTGATAGTAGCGTCATTGCAGAGCGTACAGATGTGGGCCAGCTCATTCAACGCCGAGTTATGCACAAGCACATCACGGTCTACCTGCACACCCTTCTGCAGCACACGTCCAATGGGTCCGAAACTGGTTCCTTCCACTTGGTACTCCGACGGGCTCGACACGGTGTTCCACACCAGCACGCGACGGACACTCATCTGGTTGGTCGTGAGAGTCCCCGTCTTGTCGGAGCAGATCACGCTAGTGCATCCAAGAGTCTCCACACTGCGCAATTTACGGACAATCGCGCCTTCCTTCGCCATCTTCTTGGTTCCCAGCGCAAGACAGGTGGTAATGATCACGGCAAGCCCTTCAGGGATAGCAGCCACAGCGAGCGCGACGGCGATCTTGAAGTAGTAGATGGCGCCCTTAACCCAGTTCCCGTGGAAGGCTTCGTCGTTGAAGTGGCGGAAGTTAATGACCCAGACGAGGATGCAGATCACGGTAATGATTTTCGCGAGCTGTTCGCCGAAATCGTCGAGTTGCTGTTTCAGGGGCGTTTTTTCGTCTGTTTGCGAGGTGATGGATTGATGGATCTCGCCGATCGCGGTGTCGGTTCCGGTCTGCACCACGACGGCGATGGCTTTGCCGATCGTGACGGTGGTGCCAGAGAACAAGATGTTGACCTGATCCTGCTTCACCGCTTTGGCATCTTTGACAACGGTGTCTGGGTCCTTTGACACCGATACTGCCTCTCCGGTCAGGATGGACTGATCTGTCCTGAAAGCTGAAGAAATGATCTCCAAGAGACGGCAATCGGCGGGGATTTTGTCTCCGACGGCGAGGTGCACGATATCTCCGGGCACCAAGTCCTTGGCGTGAATCTTGTGGACGCTCCCGTTACGCATGACCTTTGCCTCATCCGGAGAGTATTCCGCTAGTGCCTGAAATCACGTCCAAGAAAGTCGGTCACGCGTTCCAGAAATGCCAAGTTCCTCCTACAAAAGCTTGTCACTTACCTCAATAGCCTTCTCCGCATTCGTCTCCTGCACCACTCCCACGACCGCGTTCGCAATGAGGATGAGTAAGATGACGATGGGCTCCACAAACGCCGTTCCAGCCTCCGCTTCGTCGGTTTCCAAGAACGCCAGCACGAACGAGATAGCGGCAGCTCCAAGTAGAATGATCACAAGCTGGTCTTTGAACTGTTCGAGGATGAGCTCCCATAATGGCGTTGGTGGGTCCTCCGGGAGTTCTACGAAAATAAGCAGGAGAGTTAATGAGTAAAGTTGGGTGACGAGCGAGGCGATAGTTGATGGCTGAAGTTTGACGGATGGAAACTAACAGCCTGCTCGCCTCGCTCGCGTCAACGAGATTGGGCTGCGATGTATAGCTCGCTTCACTCGCAAAGACCCAACGCTCGCCCGAGCTCGTTGAAATTGCGGTTGTGGGGAGTATTGCGCCTTTGGCGCGATGTGAACTCGCTGCGGCTCCCAGAGCAAACCACCCTCAAGCATTCTTTGCGCCTAGTCGCAATGGGCACGCTGTCTTCGCGAACCTCAAGCATTCCCGTGCCTGCGGCACCATCTCAAGCATCCGATCGCCCCGTCCGACCTCAAGCACTCCTGCGCTTATCGCACAGTCCTCACGTATCTCGCCCAACCTCAGTCATCCCATCCCCTATGCCGCCCTTCCTTCGTGCCTCCTCCTCCTTCTCCCTGACATACCGTTATGACCATACTCCGCAAGCCTCTTCTCCGCGTCCTTTGTAGAAAGTCCCTTCTCCTTATCAACATTCAAGAACTTCAACACCTCCTTTGGCGTTTTTGTGTAAGCGGCTTCCATATTGTCCTAGGTTCCAAAGTTCGCAATTCTGAGTCGGAGACGTTGCAAGCGGTCCTCGAGATGCCAAAAGTCGCGCTTGGGGGGTAAAGCGCGGATGTCAAGACCGGAGGGAGCGAGTGAACAACCTGCAACCGGTTATGGAGATGGACGGTGAGGGAGGGATACCTCCGATGTAGCGGTGCTGAGTAGGCTTGGGAGTTGAAGCAAAGTCCGCTCAGTGATCTCTATTTGCCTGTTGGGGGGGTGGGGTAAGGAAGCTGTGGCGGCGACGGGAGCTTCTTGCTTTATGATGTTTTCCACCACCAACACGTCTCTAATAAATGCAACAGCTGAGCGTTGCAAAGACCGCGCAATCAGATAAGGAGTTGATTAGCCAGGGAGGCTGCTTGATGCGTCTTCTGATTAGCCGCGCTCCATCTGGGAAGCGGCAGAAAGCGTTGGAAATGGGACGCGTTTGCACACACTGATTGGCTGTTTGCAGGTCGCTGCGTGTCGGATAACTGCTCTCATACATCCACGTGACATGGTTCCCTCGGATTTAATCTCTCGCGTTCTAGCTGGCGAGCGAGGACCACCTTAATTAAGCCAAGCCCTATGAGAGCCGCCCAACGAAGAATTCTGGCAACTATCTACCGGACGAGACGAACGCTTTCGGGTTGAAAGCACAAGAAGATTTTTTGAACGTGTAAACGGAAACGGGCCAGACTTCCAAGTCAAGGCAGGCATACCAGCCTCGCATATCCCTTTAGTGTATACTCGGCCACTCTGCCGCGGACGGGAGAATCAAAGCAGAGGACCACCGTCGCAGAACAGCTTGATGATTCTGACTGGCCTAAATATAAACAGTCTGAAGAACCTACTGCGTCGCGGCAAAACCGGCGCCACAGTCCGCATCTCCATAGACGCTCTCTGCTGCCGAAGAGTCGTAGCATAGCCTTGGCAGATACAGTATATTTCTCGCCAGAAACCCCTCCTTGCACTGTCTGTGCATAGTATATATACTATCTTCTTGGCGCTGGACTGCATTTCCAGTTGTCAGACACCACATCAGATACGTCAGTATGAATAATCGAGGCGGGCACATATGCAGTCCAGTCAGTGGGAAGCAGAGGGGGAATAATGCAGGCGGAAAACGCGTCGGCGGTGTTCGAGTGGGGAGTCAGACGGTTCCGACCCCTCATCCTTATTCTGCTGTATGTACACAGATCATATACCGGCAGTGGCAGCAGGCAGGCCCTCTCAACGAGCGTGAGCCACACACACCGCAGCTGCAGCAGCTGTTCAACTCAGTTGGCCTCTTGGTGTCGCGTGAGAGACTGGAATTCTCTATAACGCGCTGCTCCTCTCTGCGACAGTCCCTCTCCCACGGAGTCCCTCCCAAACGAAACAATGTCAACCTTCAAAGAAAGGTATGAGAGCCTTGGATTGCGTACTATATACAGTACACACGAGCCCGGGGGGGGATGCCCTCGGAAGATTCTCCTTTTCTTATGCGAAATGCATTGTTGGCGCCCTCCATTCTCCATAGGCTGGCCTTATTTGAACGTCTGGTCGGGCCAGAGACACCGGCCGACTACGATGGAGAAGCATTTCGCCAGCTTTGTTTCAGAGGTAATGTACACCCTAAGAATCCCAGTTGTTTTTATTGCACCATCCTCATCCTATCATCTTCCACCAGGCATCCCTGACACGCCCCACATCCGCCCACAAGCCTGGAAACTCCTTCTCCACTACCTACCCTTTGACTCGACTGACAGGAAAACAAAATGGCCTCAGACATTGAGGGAACAGCGGGCGACGTACTATGCGTTCGTTAAGGAGTTGATTAGGAATCCCAGTGAGGAGGAGCTGGAGATGGTGAAGCGAGGAGGTGGTGGATCAGGATGTGGTGATGGTGCGCCAGGGGCTGCGGATGTTGATCACGTAAGTTGTGACAGCGAGCCACGAGCGAAGCGAGCGGTGGTGGATGTACTGCGGCGGGCAAAGGGAATGCGGACGCGAGAGACTGCGACGAGCGAAGCGAGACGCACGGATGCTGGAGGAAGGAGAGCCATGAGGCGAGCCTTGGTTCGGTGCGGGAAACCGAGCGTTGATTTGTCTCACTCTCTTACACTCCCTTATCCGATATGTACAGCCACTAAACGACGCAAGCGGTTCGAAATGGCAAACGTACTACGAAGAATTGAACATACTAGGTGTGTTATCGGCGAGCGGGAGGGTTAAGCACGGTTCGCTGATCTCACGCATGTACTGATGATTCACGTCGGTCATCAAATAATCAAAAAGAACAGATCGACAAGGATGTTAGACGGACATTACCCGATCTCGCGTTCTTCCAACTGCCAGTACCCGAATCAAAGTATTCCCCACTGCACAATAACCCATCGACGACAAAGTCTGCGGAAGATAAAGGTGACAGCAATACCGGGGACAGCACAGGCGACGCCCCACCGGCAAAGAAACCCCCACCACCCGACATCAAACCCTTCTCGCCCATCCAATCCCGCCGCGCCCTCTTCAAACGCCTCGAACACATGAACGGCACCGACCACCAATTCGGCGCCCGCACCCGCGCCTCCCCATCCCCGCAACCATCCCAAGACCAAACGCCAACCCAAACCCCTCTCCTCTCAGCCCTCACCAAACGCCCCTCAACCATATCAATCCCCGACCGCACCCCCGAATCCGGCGACCTACATTGGGAAGCCATCGAGCGGATCCTCTTCATCTACGCCAAACTCAACCCGGGCATCGGCTACGTGCAAGGCATGAACGAGATCCTCGGCCCGCTGTACTACGTCATGGCGAACGATACGGATGAGGAGAGCCGCGCGCATGCGGAGGCGGACTCGTTTTTTGCGTTCACGGTGCTGATGGCCGAGTTTAGGGATCATTTCATACGGTACCTTGATAACGTCGGTGGGCCTGCTACCAATCCGACGGCCAATGAAAAACAACAAAATCAAGTGTCGAGATCGTCCCTGACGTCCATGCCCTCAGACCTTTCAATGAACAGCGGGGGCATGATGTCCACACCACTCTCACGCAAGAACTCGCTGGGCGAGCTGGCGATGGAACAGATCTCGGGCAACGGGATAGGGAACAGCATGACGAGGTTGATGAAACGGTTGAAGAAGAGGGATTTGGAGCTCTGGAAGGATTTCGTAAGTCGCACCTCCCAAATAATCCGTCTTGTCTTCCCCCTCCTCACCGTTCGTATTCCTGTTTTTTTTTATGAAGCAATTGAAAGGCATCCACCCAGCCTACTTCGCCTTCCGCTGGCTCACCTGCCTCCTCACCCAAGAGTTCCCCCTCCCAGACGTCATCCAGCTCTGGGACTCCATCCTCGCTGACCTCGCCCTTGACATCAACGCGGCGTCGTCTCCTTCCGCCGCGGCGGGTGGAAGCAGCGCTGGGGAGCAGATGGTGGAGGGCAGGGAGGGAAGGTTTGAGTTTTTGATTGATGTTTGTTGTGCGATGATTATGTGGGTAGAGTGCGGTTTGTGTGGGAGGGGTTCTCGATGGGGATCCCAAGTGGTGTGTGCTGATTTTTTGTTTGAATAGATGCATAAGAACGGAACTTCTCGCGGGCTCCTTCTCGGATAATATCGCACTGTTACAGGTTCGTTCCCGCCTCACACACCCTCGTCTGTTTGGCACATACGCTTTGTTTCTCATCATACATTTACTATTATCACCAACGACAGAACTACCCAATCTCCGACCCCTCCCTCATCCTCCAAACCGCCTTCTCATTCCGCGACTCGGGACTCACAACATCCAACTCAGCCCTCAACAACTCCGCTTCCACACCCTCCACCCAACAACAGCAACGCGCGCGCTTTTCCCCAGGCACCCACTTCACCAAAATCCTCCACCGTATCGACACCCCCCACCCAAAGGCGGACCGCCAAGACCCGCCCCACCTCCTCTGGGGCCACATCCTCGCCCGCGTCTCGGCCACCACCAAACCCGAACCGATGTGGGCGCGGCTAGGGCAGACCCCCGCGCAAAAGGGCAGCGCGTTGGATCTGTCGGATATCGGGTCGCCTCTAAAGGCGGGTTTATCGTCGCCACGGACCCCGAACATCAGTGTCGGGGGTGGTGGGAGGTATACCACCACGGCTACACCGACCGCTACGGCGTCCCAACAACCGCAGCAGAGAGCATCGATATTAACAACAATGCAACAATCCCAGGCCTCGGCGGCGCTGACCAACATGTCGGGGCAGTTGAAGACGGGGTTTAGTGGGTTGTTGAGTCGGGTTAAACTCGCGGGGGCCGGTGCGTTGGGCGGGGCGAGTCAAGCGGATCTTGGGACGGCTACTGGGGATGGAGGGGGGAATGATGTGTTGTTTGCGGCGGAGGATGATGAGACGGTGGTGGGGGAGGTGAAGGGGGAGGAGAGGAAGGTGGGTGGTGGGTTGAAGGGGATTTGGGGAAGGGTCGGGTTGGGCGGTGGGGGTGCGGGGAGGAATGTCGAGTTGTTGAAGGGTGTGAGTGGACAACCCGCTGCTGATGGGTTCAGGCCGAAAGACGGCGCTGAAACAACCGGTGTTGGAGAGGTGACCGTGGCGGCCGGGGAGGTGGTCGTACCGGCGGACGCGGGCGATGAGGCACGCAAGACGGCCGGGTCGATGGTGGCTGTGTGAGCTTCGTCGTTCTCCGAGGGGGATTCTTTTTTTTTTTTTGGTGTATAATGCTGATTAGGTGTGCAATAATTGATATGGTGTGCTTTCGTGAAAGAGATAATGTGATCCAATGTTGGAGGATGTGATTGAATCGAATCAACGAGATGAGTCCAAAAATGAACATGGTTCAGAGCGCTCCAAAACTTGCGGATGGGTTCCGTTGTGAAGCCCGTTTCTTCGAGGTGTCGAGCCCATCGCCGGTGTGATCGTGAGCTCGGACCAAATGGCCCCGCCTCGCTTCCGCTCCCGCTCCCGTTCCTCTGATTTGTGCGTCCACCTGCACCCCCAAAGGTGCTCTGTACAAACCGCGCACAGGAGCCCCTTTTTCCCCACAGTGCATGGACAGGAAGGGGTCTCCCTCACTCCCCGCGATAAAACACGACATTGTTCTCCGTCTCATGTATCCGGACCTCAAACAGCTCCGCCTTCGTCAGCGCGGCGGCGAGTTGCGTCCAGACGTACACCGCGATGTTTTCGGCCGTGCTGCAGAAATGAAAATGATTCGGGGGGGTCAATTACGGGCTTTCGGAATAGTTTGCCATAACCCCTCGGCGGTGGAGCGAGGGGCTTTACCTCGGATTCGTATGGAAATAGTCGATATCGACGTCCTGAAGAGTGTGGGGTCCCCAGTCAGCCCTCCCGCTTTGACCAAAAAACGTGGTTGATACCGATGCTTACGAGATTGCGATGGTCGAGGATATCCACCACCTTGGCCTTCATGCATTCCTTCAGCTCCGATAAGTTCATGACCATCCCCGTTATTGGATGTATCTGTCGAATAATATTACACGTCAGTGAATGCTTGCGCGGGAGAACATTATGATCTACATGAACGAGTCTACTGTACCTCCCCCTTCACCGTAACCTCCACTAAAGACCAAAAGGAAAACGATCCGTTAAAGCTCGCTTTGGGGGAGTTGAAGTCTCTATTCCAACCCGCACCTTTATAGTTATGCCCATGACCATGCCTGTGGTTGCATTTGCCGTACAACTCGACGTTTTCTGGGTCGGAGAGTTGGGGGGAGTGCAGGCGGTGGGCGGCGGAGAAGTGTTCGGTGCGGGAGAGGTAGGCTTTTGGCATTGTTCTGGTGGGATGGCGGGGGCAGATGATGGTTTGGGATGTCTTTTGGCAAAAGGAAGGCTAGGAAGGGGAGCTCGGATCAGATGGGACGCACGCAGAGACGCGTGAGCTCATAGGGCGGAGTTTTCATGGGTGGCCGACTTGAGGACTGCCGTGGAGGCGGGCGGACGTGCTAGCAGAAGGAAGAAAATGACGCTGGAAAATGAGAGAACAACGGCATAGTGGTTGCTGGTGATCCAGCTGGACATCTTTTGGAGAGAGCGGTGCTCTCGTGCTTCCTGCTAATAAGCCTGGTTTGCTCCCATAACTCTAGAGCCATGTAATGAAGCTGGAAGCCCCATACCCCGCATGCGTGAAAGATGTTTTACGCTATCATTCATAACAAAATCGCTACTAGAATTCCCTATTACTTGGCCTCCCTTTCCCTCAGATCTCGATCTTTTCTGACTTGTCGATCAGCGCCTCGTATTCTGCTCCCTTGCCCTTATCTTGCTTTGATGAGCTTGATCCAGCTTCCCTCATCTCCGGCTGCCCATCCCCAGTGCCTGGGCTCGACGGACCCGCTTGTCCTTGAGGTGGATTCTGGCCGGGATTCCCCGCCATCAACTGCTTCTCAATTTCCCTCCGTTGCGTCCTCCTCAAGCCAACAACCACCACCGCCGTCACAGCCAGAACAACGCACAAGCCCGCCAGCTGAGTCCCCAGCTGATCCAAGGACTTCTTCCCAGGCCTCACAACAATACTATCATCAATCTCCAACGAGAGCTCCACCGCGGGCTGCCCCATAATCACCCGCAACCTCGCATCCAACGCCTTCAACGCCGGCACAATCGCCGTCGCACCCGTCATCACCTCCAACACCGTCGCCTGCACCGCCGCAGTCACATTGGCATACCGGGCGCCCGCCTGCGACACGGGCCTTCGATTCACCGAAACCTGTGAGTACACCATACACAGCGACGTGGAGCGCACGGTTCCGTACGCCTGGCAGATCGACCGGTCCAGCAAAAAGGACGGATACGTCCCGACCATCGCGGCGCCCAGATCCAGGATCTTGGCCTTCTGGTATTCCTGCGAGGTTAGGTACTCCACCACCTTCATCGCCCCCGCCTTGTTTTGGGAGTGTCGGTACGTGCCCACCAACCACCCCTCTGCTGTGCCGACTCCGAGCCCGCTCTCGAGATCGGAGGGTACGGGCGCGATTCCCCAGTCGAAACCGGCGGAGGACGCCGAGGAGATGATGCCGGGGACGTGGGCGGTGGTGGTACGCGCGAACAGCGCCTGTCCCGCGAGGAAGCGATTGAGGGAGGAGGTGAGGGTGGATTGGCCTACGTCTGAAGGGTCGATGATGCCGGATTCGAGCCAGCGGGTTAGACGGGCGAGGAGATTGGCAACTTGTGTTGTACCGACGGTCACGGAACCGTTGTCGTCGATGATACTGGAGCCGATGGATTGGATCCATTCGGCGACGGTGGAGGTCAGGTCTTCCGAGGCTGGGAGAGGGATTGACGGAAGGAGGCCGTTGTAGAGATTAGCTTTCTTTCCATCCTCGACAAAACTGCAGACAAGGATTCCATGTTGAACGGATTCCTGTTCTCTCACACACTTACAACTTAACGGTCCAGTCCACCCGGCCATCTTGTAATTCTCCAGCATCCGTTCGCCCATCAACACAGCCGTGGCCATTTCTTCGAATTCGTTGAGAGTGTCCGGCGGGTACCCGTAACCATAGCGCTCAAGCAGGTCGCTGTTGTATAGAAGGATTCCAAAGGATAGCTCCGCGGGTAGTGCCACTGTGTTGTGGAGCATTATAGAGAGAGAGTTAGATGCGTCCATTAATGACCCGTTGTGAGGTGAGGGTAGACAACCAAGCACGGATGCAAATGCGAAAGAACCACATCCAGCCAAAGAGAAGGAATATTCAAAAACTCACCCAACCGCTCAGCCACAACCCCTCCTCTCGCAACCACCTCCGCGTGCCCCCCCGCCGCCGCCTCATCCCACGCCCACACATCCTCCAAACACTCGCTCAGCGCCCCAACATACGCGCTCTCCACCCACACCACATCAAACGAACTTTGTCCAGTCCTACACGCCTGCAGCACCTGGTTCACATAATCCGCCGCATAATCACTCCCCTCCGGGAACTGCTTCCACGTAATACTCAGATTCTGCGAGGCGCCCCATGCCGCGTTGGCTTCTTTGAGCTGGGTGGCGTGCACGGCCGTGGCTCGCTCGTGGGGGGTGAGGATCGTGACGGGCCCGGAGGCGGTGGTGAGGAAGGTTGGGTCGGCGGTTGAGGAGCCGAGGCGGGGTTGGCCTGTGCTGTAGTGAGTGCGGTTGCCGGGGGAGGGACGGAGGGGGCGGGTGGTGGTGGTTAGTGCGGCGCGGCGGTGGATGTATGGTGCTGCTTGGGCGGTATCTGTGGGGGACAGGGCAAGGTAAGCTCTCATTTCCACGGTTCGTGGATCCTCCGCCGGCGTTTCGGGGTCTTTCTGTACTCAGTCTACAGAATCCATTTGTGCTGTGCGTTACCTGCAAGGATAGCCAAAGCCAACGACAAAATCCCGGACTTGTAAAGTGCTGGTATCATGATTTGGATAGATTCCCGAGCTACGTTCAGATGCAAAAGAAGGATGATGAGCGTACTCGAAAGAACTACATAAATCTCATGCAATCGAATACGCTGCAAAATCTCCTGCGATTAATCATACACATTCCTCGACAGTAGAATCGTACCTGTAGCGACAGACGGGAGTGCAATGAGATTGATGCAGCAAAACGGAAAAAAACAAGGAAACTGCAAATGCACGCCACTGCTTTCCCAAAGTGTCGAGACAGAATCCAGAAGCATTACGCTTGAGTTTGTTGTTTTTCGGAGAGTGACTTCACGCGGCTCGATGCCGTCAATATGCTGTCAAAAACCGGTGCTTGTCCATCACCCATTTCGAGCCGCAGCAATCAAAGAACAGTTCGGTTTTACGGTCGTTTCGATATGGGAGCGACAGCGAAGTTCGGAAGACTACGTCAGCTGGCGAAAGTTCGATGTCCCGTCAAGAACCATGTATATGTGTAAACTCAGGATATGAAGAAATGTCATCTGCACACGATTGCGAAACGATATAGATTAAACGATATAGGGTCAATATACCCGTGAATGGAAATACAAAAGAAGCTCTCAAGGCAGAGCTGTCACAACCTGTGCACCAACAGCCCCCATCACAGTCCCAATCTGTAACCCACCCCATCCCAAATGCTCGCCTCTCTTTCCCCCTCCTTGCCGAACATTTCGCACCAGCCGAGGTAATCGCACATCACCGCGCGACTCCGACGACTGCGTCCGCGTCTGGAGAGCCGTCGGCGGGGAATGTGGAACAACCCTCCGTGAAGCGCCGTCGTCTTCTCGCCCTATGAATAACCCCGGCGACACAGGTAACGCAGGCATGGAAAGCGAGTGTGCCAATGGTGGCTTTCGCGGTTTCGTTGGTTGATGTGCGCGGGGCGTGAAGCCCAGACTGACGCTTAACGGAATCGAGATGGATGGAGCCTCGATTCCTTGCCCGACGAAAAGGGAAGGTTCCGCAGGCGAGGGATGTGGGTGCGCTTTGTGTGCGCGTAAGGGGACGCGGAGGAGTCCGCTTCGTCTGGTGTGCCTGTTCGAAGCGTCCGGATGAGACGTGAGGAACGTCTGCGACGCGGGCTCTATCGCGTCTGGTAGATGACCGACGTACAGTAATGGCGAAGTGTCGGCGCTGCTTGAGCGATGATTGGACCTTGCCTTGCTGACTTGATTCCTCCGAAGATGTCGTGGGGGATCTAAAGTCGGTTCTGCTGCCGAAGCGGCGCCTGTAACAGCCAGCACTATCAACCCGCCTTCATTCCTCCCTGCATCGCCAACAATGCCCCTACCCCTATCCCTTTTCTTCTTTCTAGCCCGCTTCTTCGTTCCGGAGGACGTGATATCGAAGGCGGCGAGAGGGGGAGGTTCGTCATTCGGATTCCACGCCAAGACGCCATCTATGGGGCACACCGGGCGGCGTTGAAGGAGCCAGCGATCGATGCAGTTGCGGTGGAAGGCGTGGCCGCACGAAGGGAGTCTGAAAGAAGGGCCGGGCAAAGGTTTTATGGAATGTTAGAGGTGGCTAAAACACGAAAGCGGCAAGGAGCGGCCTTCTCACTTGCGCAAAACGTCGTTTACGTGGTATTGTTCGCTGCATATCTTGCAACTCGCTTCCGTCTGCGCGCGGTTGTGAAGGCTCGTCAGGTCACCATAGTCCTTCGTAGCGACGGTATGAACGTCTTCGAAGAGTTCACTTGTCGGACACTCACCCGCGTCTTAACGACATTCGTCGGAAACCTCGCCACCACCTGCAACGGTACAAGCACCTCTTCCCTCACGCCATCCCTCGCACGCCGCCCGTCCCCGTCATCCAGCCGCAACAGGACCTCATAATCCTCATCCGTCAAATCTCTCCCTTGCATATCGCGCATCATCCCCTCTGGAATAACGGCTGCAGGCTCGCTGGAGGGCTGCGTGAGGACTACGCCTGCCCAGAGATCCCGGGGCCATCGCCGAGTCTCGAAGGTGTGGTTTGTGTGCTTGTTCGTGGGGTGCCGGAAGCAGGGCTGGCAGAGTGTGTAATTGCCCTGTTGAGACGAGGTGAGCATGTTTGCGCGGAGGGGGGAACGGGATGGGGGAGAGGAAGTGCCTACCCCACAGGTCTTACACCGGTAGCAGTTCCCGGAGATAGGTTTTGTGTCGCACTCTTTGCAAGTGACCCAGTGAATGGCTTGCCGGTCCGGAAGTCCGGCAAGCTCAGCCGTGAGTTCTTCCACCGTCGCGAAAACGTTCCTACATAACTTCGGCACCGCACCACTATTAGAGACCGCTATCACAGATCTGAGCTTATTGCATTTAGACGGCTTCCGATAACTTACGGGACATTTGACGACGTCCGCAGTGCCAGACGCCGTCTGATGCTCCATCACCATCTTCATGCACTTCAGATGGACCGAGTTTCCGCATGACTTGCTGCAAAATGTGAGGTGCTTGGAAGAGTTTTGGAGCGTCTCCTGGCAAATGGGGCTGAGGGCGGGTTCATTCGCGTGAGTTGCCGGGTCAGAAACGAGAGTAGCCGCAGCGAGTGATGAGAAACATACCAAACGTCGTCATCGCTAATGGATCGTTGTGCGATCGGGCCACGTTGGGCTGCGGGTGTGCTCAAATCGGGATGTTCACCTGAAGTAGGCTTATGCCTTCCTGCTCTTCTTGCCGCCTGCCAACCGATATCGATCTTTGAATGTCTATGCGTAAGAGCTAGCGTTCATATACCCTTACTCACCCTTGTGATTTTGGGCTTCAACAGCTCTGCAATCTCCCTATCGACCAAGGCTCGTTGCCATAACTTCTCATCGGTTTCCGCGACCCGGAACTTCTTGTGCATTATCCATATCTGCCGCATCATCCCGAAGGGTCAGTCACGGGATCTCTCTACCGCTGAAGAATGTACAACGGTCCGCACTATACCTACAACATGCAAACTGAGTGTTCACCGTTATTAGCTTGACGACAGAACGAGAGGAACGAATAATGGCATTTGTCGGAACATACCACAGCTCGCCCTCACTGACGTACTCCTCGCAAGTGCACATTTGCACACTCCCGATCTTGACCCTATAGTTCCTATCATCGTTCTCTTGCCGGACGATGAAGGCCAAAGGTCCCATCTCTTGAACCACGAAGAGCGTAGATGTTTGCGCTAGCGGTATCAGAGCTTTGACAGCCTAGGAGGTGCCATAGTTATGAGGTGATTTAAGATGGCATTGATGAATGACAGCGACACCGATAATAAGGGCTCCCTTCACTTACATCTGGGCATTTGGAGCGGTACGGAAGCACCCGAGACATAATGAGGGAGGGTGTCAAGTCTTTCTTCGCTTGACTTTTACACAGGATTTAAAGTCAGGCTAGCGCTCGCGAATATGGCCGTGGGCAGATCGCAGGATGCCTCACATTTGACAGCTTTTTGACCGTGACGCGCCTTAGGTAAGGGCGGGAGACATCAAGTTATACCTATTCGAGCTATTCGAAACAAGCAGAATTGGACATCGAGCAAGCACGGATTTGAATTCGGAAAACAGAGCAGAATACGATGACTGGTGTCCACCGACCGACTAGTGTCCGTCCGGCAATCTCTATATGTCTAACTTCGTCTCTAGCCAGGCTTTTGCAAAACCGTTTCAAATGTGGGGATACTGAATAGGACATGACAATGTTTACAACTAGAATAGATGTCGAAGTATGATAGAGTGACGGCACGGCGCCAACTCAGCTCGACGACCCGTTGATTGCCGGCGCAACTGACCGTGATGGGCATGCGAGAAAGTATACGGTCCGGTACCTTGTGTCTTCCAACAGTCCTAGAGCGCACTGGGGCGTCTTGCTGTTTCAAAGGGCGGTTTTCTCGCATTCCCCTCCTCTCCCCTCCTCCCCCGCTCCTCCAGCAGCCCCGCACTCCCGGCTTTCTCTCCGACGATCCCACCGCGTCAGTAGATACGGCAGGCACACCATCGTATGATTCAGCATCAGGTCCAACGAGCTTATCAGTGGAGCATAATCTGCAATGACGGGGGTGTTGAGGGTTGCGTTGAAGAATATCGTGAACGTGACCGCGATCGCGGTGGTGACGAACAGACGGACCGCGATCGCGCGCTTCGTCGGGCCGTTTCTGGCGTCTACAATCGATGGGGTTGGTGGATCTGGGGCCGCCGTGAGCTCGATGGTGGCTGGCGGGTCTGGTGGGGTGGTGACGACCGCCGTGCGCTCGATCATAGTCGTGGCGTTAATGGAGGGTTTTGGGCGGGTTTTGGGTAGCAGCGGGCGGAGAAAAAGGTAGAGGGTGATGCTCGAGATGGCGAATACGAGGGCCGAGGGCAGATAGGCGGAGATGGGCGGGTGGTTGACGTGGCAGACCCCGTCGATGAAGGTCGTAGTGTTTGACATTAGCGAGACCAGGATCGCGAGACATAGGCCTCCTATTAGCCCCAGAACGGGGATCATCCAATGGTTGTCCCAGCCGTACACCTCTACGTTCCTGATCACAAAGAAAACACTCAAAACGACGTGCGCGCCCAGATACAGAAGCACGGAGAAGGCTTCCAGGACATCGCAGTCGGCGGACGGCGAGGAAAGCTGAGGAAACTTGATGATGTAGTAGCCGAGGCTGAAGAGCCCTACGAAGTAGAGTAACCGATGGGAAGGTCCGCTGAAGCCCACGAGTGCATGGAAAATGGCCGCGACAACAGTAGTGATGAGAAAGCACACTGCGACGCCGCACATCATTCCCACTACGGGGTCCATCATCGACAGTGCTGCGTTTCGTTGCTAGGCGTGACTTATGCACGTTTGCTTCCCTCGGATGCCGTTTTGCTAAGCGATGTTCGGTGCGGCGTTCATGCAATGCAGTGCGCTCCGGAAACCTCGCTTGCACTTGACACGGGAGCAACGAGTGCCAAAGGCTGCTAACTGAGATTCGGATCCGATTTGGTTGCTCGTGTTCGACGTCGTCTCCACAAGTCTAGGGCAGTCCATGCAAGACAAAAAGTGATAACCCGATGCGGGAGGACATGTTCAAGAACATGTTCAAACACTGTTGTGAGACACTGGTGTGCCGGGCGATCTGCGATTGTCTACAGGTTGCGAAGCGTTCGAAAATTCAAGCACGGAGGAGTGAACATATGACAACCACATCATTGTCATGAGAAACCTTCGTGCTGGAAATCGGCTCTGTCGCTATAAACGTCATTCATGAACGTCGGGCAGATACCAGCGGTAGCAGAGGAGCCACCAGGACGAACTTTGAGATCTGGGAGGACGGACGGCCTTTGAGATCTGGAAGCTCCGATCTTCGAAGTCCGCAAATAAGCTTAACATGGCGAGACCCGAATTGGAATCAATGAAAGAGGGAACAGCAGGGGGCCAGGGTCGAGACGATGGAAATCCACCCCGGACGACGCTCTATTCGATTCTCGCCTGACAATGGAGTCCCAAACATCACTAGAAGAAACATGGACAACATACAGTACAGCAACATGCGTAGAAATGAGTTTCAGGGCTTGTTGGCTGAGCTCCTTTTCAAAGCCTTCCGGATCTTGGCCAGGAGACGGAAGCTCCTGAACGGACCCTACAGAAAACGGACGAGGGCTGGGCCATCCATTTTGGCCGCGACAATGGCAAACACCTCTGCACTCGAAATGGACGTTGGTCAAGAGAGAGAGAGAAAGAAATGAACCCCCAGCATGAAACGGGTGAAGAGGTGAGGTCAAGAATGAACCCTCAACCCCGCGATTAATGGGGAGCCTTTTACAGCTTTATCTGACCGGATGCAAGGACGATTGCTAGGCACTCTCAAAGACCGTCCTCATCAGCCGATAAAACACCGACGTTCAGCGGTCCCTGTTGAGCGAGCACCTGCCCTGCCGGTTTCTAAATGTCTAAAGAGGAAAAGGAGTGAACGAAGCTCCGGCTCTTTTATACTTGGCGGACTTGCAAGAAAAGAGGCGCAGCCAAGGGCACCAGCCACGTTCCAGCCACACCTTACTCACGCGTTCGTGAATTCCAAACTTCGGAGTGTGGCCCTTGCACTTTTCCGTGGGAAAGTGGTGGGAACATTGGCGATTGCAACGACTTCTGACCGACTTCCGCACCATCTTTTGAAAGAATATCTAACCCGTAGTTCATGGGCGGGGAGCGAGGTGGTTCGGCAGAGCGCTGTGGAAAATCCTGTCCGCAATGTCTCTTCGTCGCCTCCCAGATGATGTCGTGATTCGGCTCCGTTCCGCCGTGGTGATCAGCTCCGTTTCTCAGTGCGTCGTTGAGCTCGTCCAAAACTCCCTGGACGCAGGAGCTACCCTGATCCAAGTTGTGGTCAACCATACACTTCCTTCTGTTCAGGTGCTGGACAATGGCTTGGGCATTGACCCGGAGGGCATGCGGCTTCTAGGGGAACGATACGGTAAGCGAAAGGAGAGAGAAATGTTTTCTCGAAACCTTGACAGCCATCGTGACGCAATCCTTCATATGTGCCAGTCACTTCCAAGGCCGGCAACGAGGCAAGCGATGTTTCTTATGGATTTCGTGGCGAGGCGCTGGCAAGCATAGCAGATATTGCTTCTGTGGAGGTTGTGAGCAAAAGCAACCACCTGCAAACATACTATCTCCAAATGGATGTAAGTTGCTAGCTAATCTCTTGTATCCATCCGTGGGCAGTCGCCTGATGTAGCTTGTTCAATAGAACGGGAAGCGGCGCAAGTTTTGCCCTTCACCGACAGCGCGACGACGCGGAACGACGGTCATTGTGAACGACATCTTTTGCAACGTGAGATTTGATTTTCTCGGGATATCCTTTGCTTCCTGGTGGAACTCGTCCGCTGATTACGATTTCGGATGCAGCAACCAGTTCGTCGGAAGATGCTTCAATCAGAAAACGTCATGGAAGGCACAAAAAGAGCTTTGGAGCCAATAGCACTCTCAAACCCACAACTGACTTTGTCGCTGACTGACGAAAGCCGCAACGTAAAGGTGCTGGCCACCAGAAAGGTGTGATTTGTCTCTGGATGTCCTGCCGTAAGCCATGTCAGCTGACTCATGTATGGTTTTAGGCGGATTCACCGCAGTCCACGTTCAGACAGCTGTTTGGGATGTCGCTTGCCCAAGTATTTTCCCATTGGGATCGCAGGCGCACTCCTACCTTAAACTCACGTTGGATTCCTAGGACCTATTAGAAGTTTCGAAAATGCGGAAAGGATTCCAGATTACTGGGTTCATCTCACTCCGCGGATATCCATCAAAGGTTTGGCTATTCCGTTGACACTTCCCTCGCAGAGTACTTGTACTGAGCGTGTGCAGCGTCATCAATACATATGTAGGTTCCCGTGGTGTTTGAAGCCGAAAAAGGTTCTGCCACGTCCAGTGTTCAAACCGCACTTTTCGCTGCCGCCAGATGTGAACCATCACTTTCTATCCCCAAATCTTCTACATTCGACGATCAATCGCCTCTTCTTGCGGAGTTCATTTGGAGGGAATGTAAGAAGATCTTGTCTCAATAAGCATACGGCTTGCTAAAAAGGCATACTACGATGTTTGCAGGGCCCCGATGAGGGATTGACTTTGGGATTTGATGACGGATCGCCGGCAAAGAAAGGGAGTACGTACTGTACTGGTTTTATTCCTTCGACTTCCAAACCATCGTTGATCGGTTGGCAGAATATAGCGCGAAGACCAGCGAGAAGTTTCCCGTCTTCTTTCTGAAGGTTCTGTGTCCTCCGGGGACGTTCGATATCCTTCTGGATCCCGGAAAAAACGTTGTTGAGTTTGCGGTAAGCAGTATTTTGTCACGAACCTCAGCCAACACGAAGTATCTCAAAAACATGTCGGACATCAGGACTGGGATTTCATAACGCAAATGGTCGAGGACATCGTCTCTGACTTCCTGATCGAGAACGACTTCACACAAGATGCCAACGACCTGAACTCGTTAGTAGGGGAAACCTCCGATATCGACTCCGACCCCGACAGTGTGCAAGAGTCCAACATGGAGCGCAGTCGGCTACAGGCGACACTCCCACTACATATTGCGCTTCCAGTTCCGACAAGAAGTGCAAAACCTGCCGGGCAAATGCTGTACGATTCGACATCGAAGTCGATTCACAACTCTCGCCAAGGTGGTGAACATGCGGTGGTTAGGACAGAGACGGGGGATGAGTTTGCCATCGTGGAGAATATGCAGCAGAACTCCAGCTTTTATGTTGATACCAGGACTGGCAATTCGTAAGCATGACAGATTGGGGCCTCACTCAGCTGAAGAATATCTCCAAGTATTCTCTTCCCTTATAGCTATCGAGCGTTACCTGGCAATACGAAGCCGAGAGAGAAAGAAGGTTCGGGAGTCGGATCAGGAAACCCCTTCGTCAACACCTCCAGAGTGAAGAGATCGCGAAGCGAAGGGCTCTCTACGGGCGGGGCACTTGGACAATTGAAGCTGGGTGATGCATTAAGGGTAATACGGGGAAGTTATATAGGCATGCATGGACCTTCCTGACTTCCCCGCTGTCACAGAAATGGAAGAACCCAGTCTTTAAACGCGGCGAAAAGCAGCTCCGCTCCAGCTCCGTCATCACAGACGCCGCTCCCCGCAGCTTCACCGATAAAGCCAACCACCTGTTCAACGGCGTCACGGTGGAGAATGTACGGCAGCACATCACCCGAGAGCTGTTTGAGCGGGTGCAGGTGATTGCCCAAGTGGATAAGAAATTCATCATTTGCAACGCTGTGGGCGACGACGGGGCCCTGGAGATGATGCTCATCGTCGATCAGCATGCCGCGGATGAGAGGGTGCGGTTGGAGAAGCTTTTGGAGGACTTGTGGATTGTGGATGAGGTTGTCACCCCTGTGATTCCCGATGAAGAACTTAAACCAAATTCAAAGGCGGCGGCCGAGCAGCCTATTGAAGGCGCGGTCCCTCATCCGCAACGTTGCGTGGATAAAATCACCCTCGATCCGCCTCTCCGCGTCAGTCTCCCGTCGCGCGAAGCACAAGCCGCCCTCCGTCACGCCGCCGCCTTCACATCCTGGGGCATAGTATTCTCCCTTCCGTCGACGTCCAATACCGCCATCCAGCCTTCCGCCAACACCCAGATCCTTTCGAACCCGGACGCCCCCACGAGCTTGATGTTGACTAGTCTCCCGCGGCTGATCGCAGATAGATGCGCAGTGGATCCCGGCGTGGCGAGGGATCTGATCAGGCAGCATCTGTACTGGCTTGAAGAATCTAGCGGGACTGGTGTTAAGGATAGGTGTCCGAGGGGGATCTTGGAGATATTGTGGTCGAAGGCGTGCCGGTAAGGTGTCCCTTCGTCGTTGTACTGTTTGTTGTTCTCTTCTTGATTGCAAAATTCCTCTCTTTGAATATAGCTCGGCGATCATGTTCGGAGACCCGTTATCGGCGGACGAATGCACAGCCCTCATCGAGAAACTTAAACGATGCAAGTTCCCCTTCCAATGTGGTACGACCCTCGTTCCCTTTTCCCTCGCTTCCTCCCTCTTTCCATCCACCATCACCCACGCACATAAAACTAAATTTTTTTTTGGTATCAATTGTCAGCCCACGGACGTCCAAGCATGGTCCCCATTGCTCACATGGACGCGGTCGCTCGCTCAGCTGATCGCTCGCAACAGAGGAGACGGGCGATGGGGAAGGTTAACTGGGATGCATGGCGGCGTAGAAGGTGATAGGATGAGGTGCAGATATTCGATATGATCATTTCGCAGTGGGCGAGAGATAGAGAGACGTATGTAGTGTATGCAGTGTTGACCACATAGAGTGAAATAGTGGCAAGGCTTTAGTTTGATCCGACGTAGGAAGAACAGCACAAAAATTTGTGGTATGGCCCATCATGAGTTGATCGAAGGTAAAAGTTGCCATCACCGGCGACGCCTCAGGCAGAGGTACAATGATGTGGATGGCAGATAACCACCACGGAAAATGGGATGGGGTGAGGATTCTAGACTACCTACGGTTACGGGAGAATGCGTCTGGTCTGCGGCCATTGCCAAACACCACCGAACGCACAATCAAGAGGAAATTCTTGGTGCTTAGGACGTCCCGATTGTGCACTCTCATCCATAGTCGTAGTGGTCGTCTTCCAGGAATCTCAAATGGCGTCCAGTCTTGGTTGATACATTCGGGGTTGGGGCAACCCACCAATCCATGGACGAATTCCATTCTTCCCTTTCGAGCTTGCCACGGCCGAGATGACAGCCGCTGTCGGATGTTTTTCCTCACACGCCGGTGGCAGTCTGGGCACACGGAAGACGTTCGATACTCATCTAGCAAGTAGCATGGAATGCTGTTTCTTGCAAAGAGTGTGCGGAATCTGTTCCATGATGAGTTGGCATACTGTAATACATATTACCAATGATAGTCACTCACCCTTTGGTCTTTGATGACTCCTGAAAGCGCATGGTTTTTCCAGCGTCGCTCCAATCACCCAAGATGACCGAAAAATGCTTTCCATACAGGCTTCGCATGTTTTTGATGAGCTTGCTCTCAGACTTTTGCCGCAGTGAGAACGCCTTGAATCTGGGAGCTACATGAATCTCATCCTGGTAAAACTCATCCAGGGCGGGATCTGGGATATGGATGGATGTCAGCCCATGTGTTACCAAGGTTGAAAATGAAAAGTGAAGTAGAACATCATACCCGCATGTTCGTAATCCACGATGAACGCTGAGAACGCCTCGATGTTCATGCTCTCGTGCGACGGAATATGTGATTCCATCTCAGCGATGCCGGCATTGATCTTTCACTCTGTCATGTCTCTTTGAAAGTACCGAGACTTTGTCTCGACCGCCCTTTGATTGGATGTGTATCTGGTATGGGGTGGTGCATTGTGAGATTACTACTGCCCTGCTGTTCCCGCTATCCCCGCTGTCGCCGCTATCCCCGCTGTCGCCGCTATCCCCACTGTCACCGCTATCCCCGCTGTTGCCGCTATACCCGCTGTTGCCGCTGTCCCTGCTGTCGCCATCCCCATCGGCGCCCTCCTCAACCCTCCCCATCCCTGTCCCCACGATCCCCTTCGTTCGACATTCCGCAAGAGCTGAAACGTACCTAAATGGCCGCTCCTTCTTGATGTCTCGACAGAACAAGAGGTCACGCTTGCCCGGATCAATGCTGACGATGTTTGGAGCCTCCCGTAGTTTGGCAATGTGGTGCTCAAAGTACAGCTGCTTGACTTCTTCCTGCATTTGGGCCTTGCTGCGCTTCCGGGCCCGATGCCCATACTTGAGCCCTGGCTTCTTGAAGTGGATAGTAGCGGAATACGCGTTTGTGCTGATTGACCCATCAAATTTGAGACCAAGCTTCTTTCAATCCTTGAAGACCTTCTCCTGCAATCTGTCATTCAGCGAGGGGAGGTGAGTGAAATAAGCGCAGAGGGATAGAGACTTACCTTCACGTTGAGAAACTGCCCCCACAGCTCCCGCTTGCGTTCATCGGTGAATTTCCCCATGCGACTTTGGCTCAAGCCCAGGATATGAGTGCCTAGGATCCTCTTGTCGATCCGAACAGATGACTGGATTCGAGATTTGCGCAGCGGGATAGCTGAAAACAGCCGCATTCCACAGCGCTCATAGAGACGTGAGAGCTCACAGTAGGCGCCTATGACGAGGGCAGGTGCGGACCATGATTAGACAAAAGAGGAAGCCGCGGGGGGGGGGGGGGGGGTAAATGTACGGGACATAGCTCACCTAAATATGGCATTGCTTCCACCGCAAGGCTGTACGCAAGCGGCTCATCCTGAAGAGGAAACAAAGCCCATAACTCGTCGAGGATGGTCCACTCAAGTCGTGTGAGGCGCGCAAGCTCCTCTTTGGTTGGGTACTCTTCAAACGTCGCGTACTTTGTAAATTGACGGACACGATGATAATAGCATCGCCGCTGCGCTCTCCGGAGATGCCGTTCGACTTGCTTCAAACCAAGCCTTTCATTGACGTAGCGCAGAAACATTTGCATGAAATGCTCTTGCACGTTAACTTTGAGGTTTGTGAGGATGCTCGTAGCCGTGTACGCTGCGGTCTGTTGGCAATTTCGCATGCGGATGGGGGCGAATCCGTGAACATCACAGTAGTCTTGAACCCATGGACGCAACTCTTGCGCGATGAGCGGATTGCCATTGTAGCCTGGATTGTTGAGCAGGTCAAACATCACACTGACGCGCTTGTTGCTGATGTCCGGGAAATCATGTAGAGGATGGTCAGCTGTGGTGGGGTGGGCAGATGTAGCAGTCAGGACATTGTTTTATGGGAAATATACAGTATAGTGTACCTCAAAAACTCACCAAGGTAGTACTTGATAAAGAAGGTGGTGTGGCGCGCAAGGACGTGAACATCGGCGATGAACGTTGTCAGGCGCTCCCTTTGGACTTGATTGTGATTTTGGATTCGGTGAAGGGAAACCTTCATGCTGGCGTGTGTCTGCGGGCGGGGTCGTTGAGCTGGTGGTGGTGGCAGGGGTGGTGGTGGCGGGGGTTCATACACCAGGGGTCCACCCGGTGTGCTGGGAAAAAGGAAAGGGATGGGAGCAGGGAGGTTCAACGGACGCTGCAGACCCCTGTCCATGGGTGAAAGCCCTCACTGCTGCTGCTGTTGCCCGTCTTCATCGCTGGAGCTCTCGCCAACCATGTCTGCAATTGCTTCGGGCAAGTGGCGATGGACAGAGGGCGGGAGCTCGAATCGTGGGGGTTGCAATGGTGTGGCTGGCAGACGTATGGGCAATCGCGGGGTAACCGGAGCAACCTTCCTCCTCTTCCGCCGTGGTGTGGTTGCTCCAGTAAAGATGCCACACCACAGGTGCCCCTGGAGCGCCTGGTGTGATGACATGTTGGCTGTGCTGTGCCGAGACAGGTGTTGCAGGTGATTGCCGTGATGGCTGCTGATGGCTGTGTGTCAAAGAAGGCGCGTCAGTGCTGTGGTAATGATTGCGGATAGCGGGGAGGATTTACAGCCTGGCGCAGTTATGGCGCAGTCGTGGCTTGTCGCCGCATCTCCAAGACCACGGTCTCCTCCTCTCACACGAAACGTCAAGCGCTCGCAGCTCACGCAACTCACGCAGAGCACACTCTGAGCATGGAAACGTCAAGCGCTCGCGGCGGACAACGGCCCCCTCACCCCCCTGGCCAGCGCCCACCTCCTTCCAGCTCAAGCCCGGCAACTCACGCAGAGCAAGCGCATTTGAGCATGGGAACGTCAAGCGAGGTGAGTGGCCGCTGGGTGTTGACCGCCTGGGCTCGCGGTCCATGTTGAGCACGACCGCCGCTTGCGGGAGGTCGACCTGCATGGGCTGTGCTGTCTGGGCGTCTCCGCTGGGTGTTGGCCGCCTGGGCTCGCGGTCCATGTTGAGCACGACCGCCGCTTGCGGGAGGTTGACCTGCATGGGCCATGCTGCCTGAGCGTGTTTGCTATACGCTGATCTCGCGGGCTGAGCTGCTAACACCTTCCCTCCCCCCCTTCCCCTCTACCGCGCCACAGGCCACGCCCCCCGTCGCACCCACCGCGGTCAAGGCTCTTCTGATGGGCATGGGCCAGAGCCATGCCACAGCTATCTTCGGCGACACGGTGGCCTTTTTGTATCCCCTGCTGGTAGACGCCGGCCTTGCCGCCCGGGACGCCAGCCTAGAAGACAAGGCCAAGGCGATTGGCCTTTTTTCAAAGAAGATCAAGCAAGACAACCCCACCCTTTGGGGCTGGTGGATCAATAGGCCAACGCGGTCCCGTCACCAGAAGAAGCGCGCCAAGCACCACATTGGGCTCCAGTGCGGCATCATCACCGCGATCAGCGATGGCAGTCTTACCACGGCCGACTTCTCGGTGGACCCCCAGCCCTCCGCTAGCCGCCCGGCTGCTCACATCGTGGTGCCAACGCCCGCCTCGTGCAATGCCTGGGATGGTGAGATGGTCTATGCGGGGTTTGGGGAGAGACGAGCGGCCTGGATGGGCTTGAGCGAATTAAACCCCGAGGGGGGGGGGGGGGGGGCGACATCTACATCCGCGACAAGCACGGCGCCCTTGTGGCCACAATCTCGTACAACAGTGCGGGCCGTCGCGAACACAACCTGCGGCTGGGGCTCATCGTCGAGTCGTGTGGATCCCGGCCGGCTGTGGTTCGATGGAAGGCCTCAAGGGGCACAATGCACGCCGCTGGGCTTCGTCGTGGCAACAAGAACTCGGGATATGCCAGGGGGACGTCGCACTATTCAATGAAAGGAGGGGCAGACATGTCGGCAAAGAAGTTCCTGGTCGCCTTGGAAAAGGCCTTCCCCAAGCGATTGCTGCAGGAGCTCGCCAAACCAACCCCACCGCGGCGGCCCACCTGATGATGGCCATGCCAGAGGTGTACGGGCCACATTCCGATGAGTTCCCCCCGATGTTTGCCACCACCAACTATCAAGTGGTCGTTCACTCCGACCCGTCGGACGACGGCGTAGCCGGCGAGCTGAACCCGAACACAGGCCGCGCCAAATGGAAGCCGACCCCCAAGGAGGAGCTTCCGGAGGAGCTTCAAGCCCGCAAGCTATGCAGGCAATGGGCGGCAGGCTACGCCGCCGCTCCGCCAACCGTCGTCGGCGAGTGGGTATTTGCGCTGCCAGAGCAAGGCTTCTACTTGGTGCTGCAGCCGGACTGCATGTGGACGTGGATGCCTCACAAGCTCCACGGAACGGCGGTGCTTGACACGTCTGGCCGCAGTCGCCACACGGCTGTTGTGACACTGCCCCTGGCGACGGCCGCGGCCATCCGGAAATACGGCCTCCCTGATGATGAGGACAATCCGTACCCACACCACCACCACGAAACGACCACGAACCCTGCACCAACATCGTCGTGCGCCTCGAACTGGGCGAAACCATACGGCTCCTCAACTTCCACGCAAAGTGGTTGAACGAAACTACCAGTATATCCGAAGATGAGGTTCGTCCCTCCCCGTCTCCTCCCCATCCCCCCTCTTCCACTCACCCCTATCTATTTCCCAGGGGCAATGGCTGTCCGCCGCGGGGGGGGGGGGGGGGGGGGGTGCCCGGGATGGGGAAGCGCAGAGCTGGGGCGGAGACTTTGCAGAGACTGCGCAGAGCTGGCGCAGAGGCGGATGGGCCGCTATGAGCTTTTTTGACCCTAACCTGGTGGGAACCCTAACTCGGAAGAAGGCAGCTGTGAAGCGACGCTATACCAGTTCTTGTGTTATGTGTCATTGGAGGACGCATTCTTTTTTTAACGTGGGGTCGCTACGTACATACAAAGATGCTATTGTAATCACATGTGGTCGCTCCTAACCCTCTGCAGCATCCAGAATGCCAGGGCAAGTTGCCAGATACGCAGATGTGAAGTAGAGCGAATATGAGATGTCGTTGCCGTGACGCCGTTGGGGGACCAATTTTCGCCCCATGCTGTACTAATCAGCCCTCAATGGATTTTGGGGAGAAATTTGTCCCCCGCACGTCAAACCTGGAAGTGCCCGGGGACCGTGTTTGCGCCTATGCACCGTGGTTTGCACTCGGCGCCGCAGAGAACAGGCCAGTTTGAAGTTGCTAGATGTCGGGTAGATATGAAGTAGATGTGAAGTAGGGCAAAGTGGCCGTGTATTGAGCAAATGGCAAATATACATGAAGATGGGCAGAGATGAGCCACAGATAAATAGGAGATCTAATATACAACCCCAGCTCGCGTAATAGGAGCGGAATTCTGCCGCACCGCTAGTTGAACGCTAAGGTGTGTGCAGATATACCGTTCAAATGCGTCGGAAGACCATCGACCCCAGCGTTGAATCCACAGTGTGTCGTAGCCGAGGATCGCGAGGTGAGTGGCCCCGCCGGCGCGGAAACTTGTGGCCCCAATGTCGGTGTTCATCGTGGCTGTCCAGACGGCGTTGAACAATGCGGAGGTTGGAACCGAGCCGTTGTCGAGGGTCCACAGATGGGGACCGTGATTGTGCGCCAGAACAAAGTCAAGCGCTTGGACTGGGCAGGTAACCGAATCGACCGCGGCTAACATGGGATATTGTATGTAGTGAGTGGAAATCTTTGGGTGAGGAACAAATGGATTCCACATGCGTACACTCGCCCTGAACAAGATGGGAGGGAGCGCCGAAATTCTACAAATCACCAAGGATGGAAAATTGGTTGAACAATGTCATGAGGTGCAAAACGGGCTCTGCGGTACTCACCTTTTACCGATAACCTTTGTCGGACACACACTCAGTAACGACGCCACCATCCAGAGAATGCAGAACGACTGCGACGGCGACTGCGGACTGAATTCAATCTGCAGTCTGAGAGGGGGTGTTGTAAACAACCAGTTTCAGCCACAGCTTCCTTTTTATAGCTACCGTACCCCTTTTCTTCTCTGCAGATAGAGAGTTGGTTGTGTGTGTGCGCAGACCGTCCGATCGAATGTCTATAAAACGAGTGGTGTGTGTGAAGGGGAATAAAGTAACGAGTTCCACAAGACCTTTATCGCCTCTTCCAAATTGAGGCGATAAAAAAATTATCGCCTCGCTTCAAATGTTTCTAACGATTCTAGAACCCACTGCGACGTGGGGTTTGTGTGATGGAAACCTCAATGTACTGTATGTATTGCGTACAGTACGTAGCGTTAGCATTGGGATCTCAGTGAACTAGGCGGGTTGCCGCTCATTGCCACAGCTTTCAACACCAGACACATACACAGAACGGGCCACAATGTATGTATGTACAATACTACTTGTCCTGTCAAATACTCATACCACCGCCTCAGTGCCAGGCTCTCACTTTCGTTCATTTTCCAGGACGCCCGTTGGTTGGCCTCATCACCCACACATCATCGCGAGTCGCACCCTGAAAGAGTGCCCCAGTTGCGGACTCCCCGCCAGTGACAGTTCTCTCCTGGTCCATGGGCATGTTCGCGTCAAAAACCACGCCCGCTTATGCCTTGGTCTTGATGAGACAGGTGTCAGACTCGGGACCATACCTCGCTGCCCGGTATGCGAAGGCAATTTTGATGGAATGTCGACCGATGTGGTGATGCAGGACCTCAAAAAAAAACATAAAATCCAGTATGTACCTACGTACTACATTCAACGGCTTGGTTTCCCAATTTACGCTCTCATTCTCTCTCGCTTGTAGGAGTGCAGACTTTGATAAACTCGAGGACCTCATGCAACTCACGTGCATTTCACCACCTATGGGGGATTCGGACTTCAACATGCAGTGGGGCCTCAGCTACACCTACAAACACTCGCTGCGGTCATGTACCGTTGCGGATATACAGAAAGACCTGGAGATTGCGTTGAGCGGTCCGATCCAGGTTCGCTATGGTTCCCAGGTTTGCTATGACTCCACCGATCTCTTACCAACCCATCTCTTAGATTGCACAAACAACCTGGACCGGGCCTATCTCCCAGCGGCGGCTTGACGACGTCATCGATAGAACCTGCGCAGCCTTTGCGAGTTTCTTTCAATGCGAGTGGATGCTTGCGACAGCATCTGCCGGCGATGCTCTGCAACATCTTGCCACCGCCGCAAAGATCATTACCGGGGGGATGGGAGGGATAACAAAATCCAATCGCTTTGCCGTTCTCGCTGGCCAGTACGGAGCTGGTCGGGGACCATTTGCTTATACTCATGCCAGGGCTGAAAATCAAGAAGTTGGCACCGGGACGCCCCCTGTGGTCTTCACGCTTCCCCGGAACCAACGGCAAGCGCAAACCCAGTTGACACAACTTCTGAGAGAAAATGAGTGCTGTGGACTGCTTGTTGAGATGGTGAACTCTGGGTTGGGCGAGACATTGCAGCCCGCATTGTGGTCAGCCATCATCACCGCATGCGCAGAAGCAGGTTGTTTCCTCTGCGTTGATGAAGCAATGACAGCAATACGGTGCGGTGCACCATTTGCCCATCAGCGCCCAGAGTATGTTCAACACGGGCACCCAGATCTTATTGTTTTCGGAAAAGCGCTTGTCGCAAGCGGGGTCGCAATGGATTTGCAGGGAAGGACAACTTGCCTATTATCCGCTGAAGCCGTGAGCCATGTTCTCTTTCTTGGAAGGAGCACAACAACCCTATTCTGCCAGACCACGACTCTACTGCAACTACGCGCGGTCTTGCACATTGCAGTACAGCATGACTTTGTTGGAAACGCGACGAAAATCAGTGATGTGTTGAGGAGCAAGATACTCAGCTCTGCTGGATCCCGCAAGCGGCCATGGATCGGAGGATTGGGCAGCCTCCTGTACATGAAATATGCAACACATGAATCGGTCGACATCAGCCGGACAATAATACCCGCCAGTGCCACCCCCGGCCTCGTCCGCTGGATTCCTCCCCTTGACCTGGATTGTAGTCCGTCCTCCTTCACAACCTCACACAGGAAAGCGCCCGGATAAAATAATGCGTCTATTGTATCATTACATCATTACTCATGATTTCATACAGGAAGCGACGATATGCTTAGATGATGAAGAACATGGAGGCCGCGGATCTGCAGTTTCCAGGGTGCATATGTGGCCATGGGTTAGGGGATATGGTGGATGCAAAGTGCGAGAAATGCCGGTTTCGTTTTGCGAATCTTGCCAACGGAAGGGGAATACATCCCACTTTTGTGTGGAAGGTGCGGAGATGGAAGGTGCAGAGATGTCGGCGTAGGAGGAGGTGGAGAAGGGTGCTGTGCCGAGCTCCTAGTTGTGATAGTGCTAGGTTCATGCGCTTCAGAGTAGAAAAGAGGGGGGCAGCGCTGAGGGAAACTATGTTGAATTGGAAAATATCTTGAAAGGTCCAAGAAGGAGTGCCATAGTTGTGACAAATGAAGGGACAGTTATAGGTGCTGTCATTCTTCAGTGTTGGCCAGAAGGTTTACATAGCGACCTTTTTTTACACGCGTGTAAAGGGGTATTCTGGGTAGTAGTGCCTACCCCCTACATATGTACTGTACCAGCCGTACCAAATGGCAAACCTACGGCGCTGAGAGCGTGAAGCTGTAAGGGCGAGCGTGAAGGGCGTAAGGCCGAGCGTGAAGGCTGTAAGGCCGAGCGTGAAGGCTGTAAGGCCAACCCTAATGGGCTTTGCTTCCGTTTATTCTCCGCGACGCCGTCGGGGGACCAATTTTTGCCCCACGCTGTACTAATCAGCCTTCAATGGATTAGCGATGCGGGTGATGCGGGCGATCCGGAAAGGGATGCCACGTAGATGACCGATTCCAGATCTGTGTCGTCAATGTCGTCACTGATCGTGTCGTCGTCGGACTCAGAAAGCACCCAAATTGTATCCGAGGGCAATGCCATTGTGTCAAGGGGTAAATTTGTCGTCGATGCCGGCGGCTCTGAGTGAAGGTGGTAGGCTTCTAATAAGTTCGCCTGGAGCTCCAAAGGCGCGCGCAAGGGTGCGTGGCCCCTCTCTAAGTTATCAACCATATCCCCAACCTCACAACCCTAACCCGGTAATAACCCTAATCCCCAACCCTAATCCCATGACAAAGTCCGCCTGAAGTCCGCCTGACTGTGTGCAGCTCTCCAACATTGGAGTCTCCACAGGTTCCCGACTTCCAACGCTGCTCAACCTTGGAGTCTGAAGGCTCGGACATACTGTGCAGTACACTGCTGTACAGTACAGTACGTATAAATAGCTGCGCGTCGTCGGGCGGAACACCTTTTTTCTTCCAGCATCTCAGCATTTCAAGACTGAGATCAAGACCAAGATTCCGTAGCCCAGTCCCCAGATTCCGTTGCCCGTTCCCCAGCACACGTAGAAGAAGTTATGACCACTGCTGGCACGGCCAGGCGTGGTATTCACTGCCGGCACGGCCAGGCGTGATTGTTAACTATCTTCTGGTGCTTCTGGTGAACGGGGTGAATGGTGAATGGTGAACGCTGAAGCAAACTCGACTCTCGCCCAGACTCTCGCTCCACAACCGATGAACAGTCATGACCACTGCCGGCATGGCCAGGCGTGGTATTCACTGCCGGCACGGCCAGGCGTGATTGTTAACTGGGCGTCTGGTGAATGGAGCTCGCGCTCAGAGCATATACGAACCAGCGTAGTTCAGCTCCTCCAACACCAGTAGAAAAAGTTATGACCCCTACCGGCACGGCCAGGTGTGATTGTTAACTCTACTTCTGTGTTGGAGAAGCTGTGTTCTGCGCTTGGGTCCGTCTGTGCATTTTGAGCTGTGCTATTCGGCTATTCTGTCATGGACTTCGGTGTATGGACGAGGAGGAGGTTGCGAGGAGGTTGCTTAGTATCCCACCTCAAAGACCGCCTTCTCGGGCCCGTTTATCCAACACGAACCCATGCCCGCCGCCGCCGGTGGCGAGGGCGCTGATCGGGGCCAGAGAAGTGTCGGGGGGCAACGGGTGACCGGTGTTTGGTACAAGCGACGGCGCGATGGCGAAACGGTGCTAGAGCACAGAAAGACGGCGCTAAGCGCAAGCAACGGTGCGTAGGCACAAATACGGCGCTAACCATACAACCCCATGTGCGCAACGAACTGGTAGGTGGGGTTCCGAGACCAGCAAGGGAACCCTCTGCAGCATCCAGAAACGCCGCGCACGATTGGGGTGTGCAGTGTGTAGAGCGCAAACAACGGTGCGTAGGCGCAAACACGGTCCCCAGGCACTTCCCGGTACGTGCGGGGAAAAATTTCTCCCCAAAATCCATTGAGGGCTGATTAGTACAGCGTGGGGCAAAAATTGGTCCCCCGATGGCATTGCAGAGAATAGACGGATGTCAAGTCGCCAGTCGCCAGTATCCCTCATATCGCCGCCATCTTTGGGTCGGATCGCGCACGGGGCTCTCGTAGCCCCTCATATTATCTCCCATAAAATCAAATGCATCTCATTTACTATTTCGCCGAAGTCGGGTCTCGCCGTGCGCGATCCAGCGTCGTTGGGTCCAAAGATGTGCTGGATCATATGTATTTATTATCGTTTATAATATACGTGTACGCGGTTTCACCCGCGAAGGTCGCTCGATAGCTCTCCCCCAAAGGGGGGGAGCCTAGTGGAGCGATCAAACTCAGGCCTGCAATCGTTCTAAAGTCTCACCAAGCCCAAGGACGCGCCCGGCAGCAACGACACCCTCCTCCTGCAACAACCATTCGACTCGTTTTGCCAGCTTCTCGTTGATTTGAACGGAGGTCCCAAGGCGATTCGAGTCTTGGCCTCTGACGGACGACGTGGTTGCATGTGCATCCTGAGGCCCTCGCCAAACGATCTCGACTACGCCATCGCACGCATCAAAATCCACATACACACGGTAGTCCGCATTCACAAAGACTCCACCATGACAGGCGAATCCATCCGCCTTGCTCTTCAGCTTGCCCGTTGTGTTCGAGACTGGGAACCAGATTCTGTATGTGAGTTTCGATGTGTTGTTATCGCGGTGGAATTAATTGGCAAAATCATCCCATGTGACGGTGATATTGCTGGCAAAGGAGTTGTCTGCAACGAGGTCGCCAAATTCCGCTTGTGAGAAGCTTGGCACGCGTAGTTCCTTTGCCCGCTTTTTGATGCGAGACGAGAGGTAAGGCGAAAGCTGATTGAGAAAGTGGATGTAATGCGCCTCGATCTTTGGTAACTCAGCTTGGAAAGCGCGCCACTTCTCCCCGCTGACGGAATCCTTCTTTCATGGTTGGTAGATCCCCATGCTTTTTCCCCGATCTGTACCCGCACGCCAGCCAACACCGATCATGGTACCAGACGTCTGGGCACCGTTTATTGTCACGGGGTAAGCTAACTGACGCTGGTGGTCGAGGTGGAGCGCAATCTCCTCAACACGGGTCCTGTCATCCGCTGACATATCTGCAAACGGATGAAACCTTGCCGCAAATACAATCTCATCCGTTTGCCTGTCGGCTACAACAGCGATGTCCTTGTAGAGACGGGTGTACGGGGGATCGTGATCAACTTCCCTGGTATATTGCTTGAGGCAGTCTTCGTGCGTAAGGTGCTTTCCAAACGGATGCGGGTTGGTTTGCTGCTCAGTCTTTCTTGTTGCCCAGAATATGTACGCACTGTCATTGTCGGAACCTGAGCCCGCACACAACAGTTGGTCAGTTGCGTTGTAATTTGAGACTGGTCTCCCAGCATAATGAGACGAACCTTGGTCAACACTTCTATGCTCAGCGCCAGCTCCAGCCCCAGCTCCAGCTCCAGCTCCAACCTCGGTATCACCCGCCGTCTTCAATATCCTCCGCATGTTTTCATTCTTTTCTCGCTTGCGCTGCCGGTTTGCCGCCTTTCCCCTCACCCGATCGGCTTGGAACGTCGTCCCGGCTTTGACTTCGACCCTGGCTTTGACGTTGATGCTGATTCTGTCATGGCGATTTGCCTGGTGAATGGAGTATGTGAGTTAGTTGGGTCATCGCGGGAGCTCGGGAATGGGTTTGTGACGTAGAATGGCAAACGAATCGCGAGGCTGCCCCTATTCCGGGTTGTCTCGGGCGATGGCTCAAGTGGATAGCGTATCGCAAGGCTGCCCCTAGTCCGGGCTGTCTCGGGTGATCGCGAGTCGAGAAGGTAGCGTATCGCGTGGCTGCCCCTATTTCGGGCTGTCTCGGGCGATCGGTTCTGGTAATGTGTGCGGCTTCTAATTCTCACCTGTAGTGTGGGGACTGTTACCTTGAAGTTGAAGGCGGTCGGCAGTAGCTCTTGTAGGTAATGCCGAGGGGAATGTCGGCGCTGGCTTGCTTTTATACCCGTTGGAAAGGACCCTGAAGAAAAAGTTCGCGCCTCGAGTGGGCAAAGTGTTTTGAAATGCTTCGCAGTCTTCTCTATTCACGATAATCGATAAAAGTACAAGTTTTCTTCTCTCAAGCGTGGTTTTGTTGGAAGATAAACAGTAGTCACTTGGGTCCACAACCCTACTCCGTTACCTTGACAACCATAACCCGGTTAGGGCTATCAACCCTAATCCCCAATCTCACAACCCTAACCCGGTGATAACCCTAATCCCCAACCCTAATCCCATGACACCTTCCGCTTTGCCACCAGCCCAGTAATGTAATTTTCCAGCACAGTATCTACAATTTTACCGTGGTCCACGCAGACTCGTCGATCAATTAAGCTGTGCTACGTATCACAGTTCCAATATCATGACGTTAGCGATATTTTTTTTAATAGAGGGGTATTCCTAAGTTAATGGAAACAAGGGAAAAGGAGGCCAGAGTTCAAACAGAGCTGTTGACCGACGGTTCAGACCGCTCAGGCAACAGCGCCATCCGATACTCGTGGTCCAGCCTTGCCTGTTCCAACGTCACCTGCAAGCGTGTGCGCTCAATCTCCATGGTCATGATCCTCTTGCGACACTCATTGTTCATGCGTATCAGTTCCAGTTGCTGCTGTGGCGTAAGACATCCAGCCGGGAGACCATAGGCCGTGTAATCTGCCATGTTGATGACGTCGCACATGCCGAGCTCTTCCTCAGATTTGAAGACCCGTAGTGACGAGAATGACAGGTCGGCGGCGGAGCTGGTGACTGAGGTGCTGGCGGGTGCGGAGAAGGTTTTGGTGAAGGTTCCGTGGACGGGCGATGGTTCCATGCAGGCCTGGCGGCTGGGGTGGTCGATGGTGCTGAGTCTGCTGCTGCGCTCCATGCCGCTGGTGGATGCCCGAGCCCGTTGTTGTGTCCAATCGATGGTTCGGCTGGGTGATCCCATGGATGTAGATGATGTTGATGATAACAACATGGAGGTGGATGTGCTTTGAGGTGTGGCGACGTCGAGGCTGGAATACTTTGGTGGCCCGCTTTCGAGGGGCTTAATTGGCGATAACTTCATAGTGGCTGACGGGCACATTCTAAAGATTGAGACTCAAGAGTTAGCCACAATGTGGGGTCACTGCAAAATCCAGCAACAGACTGTTTACCCTCGGATATGATCGAAAAGATCACTAATCTCCCTCTGATTGCCCTTCATGTGCATCGTTACGGCGGCACCGGTACGGTGAGCCTCCTCTGTAGTGGCAATCTTCCACGCGGCGCAAACAGCCAGGATGGCATCAATGCAAGCGTCCACGGCGCTTGGCATCACGATCCTTGCTTCGGCTTGGTTTCCTGTAGCCATTGGCAGTAGATGAGGGTAGGATATTAGATAACGTACGCTGAGGTGTAGTGATATAAGTTACAGGTTGGTGGTGATGGGATAGGGAGCAGAAGCGGATCCGGGTTTATATAGTCGCCGGTGTTCCTCATGAGCGGAATGGAGCCCATAGAGCCCATGTTGGTGCTAATTCCAGGCCTATTCCAGGCCTATTCCAGGCTTCGCGTTACCAGGCCTATTTTTGGCTCACCTCCCTTTACCGAGGTCAGGTCTATTTGGGATAAGGAAGCTAGGAAGGACGGCAGGGAAGCTATGGTTCTTCTGGAAGCTTACCCAGCGAGCGGCCCTTCCTGTTCCTCCAACATGACGTCGTGTGTCCTCGACCCTCCCTGTAGTCCGTGGGTGTATGTTGACAAGCCCTTGTCGGGGCCAAATAGGTGGGATCCTGGTAACTGCTGTGCGTGCGGGATTGTGTGGGATGTCCGTCGTGTCGGTTTGAAATGCGTTGCGAGTCAAAAGTCGTCCCAAACGCAACCTTGCGCACATTTCCCACACTTCGACGTTCTCCGACGGTGGTGAATTTTTGGATGCACAATCAACCCGACACGGCAGGAGTCCTCTCTTCCTCCTCCTGACCTCCTCATAGCGCTGCGTAGCCGTCCCAGTACATAACCCGTTATTGTATCGCGGGAGGCCTTCAGGGATTGACAACGGCTCCGAACCTTAAATATTTGACATTCAGCCTTGTAACGGCCAGAACAACATGCTGAGAAGCGGAGTAACTTCCATACCAGGGGCCGCCAGAGGTCTGAGCGGGAGATCACTCGCCCGACGGACGCACCCGTGCTGTCGGCAACGGACCTTTGTGTCGTGCGGCTTGCCGACCGCAACTCGGATACGCAGTGGCACCCTCCGAACCTCAACTTCAATATCATCCCCAACCCACAAGTTATCTACAATTGTAGGGCAGCACAACAGCACAGCAACCATAAACGCCTCCGCAACAACCTCATCACCAAGCACAGCAGCCTCCGCCGGAGCCGCACCACCATCACAGGGTCCTCTGGCGACCTACACCGACCTGCTCGAGCGAGGGCTTCTGAGACCCGACGCACACCAAAGGAAAACGGTCGAGCTTTTGGAAAACCTGTACCTGCGGGTGAAGGCGTACGACCCGCCGCCGGTGCAGCATATTGATCTGGAAGCGGATAAAGCGCTGCCGGCGCATAAGCAGCATGGGAGGGATGATATTATGTCGCCAGATTTTGCCTGGGCGGTTAAGCAGGAGGAGGAGACCTTTCTGTCCAAGGTAAGGGCGGAGTTCTTTCCCGCATGTCACTGTGCGTACCTGTGGCGTCTCACACTTCCGTTGTGAACCAGGTCTTTGGATTATTTGGGGGAAAGAAGGAAAAAGGTGTAGCAGACGTGGTAGAGCAGCGAGGACCCAGGGGTCTATATCTCTTCGGCGACGTCGGGACAGGAAAGTCCATGACAATGGACCTCTTCTACAACACCGTCGACATACCCCGCAAACGGCGCGTCCACTTCCACGCCTTCATGCAAGACGTACACCGACGCATCCACAAACTCCGCACACAAAAAGGCATCACCTACGACCCGATCCCCATCCTCGCCGCGGAACTAGTCAACGACGCCTGGCTCCTCTGCTTCGACGAGCTGCAGGTCACCGACATCACCGACGCCATGATCCTCCGCCGCCTGTTTGACGAGCTGTTTAAACGCGGAATGGTCATGGTGACAACATCCAACCGACCGCCAGACGATCTCTACAAGAACGGGATCCAGCGCTCAAGCTTCCTCCCCGCCATCGACCTCCTCAAACAGTGTTTGCAGATCCATAGCCTCAACTCAGGCATCGACTATAGGAAACAGGACATGGAACGCCTCCGCGTCTATTTCACGCCGTTGAACAGCACAACAGCGGCACATATCGACGCCATCTTCACGAAACTGGCCGACGGAAACCCCATCGCTCCGCGCACACTCACCGTCCTCGGTCGCCCCGTCGTCGTCCCTTTTGCATCCCCCAACGGCGTCGCGAAAATATCCTTCGCCGAGATCTGTGGCCAGCCACATAGCGCCGCGGACTACCTCGAGCTCGTCACCACCTTCCACACGATCTTGATTACCGACATTCCGCGCATGTCCATGGCCCACCGGAACGAGGCAAGGAGATTCATCACGCTGATTGATGCGATGTATGAGAATAAGACGCGGTTGGTCGTGTCGGCGGAGACGGATGTCGCGGAGCTGTTCTCGGGCGAGGAGGGCGGTGTGCCAGCCAAAGGGAATGGCGTCGCGTCTGTGGCGCCGAAGCCGAAGGTGGATATGCTGCTTATGGATGATTTAAAATTATCCACTGAGCATGTAAGTGTCGAGTATATCTTCCCCGCATTTGAAATCGTTTCATATAGAAACTCATTCATGTTCTTCTTCTCCTCCACCAGTTAACATCCCCAATCTTCACCGGCGCCGAAGAAATCTTCGCCTTCCAGCGCGCCGTCTCACGCCTCCGCGAAATGCAGTCCCTCCAATGGCTCGGCACCGGGTTGAAGGATACGCTTCGCGACGCTACCAACGAAGCTGTGCGGCGCGCTGATGTTGGCGTGCTTGTGAGTGAGGGGAATCGACGAGCCAGGGTGGAGGATACTGTGGGGAGTGTGAGAGCCGAGGTTGGGCGGTGATGAGTGAGATGAAGGATTTGTTTGACCCGACAACCTGTTCTCCTTTTCTGCAAGACACAGTATGCGTAGGTTATAGCTTCCCCTGTCCTCGCTAGATGGGGAATAGGAATACAGTTAGATTCCCCCATTACAAAAGGACGTGGACATGATGGGGACGATAGACAAGAAAACGAAAAATTCAATTCACGAAATGCGAAATTGGTGTCCTTCACTCGATGATATGTGACTCATGGTTATGCGATGAGGGGTATATATGTTACGTACATTCTAGATGCATGGAATGGCCGGTGATTCCCGGCGGAATGCCATATGGGTAGTAGTGTGTACACAGCAAGTACGCCAAGGAGCCGCGGCGCTGATGGAGATCATCGTTCTACGTCTAGCTTTCTAGTGCTCCCGTCACGGGATCGTTGTTCCAATCTGCAGGCGCGGTGGCTCTCTGTGTATCGAAGGGGCCATCTTGTTGAGCGCACGACACTCATCAAAACCCATACGCAAACACCGACGACACAGCCACACCCAATACCGCTCCACACAGCACGCCTTTCGCAAAGAGCTTGTCCTTTGGATAGAGCGGTGATGATGTCGCGGGCGCTATCGTCGGATGTGTCGAGAGGGTGGTAGATATTGGTGGGTGCTGGGATGCAGCCAACGCTACAGCACCACCACCACCACCACCACCAACACTCCCTTGCAACACCTCCACCCTCCGCCCAATACTCTGCAACTCCTCCAGCACTTTGCTCATCGCATGCTGCCCCTCTCCTCCCACCTTCATACCCTCCACCGTCCCTCCCTCAACACCCTCAGAGAACCCCAGCGCACCAACGATATCCTCCTTCAACTTCCTCCGCTTCCGGGGCTCGACAAAGAGCTGGACGGCGAGGAAGAGACAGAAATGGAGGGAGATGAGGCCCCAGGTCCACCAGGTGGAGGCGCGGCGGATCTTGTCGGAGTAGAGCTGTTCTTCGATGTAGCGTTCGCGGATTTCGCTGGGGAGAGAAGGAACGAGTTAGATACGATATACATACATAGTCACTAATGCTTCGGGAGGGGCCCAAATCATACTGAAAGTGATGTACTCACTTGAGATACTCCCTATGCGCCCTCTCAAACTCCTCCACCGCATCCTTGTACTCAACCTTCGCGCCCGTCTCGGCCTGCTCCAACGACAGATCCTTGCGATACAGCTCCGTAAACCGCGTAATATCGCTATCCAGCCACGTATCCTTCCTCTGCAGCAACGAGTTGAGTTCGCGCTGACATTTGCGACGCTCCTCGATCATAGTCTCATAGCCCTTTTTTGCGGTGTCTGAACGCCGCTTCGCGTCGTTGAGCTGATCGTCTTTTTCGAGGACGCGTTGTTTGGCGCGTGCAACGACGCTGTAGCCGGTGAGGGTGTTGAGGTGGGTGGAAAGGTTGGGGAGGAGGATGCGGGTTAGGTGGGAGGCGGTGGCGGCGGCTTGGGATTGGATGGCGGTGGTGGAGCGGGTGACGAGGGAGACGACGGGGGCGAGGACTGCGACGGTGGATCGTTGGGCGGCGGTTGGGGATTTGGAGGATTGAGTTAGGGGAGGGGTATCTTTCTTTGGTCGCTTCGGCTGGACCGGAGTGTCTGCTGGTATTGTAGGCTCGCCGGGAGTGCTGACTGGTGGCCGGAAATCGGCACTTTCCTCTGTTGTCGAAGTTGCGAGCGGAGCTGGACGGAGATCGAATGACGGTGATGGTGGCGATGATGCTGCTGGAGCTGATGGTGCCGATGGTGGTGCCGATGGCGTTGCCGGTGTTGAGCCGTCGACATTCGCTGCTGGAGTAGGCTTGACCCCACGATTTGAAAACAATCGAAGTCCGGAGCCCCTCATCCGCTGTTGAGCGAACCCCTTCATGCTCAGTTTCCGACACCGACTTCCCTCGCCCAGTAAGGCCGTCCGCCCTTCCAATCGGCACGGCACGAGTGGCCTTGCGAAGGTGCTAAAATCGCTGCTGAAGCACCGGGTTTCCGGCCGGATGAGAGGCTTGAAAGATCGGGTTATTGCGGAACGAGCTGCAGAGTATACTATGGGTGGTGAGAAAGCCGTGGAGGACGCTAGGACGGCCAGAGTAAGCGGCCTCATTCTGCTGTCCTTGAGCGCCGAGTGACCCGGGACAAACGAGGTGTGTATGTAGTGGCTTCCCAACCGGGAGTACCGATGCCGAAGGGAAGGGTGAGCAGCTCTGCAAGCTGGCGCGTGCCGGGGAAGCTGCACTTCTCGTCCGCAGAAAACTCTAGTAGCTCGTGCATGACGCCTCAATCCTCTCAATCCCCGCTGCACGAACGATATTCAAAACCCTCGATATCGACTCTTCGGCGCAATGATAGTCATCCAATACATCCCAGAAGAGCCGGCCGACGTCCTCGAAGCCAAATACAACTCCGCCTACCACTCCGACATGAACGAAAACATCCCCTGCGAACTCGACGGCATGGACAGCTGGTTCTCCCCCAAACTCGGAACACTCATGAAATCCTCTCCTTGGGGCCGGCTGGAGGTCGGCGGACCGCAGCTGGCGGACCTGATGGAACTCTCGCTGTTGGCCCAGTTTAGGACATTGAAGGATACCCTGTGGGAGAGCGATGCCGTCCAGGATGTTTGCGGAAAACTGCAGGCCGTCATTGACGAGCATCAGCGGAATACGCCCGGAGAATCAAAGGAGATCTTCTGCCGACTCAACGAATGCAGCATGAAAGGCAACACCGGCGGCGACGTTGTGCCCTTCCGCACCGCGCGAGACATCATCCGCGCCTTTGTCGAGGACCTCCGCGTCCACCAATGGTTCACCTCTAACCGCATCACGCGCACCGCCTTCCATCTCAGTGACTTCGATCCCGCGATCGACATCAAGAAGGAGTACAGGGTGTTTATCTACCGCGGCCGCGTCACGGCGATCAGCCAGTATCGCTGGTCGAGCTGCTTCCATGTCGCAAATGATGCGCTTATGACTGCGATCGCGGAGTGCATTGTGGGGTTTGTGGAAGGGAAAGTTATACCTGTGCTGGGGAAGCCGGAAGCGTCGTTTGTGGCGGATGTGTTTGTGGAGGATGAGGACCCGCGGCATTTGAAATCGTATTTGATTGAGATTAACAAGTTTGGGGGGCAGACGGGATGTGGGAGCGCTTTGTTTCATTGGAAGAGGGATGAGGATCTCATATATCGGGCGAGCGGCGAGGATGTTGTCATTCGGGTTCTCGTGCCGACTTTGGCAAATCAGGAGACGTCACCGTCATGAAAAAGGCTATCGGACGAGTAGAGTAGCTTTCTCCAAGGGATTTTGGGTTCAAGGTTTCATCTGTTCTATGGCTGCAAAGCAGACAGAGCCCTACCGTCGTCGCATGGCGTCCCGCTCGGGGGAAACCCGCAGGGCTCATATGACCAGCGGCCGCGACCGACAGTGGCTCTTCTTCCTTCGTTCCCTTATACTGCCTCCACCGGTTCAAAGACCATTTCACAGCCATATCTTCGGTGTTCACAAACGCGTGTCCGAACGGAGCGGACATCGCTGCCTCCCGTTTCCACCTCGGAGACCTCCAGACCTCCCCCCTTCCGGCCCATCCAACGGCGGCATCATCGCCAAAGCACTACCAGAGTCACATCGCACAGCCATAACCCATATCCCAGCATATCACCTTCGCAATGGACCCAGCCAACAAACCAGCAGCAAACCCACCCATCGCAGCACCGAAACATCCCGCCCACGAAAAACTCCAACAACCTTCCTCCTCCTCCACCACCCTCCTCAAACCCGCCCTAGCAGCCTTCAAACGCTCCGACTACGCCTGCTGCATCCGCATCCTCACCAAGGTAAGAACTCTCCAGTCCATTCAATCCCCATTCATCACATCCACCCACTCACTCCTCGACTTTCTAGGCACTGGAAACAGACCCCCAAAACGTCAAACTCCTCGACTGCAGGGCGCTGGCGAAACTCAACGTGGGCGATTGGGACGGCGCGCTGGATGATGCGCAGGCGATTGTTAGGGTTGATGGGTCGAATATCAAGGTAGGTGAGGTCGATATTGGAAAAGTTGGATGCGAGGGCACGGAAGTTTTTTCTGGAGTGGGATGGGATGAATGACCGATGATTGTTGTTCGCATTGTGATTAGGGATACTTGCATGCGGGCAAGGCATTTCGGTTGATGGGAAAGAATGAGCATGCTGCAAAGATATATAGGATCGCGAAGAAGAAGGTCGGCAAGGAGAATCCGCGGTACCAGGTATGTTTGCGGTGTACATGCGGCATTTTTCTGAGCTGATGTATCGTGCCTCCTAACCGTATCGCTTTTGGAAAAAGGACTTGGAAATGCTTTTGCAAGAGTGTTCCTCACCTGAAAGCACATCCACAACAGTAACCAAAAAACGCACATCAAGTCAAACACCCGCCTCCTCACCCGCCCCCAAAAAATCCAAACAGGCCCCGCAAGACCTCCCCCTCCCCTACGAGCTTTTCTCCCTCATCCTCAGCCACCTCCCTCTCGCCACCCTCACCCGCTGCACCGCCGTCTCCCGCACCTGGCGCGCCGCCCTGCACAGCGATAAACGCCTCTGGACCACCCTCGATTTCAGCACCCACGGCCGGCGTGTCACCAATCTCGCCCTCACGACGGTGGTCGCGAAAGCGGGGTCGAGGTTGAAACATCTGTCATTGAAGAATTGTGGGGGCCTTACGAGCGGCGGGTGGAAGTGCCTGGCGGTGAATAAGTGCAATGCGCTGCTGACGCTGGATCTGACGGCGTGTCGAGGGATTCCACCCGCGGCGTTTGTGGAGGCGCTGCAGGTGATGGCGCGCTCGCTCACGGCTGTCGATCTGACGGCGACAAAAGCCGACGATCTTACCGTGCGGAAACTGCTGGACTGCTGTCGAGCGTTGAAAGATCTCACGCTCGCGCAATGCGACGGAATCACCGACGACGCGTTCGCCATCTGCGACAACTTCCAGCGCAAACGCATCCCGCTGACGTTACAAACCGTAGACCTAACCCAGTGTAACATCACCGATAAGGCGGTCACCCTCATCGCCGCCGGCGCACCATCCCTGACGTCCCTAACAGTCACAAAATGCCCCCGTATCACCCTCACAACCCTCGCCGCCCTCGCCACCCACTCCCGCCACCTCACCGCCCTCGCACTCTCGGGCATCTCCCTACTCGACCCGCCGACCCTCTGCCACCCCATCGTGGCCACCGCCCTCTTCCGCGCCAACCCCTCCCTCGCATCCCTAACCCTGCCCTCATGCCCACAACTCGCACTCCCCTTCCTCCAACCGCTCGCAGCCCACTGCGCCGGTCTGACTCACATCGAGTTCGCCCAATCCGCCCAACTGACCAACGACGCCCTGGCGTTGCTCGCGGCGTCGTGCACACAGTTACAGAGCGTGCGGATCCCGACCTGCCCGCGCGTCTCGGACCCGGGCGCCGTGGCCCTGCTCACCCAGCTCACGCAGCTCGCCCACCTCGACGTCTCCAACAACGCTCATATCTCCGACTCGACGTTGGAGGCGGTTGTGGCACACGGCGCGGCGCTCGTGTACCTCGCGGTCGGGAATACGAGGGTGTCGGGGGTGGGCGTCGGGAGGCTGGTGGGGAAGGTTGGGGCGGCGTTAAGGGAGGTTGTGGTGGATCATTGTGTGGGGGTTGGGGCGGGCGCCGTGGAGGTGTTGAGGAGGGGGTTGGGGGTGGGTGCGAGGGTTCGTGCGCGGTTTGGGTAGGGTGTGTGATGGGATTTCATAGATGAGACGGGTGGATGGGGGTCGTGTGCTGCTGCAAACGACGGACTTGGTCTGCTTTGGGAACCCCTTTCCTTGGTCCTGCATTTCCTGCTTGACTACCAAACTCATTTCGTGCATCATTGTTCTTCGTTGGAAGAGACGCCCTTCCCTTTCGCACTTCCTATCTTGTACATTTGTCCAATAGCAATTCTCGCTGCTGCTGGATGCAATTCACCCGGAAACCCATGTACAGCACAGTTTATGCACACGTTGTGCGATGGCACAAGTCGAAAGCTGTTTGTGTGTTGCACTCAGTCCACCCCGGCTCGCGCAAGCGAACGCACAACGCGAAACGCACAAAGGTCTGAGCCCGAAACCCAACCACAAGTAACCCCGCACCATTTCCATCCCCCCAAAAAAACCCCCGAAGCACAGATGCGGCCATGACCGAAATTTCCCAGTCCAGCCGGTAGCCCTCCAAATACACTTCACAGAGGTGCCAAAAAGCGCAGAGGAGAATCAGTCTCGCTACGGCGTTTTCATCACATCACACCACTGACTCCTTTCCGTCTCCGCTCATCGCCTTCGTCCCAGCGTCCCCAAAAAAAAAAAGGAAAAATGCCACCACCCTCCCTCCGTTAACCTGCAACCCCCCACTCAAAACGTAACCCCCGCAAACCCCTCCCACTGGATCCCCACATCACGGTCCGTAAACCCGGGGTCGTCGTTCGCGTAGTAGTTCCTTCTTGGTGCCGGTAGGGCGTTGGTGGTGGTGCGTGCCCCATCGCCACCGCCGCGACTGGTCCGGCGGCCTCGGGGTGCGTTTCTTCCTCGCCACGCTCTGGGGGGGTCACGGAACACTCAGTGGGATATCGCACACCACGCGATCAGAAACCGATCAGCGGACTTACCCACCCCTCCCCCTCGCCCTCCTCGCGCTCCTCGCACCCGCAGCCCAACCCCTCCCCCGTCCACTCTCCCGATCCCTCTCGGCCTTCTTGACCCTCCTCGCCTCCTTCCGCGCGACGGCGGCGTCGTCGAGGGGTGTGGGCGCGAGCAGCCAGTCGAGCCGGCCGGCGGTGGAGGTCGGGTTTTCGAAGCCGAGGAGGGGGGAGAGTTGTTCGTCGTCGTCGTCTTCTCCGTGCGAGTATGAGAGGGGGTCGTCGACGAGGGGTTGGGAGAGGGATGTGGGGGTGGTGGTGAGGGTGAGCCCGGTCCTGTCGTCGCGATCGGCGTCAAGACCGATCCCATGGTCGTCGTCCTGTTCATCATCCCCTTCGTCATCCGAAGTGAAAACCAGTGCTCGTCCCTTGCCTAATGCCAAGCCCCAGTCACCCCAAAATCAGTTTGGTCACCCTCGAGACCCCGCCTCCGATCAAAAAAAAAGGGCAAGACCCCGTACCTTTATCCACCGCCCTTGTCACCGGACCACTCTCCCCAAACAACGCAGCTGCAAGCGCGTCCTCACCCTCACGCTCGCTCACACCCCCGGTCTCAGAAACCGAGTCCACTTGCACGATCCGCGATTCGCTGTGTGTCGCTGTCCGGTCTGGTGGGTGGGGATTATGAACTGATGAGAATCGGGCGTTTCCCCTGCACGGTACAAAAAGCCCCCGAAAAACTCACCTTTCACTGCAGGTACTGCATCCTCTTTCCGAAAAAACCTGCGAATGCCCTGCTCCTTCCCGCCGCCAATCACACCGCCCCTCAGTACCCCCTCCTCCTCACTACTACTACGTTCACCCACGACGCGTTTCCGTCGTCGTTCCGCCATCTCACTTAACCTCTTCGCTCGGTCGGCTTTACTAGCTTGCTGTGGTGGCGGCGGCGGGGCACGGGAGGGTTCGCCGCGGACTGTGTGATTTTGATGCGGAGAGGTGGGGAGGGGGGAGTCGGAGTCTGTTTGGCAGGTTGCGGCGTGGACTGCGATGGTGGAGAGGGGGAAGGGGTTGGAGCAGAGTGGGCAGTCGATCTGTTTGTGGGAGTGGGAGTATAAGGTCAGTCCGTTGTGCGCAAGAAGAGGGGAGATACGGATGCGAAAACTCGGCGAAGATAGGGTGAATACTTATACATACATAATCCTCTCCACCAGCTTCTCCTCCATTGACGTCGTTCATACCCATCTCCTCATCACTCCGACCTGCGTCATACCGCCCACTAACACCGCTCCCGTTTGCCGGTCTCCGCGGGTCCCCAGCCTCCCTCGGCAACGCTTTCCGCGCCGTGTCTCGCTTAGCCGTGCTGATCGGTGTCACCTTTGTCTGTTGTCGCTGTTGTGGTGGTGGTGGGAAGTCGGGGATGCCGCAATCGGAATCGAGGTCGATCACAACGGGACTTTTATCACGAGGATGACTATCACGCACTGTTTTGGGTGATACTTTAGATCGTTTGGGCGGACTCGCCGTCTCGTCAATAAGATCAGGCGTCAAACTCCGTTTGCGTTGCGTCCGCTGTTGTGTGGGTGGTGGTGGTGATTCAGACGCGGCGAGATCGAAAGGCAATGTGGGTATGTTGTCTGCGGTGACTAGCAAGGGAGGGGATGGCGCGTCGTCAAGACCGAGATCATCGCCAAGATGAGCGAAATCGAACCCGAGACCACCGGCGTCGAGATCGGGTTCAGATAAGTTGCCAGTTCCAGGACCATCGCCAGACAATCCACAAACATCGTCGACACCGACTAAACACTCATTCCCGACACTCAGTTCCGCAATCGGCGTCGGCGAGCGTTCCTCGTACTCCTCAATCCCCGCTTCAATCCGGTTCTCGATCCCGTTCTCCACGCCATCACTCCCCTTCGTATCCTCCAACTCCGGAAACGTAACATCATGCACCAATTCGCCCGTTAGACTCCCACCACTCATCCCCGCGGTTCTCGGGATGTGCATCGGTGAGGACAGGCGTGACGAGAACCGGTATGGGGATTGTGACTTGGCCGGTTTGTAGAGCGTGTAGAGGGATTCGATGAAGTGGGTGTGGCGGCGGCTGCGTTCTGCGGGGGAGATTTTGGAGGTTGATGGGGAGGCTGAGGGGCTTTTTGTGGGTGGTGGGCGAGATTTGAGGGTTGAGAAGGCGAGAGGTGGTGCGAGGTTGGCGGGTGATGGGTTTGGGTTGCGGGATTGGGAATGGTGGTGAGAGATGGCGGGTGCGGATTTGGGGATGGGAAGTGCTTTTCGTTTTGGCGCTGGTGTTCGCATGGGGAGTAGCATGCTGTCCGAGTCGTCAGGTGTTCGATTCGGGGCAGCTGTTCGCTTGGGGAGTACCACGCCGCTTAGGTCGTCCTCCGCCGTTCGTTCGTTCGCAGGCTTCCGTCCAGTCAGCACCGCGCCGCCCACTTCACCGGCCTTTCGTTTCAGCATCGCAGGCTTCCGCACAGGCACAGTCACCTCCCCCGGTTCATCCGCCGTTAAATCCACTTCTATCAGATCCCCATTCCTTCCACTCAACCCACCACCCACGGGTACGTTCTCCGGGCCCCTTTTCCGCGCAGATGCTAACCCACCCTCCCGACCCTTCCGCCCCTCTTTCTTGGCCACCGGCGTCTCAACCGTCCACTCATCCGACTCCGAATCCACCACCACTTCCACCGGTTTCCTGTTCACCGTCGTGCTTCTCCCAGTACTCCCATTCCCACTCCCACCCTCGCCACCTTTCCGCCGCCCAATCGGGGTACTCCGTTTCTTCTTTGGCGCCAGATCAAAGAAATCGTCTTCGGAGGGTACGTCGCGTGAAGGTAGTGGGAACGGGCTATTGCTGGTGGGTTTGCGTTTGAGGCCGTTGGTGCGGTTCCAGGTGAAGCCGGGTGTGGTTGTCGAGGGAACTCGCACGGTGCTGGTGCTGGATCGGTGGGGGGTCTTGAGGACTCGGGCAGGGGTATTGGGGGAGTAGCTGTCTGACATTCTTTTGTAGGTCGGTTGGGGTTGGGGGTGATTGTGAGGTTCGGCGGGATATCAAGATGGGTGGGGATAGGTCGCGCGGATGCGGTCCTCGACGGTTGACTTGCCCGGACGGTTCCTATGCTATGCGTTGGGCCAACGACCTCCGAAAGACAGCTGCCCCGACGGGTTCTTTCGGGGACTTTCTCAACCTCGAGTTGGGAGATAGCAAGCGGAGTCGTGTTGGACAAGGGTGGCTGGTGTCGGACGGCCCCGCCCCTGCAGCGAGCGGACGACACTTTTGCTAGGTGAATGAAAGACAGCCTCCACTACGCTATGGCTCTGTTTCCGTGAGGGAGAGCCATGGGACTTGGTCTGAGTAAGTCTCTAGTACTGAAGCGCCTGTTGAGAGTCTTGAGCCTTGTGCTGAGCCCGTCGTTGCGTGTCCGAAGGGTTGCATATGTACATACAGCACTGTCAGTGGGTGCTCTCCCTGCTCTTCCCTCCTTCCTTCTCTCAGGGTTTGTGCTTTATGGGACCACACACACACATGTACAGTACAGCGACAGAGCAAGGACGTCGTTTTAACTTTTCTCAGGTGGAATTGAGCAGCAACCCACAGCTCTGTGAATCAGATGGATCGCATGAGAGAGCAAAGAGAAACGATGCACGCGTTGGGCGTCCTCGGTCGGGCGTCGAAAGACACTTCTGCCCCCAATGCCTCCGACAGCTCGGAAAAAAGGTTTACAAAGACCCATTTCTACACTAATGATAGAAATGGCTTCCCACTGCAAGAACGTAGTGAGGGATAGTGAGGAACTGTCTTCAACTTTTGACACACAGAAATCCACTGAAAAGGAGTGCCGTGTTCTAATAAATTGAAGGTCTATCTTAGACCCGGGAATCCTGGCAGATTCAGCGCATAAAGCATTAAAGCCAGACTAATAAGGGTCTTCTGATTGAAGAGTAGGGGGATTGTCTTCATAGAATCCGTCGAGCACCAATGGACAGAACAAGCACGAGGCAGAAAGAGGGAGCCCATGCAGGAATCCGACAGACTCAAGAGTCAGGGATACGATATGCAAACGGGGGCCGTCGTCTACTTCTGTGCTTTGTTTTGATGGATCGACTTCCAACCGTCGGGGCGGGTGAAGGAAGAGCACAAAGGGAGAGGATCAGGACGAATATAGCAAAGAGTTCTCTGTCATGAATTTTCAGAAGCAGAACTGGCATAACTTTGTCGTTTCATCACATCCAACGGCCTTTTTGTCTTTTCCTTGGCGCAAGGTGGTTACCCCTTGGTTTGCCGTGCCGTTGTTTTCTTCGCTCGTGTGCCGAGTGCTGCGATTGCAAGTAAGGGTTGGCTCTGGCGAGGTGAGTCGCTGAGCATCCGGGGCTTTGCAATAGCAACGCAATCGGTTACACAGCAGATGGAAGGGCAATTGCGTTCCTGCTTGCTGTCGTTCCTTGCGCTTGTCCTTGTCCTTGTGTGTCGGATGGCAGATCGCCTTGAAAGTGCAGTCGGAGCGAGAGCGGGAAGAAAACCAACTGAGCCTTTTATACGCGATTCGAATTGAACGCCGAGTCTTGCCAAGTCACATGCGCCCACGTCCGCACCATTTAATCTCGAGGTGTGACTCTCGTAGTGTGCCCTGTGAAGCCGGCATGTCCATCACCCATCTGGCTATCCCCCCCCCCTTCGCATTCGCACAACATGGCCTTCTCAGCGTCGTCTCCCAAAGAGGGTATGCACTTCTCAGACAGGGCAAACGCTACCCTCTTCCCCACAGGTATACACTACCACTCGTGACCTCGTCCTTTCCCCCAGACTTCCATCCTCACCCTTCCCACTCAGACGACCCAACCTTAATATCCTTCGACTACGGCGCTCCCGGCCCCACCCTCCTCCCCACCTCTCTCATCACCCTCGCCGCCGCCGCCCGTTTCGCCCGCCCAGACGCATCCAACGCACTGCAATACGGGCCCGTGACCGGAGACAAGGAGTTCCGATATGAGCTCGCGCGGTTTTTGAGGAGGGAGTACGGGGATGAGGACGTGGATATGGAACGGTTGGTGGTTACGAGTGGGGCTACGCAGGCTTTTTTCAAGTGAGTTTTAGGGGTGTGAGGGGGGAGGAGAGGCGAGGGAAGAGCACGATTGGAGATGGACGCAGATGCACGCGCGTGAGTGGGGGCATTCCAAAGTGGGAGAAAGGCGTGTTCTCCAATTGGATTCTTCACGCGTTCTTCCTCCTCGACGTTCGACTAACGAGCCGCCCCCCAAAAGTCTAGTAACTATCTTTACAAACCCCGCAACAGTGTTCCTCCTCGAAGACCCAACCTACTTCCTCGCCGCCAAAATGCTCCGCGACCACCGCATCCCCTCCTCCCGCATGGTCGCCATCGAAACCGACGCAGAAACCGGCATCCGCGTCGACCTCCTCTCCACCGCCCTCGACTCCCTCTCCGCTCGTGATCCTCAACCACCAGATGTTGCCGGAACATACCCCTACGTCCTCTACCTCGTCCCCACCCACTCCAACCCGACCGGCTCAACCGTCCCCACGCCGCACCGCGAAGAAATCCTTCGTCTGGCCCGCAAACACAACATACTCGTCATCTGCGACGATGTGTATCAGCTCCTGCACTACGACACCGCCACGCCCCCGCCGAAACGACTTGTCGCGTTCGATGATCTGGCGGGTGAGACGGGCGGGAACGTGATCTCCAATTGCAGCTTCAGCAAGATCTTCGCGCCCGGGGCTAGGTTGGGGTGGATCGAAGCCCCGAAGCGGATCGTGGATGCCATCAAGCTTGCCGCGGTCTCTTACAGTGGTGCGTTGTTACCCCAACCCTATTGATCGGTTTTCCGCAAGACTAACCCCCCCGAATCGATGCGTATCCAGGCGGCTCTCCCAACCACCTCACCAGCAACCTCCTCATCCCTCTCCTCCACGACAACCACCTCCACACGCACCTCACCCACCTCCGCACCCAATACTCCGCGCGTCTCACCGCCATGCTCACTGCCCTCGACACCCATCTCGGATCCACGCCCGGTGTCAAGATACATCGCCCGAAGGGCGGGTACTTCGTCTGGGTGGAGTTACCAGCGGATGTGGATACGACCCTGTTGAGGAAACGTGTCGTGGAGGGGTTGCAGAGTGGGGAGGTGGGGCAGCAGCGGGTGACGTTTAAACAGGGGGCGGACTTTTCGATGAGTGGGGATGGATGTAGGAATGCGCTGAGGCTGGCGTTTGCGTACTATGAGCCTGAGGTGATTGCGGAGGGGGTGAGGAGGCTTGCGCTGGTGTTGAGGGCGGTGGGTGTGGGCGTTTAAAAGGGATGGAAACGGATGCGGGTTGTAGATAGATACGGTAGGTGCATGGGACGGTGAGGGTGTGCTGATGACGATGCGTTCTGTGAGATATTTCCCCTGGTGATGTGCGTATGAGATGTACTGTAGATCGACATTTTTGTGCGTTGTATGATACAGACTGTCAGGAGGTCATTGCTATAAGGAGCTCTCGTATAATCTTAGTCCACTCTCGCAATTCAAGTCCTGCTCTCAAGAGATTGCAGTGCGAGGCGATCTCTGCCGAATATAAGGGAGGAGGACAGTGCGCGCACTTACAAGCTTTCCGTTGCCCTCGGGAAAGATGAATCCGTCAGTTTCGCGTTTGTCATGTTTGTTTCTCGCGTATGTGCAGAACGTGACAACCACCGAACCCCATATCCCGGCCGACATTGTGGGCAAATCACTTCCACCGGAACGGACGACAAGGACCCCTCGCACAGCCGACGTCCGCGTCTGTGGGCAGACTCTCGTTCCTTGATGTGCTCGCCGCGGGAGGACATGGACACTGTCGGGGACGCGTCAGTTTCGCGTTGTGTTTGTCGCTCCTGTCATATATCTGCCCGAGTCGCTGAACAAAAGGGATCGGTTTTCTACGGGCTTTTCGGAGATCGTGCCGTAGTCGTCGGGGATTATGATGTGCACGGCTCGCTTTTCGAACAGAGGTTTTTGGGTGAGGATGCCTTCCTACGGTATGCACAGAGGCGCACCCACCTTTTACTCACCTTGCTGTGCTGCTGACGCCCGCTGAATAACGTCCTGCTAAGCGGCAATCGTGGTGCCTTGACCCTGAGGAGTAGCATCCGAGTGCGATGGCCACTTGAGTTGAGGAGGACGGTCCGAGGTGTGAAGTAACCTTTGGCGGATACTGATATCAAGCAACCCCCCGCATATCCACCCATCACACCGTACCACACTGCAAGAACGATATTCAAAGCCCACATCAAAAGCAGCCATGTAAAAAACAAAGAACCTAATCAACGCGCTTGGGGACTTTGGGGACAGGGGTCGGATATACAGGGAATAAGGGTAATAAGTGAAAATAGGTAGGGCCGGCATATTCACCTTCGGGGAGGGGGGGGCGACGATGAGGTGCGATAGATACATAGATAGATACAAGGATAGATACGAGATATATACAAAATTGGGGGGAAAACAAAAAAGAAGGACGGTATACATCACCCACGCTGTCGGGTTGATGGGGTATCAAGCGTCGGGCGCTTCGTTGATGGTGATGAGCGGCGTTGTGGACGGGTCTGAATCGCGGCGGTATCTGTGCTCCTCTTCGCGGTGGATCACGTCGTCGAGGATGTGGATGGCTCGGGGGAGGTCGCCGGCGTCTACCTGTACAAAACCCAAAATCCCCAAACGTAAATGTGAGAACTGACAGCAATACGAGACATCAAAACGAAACTGCATGGGGTGTGTGTGTGCACTTTACCAGTATATTAGCAGTCGTGTAAGTGCTAACATAAAGCAGATCAATCTGGCTCCTCGCCAACGGCTCCGACATCGAGTACACAATCCCACACCGATCCAACCCGTAATCGCTCAAATCGACCTGAATGCATTTCAGCGCTTTCAGGCTCGCGCTCGTGTTCAGGATGTGTTCCGGGAAGACCTCCAGGAGACCTTCGTCGGCGATGACGGAGATGCCTTCTTCTGTTGCGGTGTAGTTGAAGAAGCGGCCTGCGACGGGTGGTTCGGCGGAGTGTGGTGATGATTGTGATGATGGGGTGAGGGTTTCCTCGTAGAAGAAGACTTTGACGAGACTGAGGGCCCATGTGTCGATGTATTCGCGGTTCAGGCCGACGAGACGGACGGTGTAGCGCGGAATGAGTTTGCGGGCGATGAATTTCCCGTTTTGGAGGAGGGCGTCGTCGGATGAGGATGTTGATGATTTAGGGTTGGAGGGTGAGGATGGGCTGGAGTCCATGCCTGATAGGGCGGTAAAGGGTGTGTGTAGGATGTTGCGCGTGGGTGAGGACGAGCTGTAGGTGGCGTCGGAGTAGGTCGGTGCACCTGCTGCCGGTGTTGTGGGAGGTGTGCAGTCGAGGTCAAGGTCGTCGAGGTCGAAGAAGTGGAAATCGTGCGCTTGGAGGGTGGATATCACTAGCGACATCCGACGTTCTTTCACCTTTTCGAAGAAACAAAACTTTGTCAACCATCAACTTTCAACGAATCATCAACCCATCAACCCATTAATCCTCAACCCAGCAACCACCCATCAACAAATACGTGGATGAGGGGAGTGTTGCGCCTTGGGGGCAATGTGGTGCTTGCTTTGCTCGCAAAAGATCTGAGGCTCGCTGAGGTTCGCTAAAGAATGCGTGAGGGGAGTATTGCGCCTCTGGCTCGCGAAGCGTTCGCTCTGGTTGACCTCGCTGACACTCGGTCTCTCAGACTGACCCAATGCTCGCCTGGTGGCTCGCCTGCCTCAAGCATCCCTGCTCCTCGCTTCGCTCGCCGCAGACGCTCACTACGTTCACGGTACTCACAAAAACATAATCCGTCTGATAAGTCGACAAATAAAAAATGCTAACACCGGCCTTCGCCAACGGAGACGAAATCTCATTAATCCGCTGGGCCGAGTTATCCAGCCCATACCCCGAGTCCGAGTCCACCTGCATAGCGCGAAACGGGTCGGCGCATATGATCAGGCCGGGGCAGCTGACGGCGGCAAAGTCGTGTTGGACGGTGTCGACGTCGGCTATGATGGAGACTTCGAGGGCGTTCTCGGTGTAGGAGAAGAAGGAGGCTTTTCTGTTTTGTTTTTTTTTTCAAAACACTGAGTAAGGAAAGTCATGCGAGACGGAGGATACGGGAGGGGGAACATACTCTCTGAAGAAAAGGTTCTTTACGACGGGTTGCATGATCCCGTACAAGGAAGCCTTGGGGAGGGTTATGAGCTGCAGCCTCATGGGGAGGATGGTGATGCTCATGGCTCGCTCTCGTATTTGAGCCTCCCTGCGGAGGGAAGCGGTGGTGAGACCGAGACAGTAGCGTAGGGTATTGGGGGGCCTTCCTTCCTCCCGACTGGTTGGTGCGGAGTGCTTTGGGTCCGTTAGGGATCTATCCCCGCCAAAGCGGCTGTTGTTGTTGCTGGGGGATTGGACGCCGTGGGAAGTGGGGAGAGGGATTGAACGCCTCCACAGCGACGATTTCGACGCATCGGGCCCTTGCTGCGTCGTGCACAACCAGCAGCGGTGCTTGTCGGCAGACTATCGGGAGACCATCCCTCGGACGCACTGCACTGTATATGTAGGACGAACCGCCGCCGTGGTGCATCCTCCTGCGACCTCTCTCCAGCTGCAGCTGCGGTGGGACTTGTAACACCTCCTGACAGCCGCTCATCGTCATTCCGCCAACGGAAAGACGAACGTACAGACCACCTCCTACTCTCCTACTGCATCGCCCCGGCCACAGTAGCTACATACAGTACCGTCGCTCTCCAACCCCGCCCCCGACCCTCGTCTCCTCCGGATGCCTGTGCTGCGAAAGTCGAGCGACGTGGTGCCAGGCGCCTGAACCTTCACTCTTTTCCCTGCACCCATTAGGAGTGTTCTTTTCCTCCTCCTTCAAAATACAGCACACTCCCAACTTTCCGGGATAGATATACGACATGGACCCTCAGGTGAGTGTCCCAGCAGATTAAACGTCTCGGTTACCTCCCGCTGACACCAAACCTCTATGTCTGTTTCCGGCAGACATTCTACAACCGCCTCCACAAACGGCCCTCCCACCCGGTCATGGGTTCCAACCCCAACCCCAACCCCATCTACTCCTCCACCCACACCGGCCACTCCTCCGTCCCCTCCGCCGCCGCCTCCTCGTCCACCGACCTCCCGCCCTCCTCCCTCCGTCCCGAATCCTCCCTTCCCCCATCGAGACACCACCCCGCCCGCGAGCGGTCAGAAAGCTCCGTGTCGGTGCTATCTCCGAGCCTTGTGCGCAACTTACACAATGCGCCGATGACGCGGCCGGGGTTCAGGAACGAGATGGCGAGACAGCAGATGTTGGGCCCGCCGTCGAGGAGCCACTGGAAGCCGGACCAGCATTCGATGGGGTGTGATGCGTGCGGGCAGAGGTTTACCTTTTTGTTTCGGAGGCATCATGTGAGTCGGGGAAATGCGGGGGGGGGGGGGGGGGGGGGGGGGCGGCGGGTGGTTGGTTGGGGCGCCTTTCACCTCTAGAAAACGGCCGGCTCGCTGACCATCTCCAACCTCTATTTTCTCTCGAAATCGAAATCAGTGCAGAAGATGCGGCGGCGTCTTCTGCCTCCGCTGCTCCTCCCACTCCATCCGCCTCGACCAGGACTGCCAATACCACCCCTCGGGCGCCCTCTCCCGCGTCTGCACAACCTGCTACAACATCCTACAACGCGCACCCCCAAAGGCCGCCCCCGCGCCGTTCGGCCCCGCCCCGCCTCGCCCACATCATCATCCACCACCACCACCGCATAGTCATCTTTCGGATACGGAGAATATACCCGGACGCGTGGTGCCGTCGGTTGCGGCGAAGGCGGTGCCGATTGGGACGGGCGTCGAGAAGGGGCGAGGTGGGTTGGGCGGTGGTGCGAAACGGGCGGTTTCCACGGGGTGGGGGGGTTGTGGTACCGTTTCCCAGCTCACCCAAGTCCTTTTTCCCCCTTTTACAGAAAACGACAAAACAGGCATGTCCCTCATGTCCGTGCCCTCCGACTGGCAATGGTCCACCTTCTAGTCCCCGCCATAGTGCAGACCACGTTCCCCACCCACCGCAACCAAAACAGAAACCACCCCCCCCCCCCCCCCCCCCCAAAGAAAACATGTATATAGCCCCCGCACGTCTCGTAGCCCGCCCCCGCACTTAGTAGCTCCCCAGAGGAAGACATCCACCACCAGCCTGTTGAGTAGTGACCGCAAACGCCCCCAGGAAATGGGGGTGTGATGTTCCCCCCGATAGAAAAAGCGGCTTTTCTTTCGATGCTTTTGAATTGTTTTATATTAGAAGGGGTGTTTTGATCCGCTTTGTTTGCGTGAACGAAAGATGGGGTTTTTTGCGTAAGAGGGGACGGGGGGTGTGTCTTGTGCGTATATGCGCAGGGATGATCCACCCTCATATGCAAAAACTCATATCAAAGAAGCGGCATAGGGGATAGACGCCCTGTTTTCCGCCGTCCTACAAATCCTCGACGCCGTGCACGCCGTCAATGTCCTGATGCAGATAGGGCGTCTGATGACCGGACACGCCATACGCAGCGGAGGCGTGGCCGGCGGCTCCGTACAGGCGGTATTTGTAGATCAGGAGGCCGGCGAGGCCGACGGGGCCGCGGGCGTGTGTTTTGTTGGTGCTGACCTAGAAACCAAGTCGAGTAAAAAACGTCAGTGGGCCTAATGAAAAGAGAGGGGGGAGGAAGAAAAACGATAAAAGACGGTAACGTACCCCAATCTCCGCGCCAAAGCCATACCGAAACCCGTCGGCGAACCTACTGCTCGCGTTCCAGAACACGCCGGCGGCGTCGACATCGCGCATGAACCGCTCCGCTCGCTTCTTCTTCTCTGTCACGATGACGTCCGTGTGGTGCGATCCGTGCGTGTTGATGTGCGTGATGGCCGCGGCGAGGGAGGCGACGGTCACGAGGGTGAGGGTTAGGGAGAGGTGTTCTGTTGTGAGGTCGTCGGGGGTGGCGGGGGTGGAGGGGATGTTGAGGGAGGCGAGGCAGGCGTGGGATTCCTGGTCGGCGCGGAGTTGGACGCCGTGGTTGACCAAGGCAGCGGCGAGTTTGGGTAGGACGGTGGGCAATGCCTTGCGGTGCACGACAAGCGTCTCGGCTGAATTACAGGCGGCGGGGTAACTCGTCTTTGCGTCCACGACGACTTTCACGGCTTTGTCGACGTCGGCAGAGGCGTCGATAAACACGCTGCAGACCCCGTCGGCGTGGCCGAGAACGGGGATACGGGTGGAGGATTGGATGTATTGTACGAGGGATTTGGAGCCGCGGGGGATGACGAGGTCGATGTAGGTGTCGAGGGTGAGGAGGGTGGCGATTTGGGAGCGGGTAGAGACGAGTTGGATGGCGGTTGGGGGGATTGGGAAGGGTTGGTTCGCTCGAGTGGCGGTTTCGACGTCTTCATCGTCGTCGTCGTCGTCGTCGTCGTGCGTGACACCCGCAACCTTGTTTTCCGCCGCAAACTCCCTCCCAACATCCTCCAACGCCTCCCTCAAGACCGCAAACAACACCCGATTACTCTCCGCGGCCTCCTTCCCGCCCTTCAAGATAACCGCATTCCCGCTCTTGATCGCCAAACACGAGATCTGCACCACCACCTCGGGGCGAGCCTCGAAGATAATCAGCAGCACGCCTACGGGGCAGGTGACGCGGTACAGGTTGAGGTCGTCCGCGAGACGCCGCGCGAGGGTGATTTTGTTGGTGGGGTCCGGGAGGGAGTCGACGTCGAGGACGCCTTGCAGGAGGGAGGCGAATTTGTCGCCGTGGGACAGGTCGAGGCGGGCGAAGAGGGAGGGGGAGAGACGGCCGGCGTCTACTTCTTTTTTGGCGGCCTGAGGGGAATGGAGAGGTGGAGAAGGTGAGGAATGATCATCAACAGTCTACGACTGATCAACTCATCAACCATCAACCCATCAACGGCCATCAAAACGGAGCGGCGGTTTGAAACCATACCCTGCTCCCTCCGCTCGCGACAAGAAGGTTGGGGCGATCTGCAATCCTAGTCCTCCGACCTCGCCACATGCAACCATTCCTGCACCTCCGGCGCAGTGCGCTCGCCTTCTCCTCACTAAGCTCACAACCCTCAAGCATTCTTGCGCCTTCGGGGGGCATTTGGCTCGACACCGCTCGCCTTCTCCTCGCTTCGCTCAGAACCTCAATCATTCCTCCGCCCCCTCCCCCCTCCCCTGCCCTCCCTCACCTCCAAATCCCTCCGATTAGCCTCCAAAATCGCCCCCCTCCTCTCCGCCAACAACTGGTGAATCCGCCTCAACGCCGCCGACTTGTGCGCCGGGGTCGCGGACTGCAGGGCCAGCGAGGCGGTGCGGGCCGCTTGGGCGAGATGGGCGGGGTCCTCGGACTCTGAGAGTGTGGCGGGGTGGGTCATTGTTGATGGGTGCTGAGGGGGGTTGGGAGCTGAGGAGGGGGGGGGGGGGGGTGTTTATGAAAAATGCAACGCGCGAGAAGAGGCTTTCCCCTCTGATTCATACGGCTACTATTACATGGACCTCCTCTTTTCCAACCCTGGGGACGCAGAAGAGAAGACAAACCCCCGGTCTTTTCTCTTCGGAAGCTGCACGAAAACCATCAGCTCTCTCTATGGACGAAACACAAGGGGGCATCGCAAAAAGCTCCTTCTACGGCATCGCAAAAAGTACTCGGTGACCGTTTTCGCAGCTATTTCGCCCATGTGCAAAAATGATTTCCCTCCGCAGGGGGTCCTAGGTGACCGTTTTCGCAGCTATGTTCTGTATTTATGGGATATATCTATGATTGCCAATCTACGCTTCAGCACTTCTTTGGGAGTCATCGCAGACACGTCGAGCGATGCCCCCTTTCCTGATGCCTGTGTCGTGAGATCAATGATGGTTGATGGGAGGATTCTAGCGTACTCCCCCTTCGGGCGGTGTTCAAATCCCCAACATCCTCCAAACCCCGTCCCACGACCACGCCTTCTCGCCTCCCTCATCCCCCTCCTGTTCCGGCGTCTTATGCACCATCAGCAGGATCAAAAGCACCGGCAGATGCACCAAACTCGCAAAGAACAGCGTGCGCGCACTCTTATCATCCGGCCGTTTCCAGAACGCGATCGCGGGGATCAGCAACCCGGCGTTGACGAGGGTCGAGTCTAGGGCGAACCACGTCGTCGCGAGACCGGTGTACGTGGCGAGGTAGGATATTGGGAAGAGGGAAGCGGCGTACCGGAGTGCCACGCGTGCGTTCAGCGCTGGGTCCGTCACCGACATCATCCTGTATCCGGCTTTCGAGTAATCTGGGCGGAGGTTCCATGCAAGGGAATTGAAATGCGGGAACTGCCACGCGTAGAGGATGAGTGCGAGGATGTACGCACCCGAATCGGTTACTGGTGAGATGGAGTTTGTGGCAGCTGCCCAGCCCATAAGGGGGGGTATGGCGCCGACGATGGCGCCGGCCCAGGTGTTGGCGATGGATACGCGTTTTAAGGGGGTGTAGACGCAGGTGTAGAGGAGGATGTTGGCGAGGCCGAGGGAGGCGGTTAGTGGGTTGACGTAGGTGAAGAGGAGGGCGGTGCCGGCGACGCCTGCGCCGATGCCCGCGGAGAAGGCGTGGAGGGGGGATGCCGCGTGTTTGACTAAAGTGCGGGTGCGCGTGCGGGCCATTTGGGCGTCGTAGGGCTGTTCGGCCCATTGGTTGATGGTGTTGGCGGAGGCGGAGCAGAGGGCGGTTCCGACGGTTGTGATGAGGAGCGTGCTGACGGTTAGAGAGCCGGGAGAGAGCGCGTAGCCGGCCATGGCCGTCAGGACAACGAAGGCGGAGAGTTTGGATTTGGAGAGGGCAAGGTATATGGAGGGTGTGAATGGAGGCGCGGGCGACCAGCGGAGATCTCGAGGCGAGACGACGGGCTCATCGATCGATGGGGATGTGGGTGGAAGTAGGGGTGTCGGTGGAGGGGAGGTTGGGTCAGGTATTGAGCTGGATGTTGAATTCAATGTTATCGTCGTCGTTCCTTGTTGTTCCCCTGCTAAAGGCGTTCCCTCTGCACTCCGCGACGCGCCTGTCGTCGTTCCCACCTCCTTCCGCCCTCCCAGGGATCCCGACGCTAAGGACGACGCCACGCGCGCATCCGGCATAGCCCATATCCCACTCGCCGGCCTCGACCGTGCCCCTATGTTCGTCCGCCCACAAAGCCCCCGTGATGGTGTTTGAAAAGCAGCTAGGAATGCTGCAAATGGCGACTGTTTCGACTGTTTTCGCCTGGTGCCCAAAAATCCACTGAAAAAAGATAGGTTCCGGCTGCGCTCATCAGGTATCCTCGTGTCGCTTCTGTGCTGTAAGTGAGCGCATTCCGCAGGCCTCCGCTGATGCCGTTGTTGTGAAAGGCGGTGGGTTCGCCTGGATGCCTGGGAATTCCGCGCCGTAGCGCTACCCTCAGCAACGGAAATGCCTCGGCAAGCGATCCTGAACTGCAAGTGGGGCTGCCACATCGTTCGAACCTTCTTCCCGCTGTCCGACTTGTTCGAGACGCTGAGCGAGCGCCGGACGTGCGCTTTGCAGTTGTTGTTTTTGGGGCGTGGGAAAGAGGAACTTGCAAGGCCTAGTTAGCAGTCTGGTGAGTAGTAGCTGCCCGGGGGACGCCCAAGCCACGCGGCCTGCAAGCCACCCCGTGCGCCACACGCGCTTCCCAGACTCCCCTTGCCTCCCTTGCCCTGCGTTTCCCGTTCACTCCTACTGTGCTGCAAAGAGGTGTGTCGGTCACGTAGGAGTACTCACTTATCCCACGGATAGCAGAGGAAAGTGGCCAACGACGTGAGCTCCGTATCGCTCCACCCCAAAGCAACAGACCCGGAAGCCATGGCGACGGCAACAGCACAATACGGCAAACTGCACCTGAAGACAAACTTCAAGGTCGCAACCACAATCGAGTCCACATACACCGGCGGAAAAGCAGTCGTCACAGCCGATGAGCGCTTCCTCATCACCCCCGTCGGCGACGACGTCAACGTCATGGACCTCGCCACCGGCCACCAGGTGTTCAGGCTGAAAGGAGAGTCGGACGTCATCTCCTGTCTCGCCGTAAAACCGGACGGGGAACACTTGGTCAGCGCGAGTCAGAGCTTGCTGCTGAAGCTGTGGGACTTGGAGACGGGAGACGAGGTGCGGAGTTGGAAGGCACACGAGGCGCCGGTGATCGCTATGGATTTTGATGCAACGTCGACGTTGGTGGCGACTGGGTCGGCGGACAGCACAGTGAAGGTGTGGGATGTGGACGGAGGGTTCTGCACACACAACCTCAAGGGGCACGGGGGTATCATCAGCGCCGTTAAGTTCCACTCGGACAAGAAGCGTATTCGGCTGGTGTCTGGTAGCGACGACTGCAAGATCCGTGTGTGGGACCTGCACAAACGGGCGTGCGTCGCGGTTTTGGACAGCCACGTCAGTGTGATAAGAGGTCTCGATTTCAGCTTGGACGGGTCCCTACTGGTGTCGGGAGCGCGAGACAAGGTGCTGAACGTTTGGAATATGGGCACCTACGAACTCGAAAAGACCCTGCCGATCTACGAATCCGTCGAGACGCTCGGTGTCTTGCCTGCAGACTCGCCGTTTGCGGAAAAGGGGAACTTGGTGGTCTACACGGGCGGAGACAAGGGTATCATGAGGATATGGGACGTGGCATCAGGGACATGTCTCGCCACCCAGGCCGCAGAGGAAAACAACAAGCACGAGATCTCAGGGTCGGTCTACCTGAATAGCACGCAAACCCTCGTTGCAATAACCACCGACCAGAACCTCCTCTTCTACGATGTGACGGATAACCTTAAACGAGTCCGGCAGATCGCAGGATACAACCAAGAAGTCCTCGATCTCGCTCTGGTGGGCAAAGACGACAGCCACCTCGCCGTCGTAACCAACACCGAACAGCTGCGCGTCTACAACCTCTCCACCATGGACTGCGACATCCTCTACGGCCACACCGAGATCATCATGTCCGTCGCCGCCTCCCGCGACGGCACGATGCTCGTCTCCGGGTCACACGACCACACCGCGGTCGTATGGCGATTCAACGCTGATGAGGAGGAGAACGCAGACAACAGGTGTGTCAAGGTCGGCACCTGCGTAGGCCACACCGAACCCGTCAGCGCCGTCGCCTTCCCGCGCAAATCCAACGGCTTTGTCATAACCGGCTCTCACGACCGTACCATCAAAGTCTGGGACATCCCGATCACCCCCTCCTCATCCTCTGAACCCGTAAAACTAAAAACCCGCTACACGTTCCAAGCCCACGACAAAGACATCCAATCCATCGCAGTCGCTCCCAACGACAAAGTCTTTGCCTCCTGCGCCCTCGACAAGACCGCCAAGTTGTGGTCAACCGACGACGGCCGCCTCCTCGGAACATTCAAAGGCCACCGTCGCGGGCTGTGGAGCGTCGCCTTCTCCCCCGTCGACCAGATCCTCGCAACCTCCTCAACCGACAAGACCATCAAGCTGTGGAACGTGACCGATTTCTCCTGCGTCAAGACCTTCGAGGGCCACACCAACTCCGTCCTCCGCTGCGCGTTTCTGTCCGCGGGGATGCAGCTCGTGTCCTGCGGGAGCGACGGGCTCCTCAAGCTGTGGACGATTCGAACGAACGAGTGTGTGGGCACGTTGGATGGACATGAGGACCGGATATGGGCGCTGGCGGTCACGAAGGACGAGACACGCGTTGTGTCCGGGTCGTCGGATTCGACCGTCGTCGTGTGGGAAGACGTGACGATCCAGGAACAGGAGGAGAAACAGAAGGTGCATGAGGAGCAGGTCTTGCTGTAAGTGTCGCCTCACAGAAAAAATCCCCCCGCCTCCCCAAACTCACCCTGTCGTTATTTTTCCGTTTTTGTTTTTTTTAGTGAACAAGACCTCTCAAACTACCTCCACACCCGGGACTACAAACGCGCGATCCTCCTCGCGCTCCGCCTCTCCAAACCCCACCGCCTGCTCGCGCTCTTCACCGACCTCCTGCACACGCGCCCGGACCGCGACTCCACAACCGGCTCCCTGGCCGTCGACGCCCTCCTCCCGCGTCTCTCCCCGCCCAACCTCCTCAAACTGCTCACCCATCTCCGCGCGTGGAACACGAACACGCGCCACGCGAGGGTCGCGCAGACGCTGCTGTATGTGATTCTGCACGGCGTGCGCCCCGAGACGCTGCTGGGACTACGGGGCGGGAGGGAGGTCGTGGAGGCGCTGGTGGTGTATACGGAGCGGCATGAGCGGGCGGCGGGGGAGGCGGTCCGGGGGAGCTTTTTGGTGGATTGGACGGTGGAGAGGATGGGCGGGTTGGATGCGGTGGACGACGAGTCCACGGAGGAGGCGATGGAGAACGGAGAGGGGGATGAAGTGAGGAGGTGGATTGAGAAAGCGGGGGTGGGGAACGGGCATGTGCATGGCGCAGGGGCGATGTTGGATGGGTCGTCGGAAGGAGAGGAGGATGACGAGGACAGTGAAGACCAGGACGAGGCCGAGGACGAAGACGCTATGCAGGTCGACACGTAAACGCCCGGATGTCCCCGCCCCCCCCCCCCCCCCCCCCACCGCCGTACCCTACTTCGGACACTATGCCGCAATAACCGTACCGCAAGGGCCCGCCGCGCCTCACCACCCCAGCGCACCGTCTCGCATTAGGATAGGCATAGCATAGACAGCGCTGTATGTATAGAACCGCCAGCCCGCGCATCTATCATTATTTCTGTATTCATAGGGTTCATGTGTAAATTATATTCGGGGAGAAGAACATGAAAGTTGATGATTGCGAGAGATACCCAACCTAGTCTAGCTCAACACGCTGGTCCTTGATGCTAAAAGTACGCCTCTGAAAAGACTCTCCACACCCCGCTACGCAGTCTCCCCCAACACCGCCCCCAACAACCCGACCAGCGCCTTATTCTCCTCCCCGGTGCCGACCGTGATCCTCAAACACCCCTCGCACCCCTTCTCCATGCCCCTGAACCTGACCACCACCTGGCGGGCGGCATGCTCCGCCATGCGTTTGTAGACTGCGTGGGCGCGGGTATTACACGGCTTCCCGTCTCTCAACACGGGGATGAGGATGAAGTTCGCGTCCGTGCCGCCGCGGGGGGGTGCGAGGTCCGGGAGGGTGGCGAGGGCGGCGATGAGGGCGGAGCGCTGGGAGGTGATGCTGGCGACATGTTCGCGCATCTGGGCGACGCCTGCGGGGGACAGGGCGGCGCGGGCGAGGAGGGAGGTTGGGGTGGAGATGTTGTAGGGGGCTTTTGTGGCGTTGAAGATCTTTGTTATTGCGGGTGAGGCTATGGAGATTCCCAGTCTAACAAAAGCGTCAGATTTTGATAAGTTGACGATCCCCGTACGATGATGATATGAGGGGTGTGATTATGAGTTTGGGACGTACCGGATCCCCGCTAACCCGAAACTCTTGCTCAACGTCTGCGTCACCACCAGGTTCGGGTATTCTTCCGTCCACGTCGCGACACTCGCACCAGGCTCGCAGAAATCGATGTACGCCTCGTCGACGACCACGACGCCTTTGTAGTGTTCGTAGTCGAGGAGGGATTTGATGTCGGCGTGGTGGAGGAGGGTGCCGGTCGGGTTGCCCGGGGAGCAGAGGAAGAGGATTTTTATCGTGGGGTCGGTGCGGAGGTGGTGTTTTATCTGTGTTGGGGGGTGACGGGGGGGGAGGGGGGGGGGGGGGAGGATGAACGATTGGGAAGGGTTTGTCAACAAAACGAAAACATGGAAAAAAGGAGATGTGCCCGCCAGTAGGGTTTCGAAGTGTGTCCATCATCCTCTGGAGTGTGAAATGCAGCGATTTTTCGGAGCGCCAGCGAGAGGTCGGTGGGCAGAGCAGCTCGCATCGCTCGCAAAAGGATCTGCCGCTCGCCGCAGCTCGCTAAGAGCGGCAGGGAGGGGGACCATTGCGCGTCTGAACGCAATGTGGCACGTTCCGCTCGGGCAGAGTTTAGCTCTCACTTCACTTGCGTTCGTCCTCGCTGGGGCGCTAACACTCGCCGCTCTCCCACGAATACCCACCTCATCAACCCTCAGCTGAAACCTCCTCCCGTCATCCCCCGTCTCCAACCCCACCTCCACGACCCCCACATCATTGACCATCGCCACAACCCCGTACATCCCATACGTCGGCGGACACACCAACACCTTCTCCACACCGGGCCTACAAAACACCCTGACGATCAGATCAAGACTCTCATCGCTGCCAACACCCAGAAACAGGCTCTCGGGCCCTGTGGTCGGGTTGAGCGCGCGGAAGGAGGAGATGAGGTGTTTGAGGGTGGGTTGGTGCGGGGACGGGTAGCGTTCGAGGTGGGTGTCGGTGGGCGTGTCGGAGGTGGCGGGGAGGAGAGAGGGGGTGGAAGGGAGCAAGGAGGGGGCGAGGGTGGGGGGTAGACAGGTGCCGAAGGAGTTTTCGTTGGCGTCGAGGAGGATGCCGGTGGAGTAGTCGTCGCGGGCGCAGCGGTAGGGCTGGGGGTTGGTGGGATGGGTGAGTTGAGTTCATTGTCTGGCGTGCGCGAGTCTGGTCAACGGCAAGGCATTACCTTCAGCGCCAGGATATTGGGCCGGACGGCGGCCTCGAGCGAAAAGTGGTGGGGCTTCGTCATCGTTGAGGTTCCGTTCGAGGTTCCTCGTTTTCACACTGTATCGGGCTCCTTAAACACTTGTACGAAAGGCGGCTGCGACCCACACTAGACGAAGGAGTGACAAGCGAGGCAGAGGCCACTTCCAGTGGAGGGCAGATAGATATGTGAGGGAGGGAGGCAGGCGGCAATGTTGCGGAGAAAGGAGAGGGGGGGGGGGGTTGGGGTTGCTTTCTGGAGGAGTCAGCGGAGTCACACCTCCCTTGGCTCCTTCTCCGCCGTCACACGCGCGTCCCACTACTGTAACTTCCCATCAGTACGCTCTCAGAAGGGAGCTTGCGAACAACACAAACACCGAATCAAAAGATGTGCGCCAGTAGATTATATGTACATGGGCATACCACTCTATACAAGCGGAAATCGGCCGCTTTCGTTCATCCCCCAAAGTGTGAAGGAAGTTGGGACATCTCGTCACCCGCACCGCCCACCATACTCCCTCCCCACCTCTCACACAACCATCCCCCTCCCGCCCCCAAATTCATTCCTCATCATAATCATCCTCATCCCCCGCAGCCTTCGTCTCCATCGCCGGCAACCCCGGCAGTCCCGGCAGCGGTTGTTGTGATACTTGTGCTGGAGGTGGGAGACTCGGCATTGTTGCTGACGGTAATACAGGCGGTGGTTGGGAGATGTCCATTGGTTGGTGCTGCTGGTCGTCGTGGGTGAATGCTTGTTGTTGTTGGTCGGGTGGGGCCGCGCGGAGGGGTGGTGGTTTTGTTTTCGATTTCTACATGGAATGGGAGAGGGGTTGGTCTTTCTCGCCGTGGTGCAAAAGTATGCGATGGTACAGAGTGCATGGCATTACCTGCACAACGACCTGGAAGTTCGTCCCCGTAAGCGTATGTCGCTCTGGTGGTAACCGCACGCCATACTTTTCCGGAATGAGAGGCAGGGGTATCGCGTTGCGTTTTGCTGCCATGCTTTCCAAAATCTGTTCACACAAAGATGTACTCAGTGGCCTGATCGCGCCGACCTGCCCTATATCGAAAATTGTTTCAACGCACCTCTCGCCGAGGAGGACCCGTGAACGAATGCACAGACCGCCCTTCGATCGCTAAGCGGATGTCGTTGGTGTTGATTTGGGTGTGGTTCGCGTGATCAGCGTATGTCCTCGCGTCGCCCAGCACATCCAATACGTATCCTGAACGGGGACGAGCCGATAAGACTTATGTTGCCTCTCTTATGCCCTTCTGAGTTCCTCAATATCATTCCTCAACTCACGATGCATAAACTCCAATAACTGCGGCACAACCCTCGGCTCATATTCATCCACGCCCAACGCCTGCAACACCAAAGAGACCATCTTGGCATCTTTCGGCAACGACAACGCATCCTGCCGGCCGTGCGCATTCGCCGCGTCAATCAACACCTCGGCTTCTGTCCTATCCGATCGTTTCGTGGGCGCAGGCGGTGGCGTTGCTGCTGCCGAGGCATCGTGCGATGAGGATGTGGATGGATTGCCTCTTGTGCTGCTGCTGCCGCCGGCAGGCGCGGGGGTGGATTCCCGATCAGGGATGTGGGCTCGGTCGGTCCCATTTGGTTGGGTGGGCGTTGAGGGGTCCATTGGGACCGTCATCCCGTTTCGCTCTGCTTCCAACTTTTCTGAGCTACTCCAGGCTACGACAACGAGTCCTTAGCACAGCTGACCCGTTTTCGCCGGCTATTCGTTGTCGAAGCAAGTGCGTCGTTTCCTGTACTCCTCGACTACTATTCAAACCCCTGCGAATCTACCGGGCACGGTTTCCGTAGTCGCTTCGGTCCACCAACCGTATCACTCTACTTCTTTGCTGCAGACTTCTCAGCAGTAGAGAAGAATCCGCAGATCGCTGGGACTCGCGGCCTTCCTGCTTTCGTTTGTGGTTTGCAAAGTCGTGTTTCAACTGTGGGAAATAACAGAAGTTTTTGGCGAAAAGGCACACAATAAATCGACCGGGATTCCTGAGCGTACTGTACTTCACAAGAAAAGCTTGTTCGAAGCACCCAGTCGCGGATGAGGTCTTGATCCCTTACACTGATGAGCTCCTGGATGGGTTTGCCTTGAGTGGTCGAGCAATCTGACGAGGGCCTGCGTTAGGGGAATATAATTACAGTCACGTGCTCAGCGAGGATTAAAACGGGGTTGACGGGATGCCGTCAAAAGAGCAACGACGACGGAACTCCTCTGCATTCTCTGTGCGGAGAGAGGCGAGAGGCTGGAGGAGTCGAGTCCTGCCCCCGGTCCGTCCATCCGCAAAGTCCTCCTTATACACACACACTCAGCGGCCTGCTTTCTGCACCCGCCGCAACATAAGCAACGGTCATCCGCACTCGGAAAAACGGCCAGCCCGTCAAAATGCTGTTAAACACCCCTCCCCCACTTTCCCCCCGTTTTCATTCGCCATCCCCAATTATGGCAATAATGCCCCTCTCCCCCCCGTCCCCGAATGCACACATAAACGGCCAAGCGCTCGGCCGCGTATGGCAGTGTTGGCGAGAACGGCCAAGAAACCGTTTCAGGCGAGGGGCCCGCCGCTCCAGAGGAGTGGGAGTGAAACAGAGGGAGTAGACCGTATCAAGTATAAAAAGGCACGCCCTGCCTATCCTGCAACGGAATTCGCCGAGTCTGAGAGGAGATTCATATAAAACCTCCTCTTCGCAACAGAAACTTTCCAAATCCTGTTCAGATAACGACTTTCTCTTCAAATGCATCTCTCAATCCTCGTCCCGACCCTCTTGCTGGTCGTGCTCTCCACCCTGGTCAAAGCCCAAGACTCAAACTGGGGTTCCGAAGACTCCAAAGGCCCACCCGACATGTCCAACCCCGGCAACGACTTCGAACGTCCATCCGACTTCGGCGACGACAGCTCCCAAGGCCCGCCTCAGCAAGATCAAAGCTCAAACTGGGGACCCTCCATCCCCAACGACATCAACGGCCCACACCCATCCACCCAAGCCGACCCCACACCCCCACCCCCACTCCCGGCTCCCCCAATGCCGCACACCTCCTGCCGACACCCCCGCGTCCGCCGCGAATTCCGCGAACTCTCCGAACACGACCGCGAGCGGTACATCCTCGCCACGGTCTGCCTGCGCGAGCAGCCCTCCCGCCTGTCCACCCGCGAGACGCAGTGGGTCAGAGATGGGGTCGGGCGAAAAATCGCGATGCCGAGTCTGTATGATGATTTTGTGTATGTGCATTGGAGGGTTGCGGCGGAGACGCATGGGACGGTGAGTTCTTTGGGATGAATGGTTTTCGTTACTTTCGAGGCGAGGGGGCTCACTCGATTTTTATGTTGCTTTTTTGCAGCCGCAGTTCCTTCCGTGGCATCGAATCTTCATCTCGCTTTATGAACGAGCTTTGATCAGGCACTGTGGATGGGACGAGGGCATCCCGTACGTAGTCTCCTTGCCTACACCGCATCCGCAAACCCATAACCTCACTCTTTCTCAAATGCTCCCAACCCCAGCTTCTGGGACTGGTCCCACGACTCCCAATCCCCCGAAACCTCCATCCTCTGGTCCGCCAGGTTCTACGGCCGCCCCACACCCTCCACACCCGGGTCCTCGCCCGACTCTTCCCCCTCGTCTTCCCACTTCATCGGCGCCTCCAACTTCACCCACCTCTTCGCCACCTGGCCGTCCCCGCACCCGATTGACCGCAACTGGGTGCAAGGCCCCCAGGGAACGCTGATCCCCGCGACGTTCAGCCCCGTGGAACTGGAGATGATCACCGGGATGGCGCGATACGGGCTGTTCCGGAGCTTTTTGGAGACGTTGCCGCATAATCTGGTGCATTCGGGGGTCGGCGGGGACGGCGGGGATTTCGCGACCGCGCCTACGAGTACGAACGGTAAGGGTTTTCTTTCGAAACGGGGAGGGCTGATTGGGCGTCTTGCTTACTCTGTTTCTGTTGCGCAGATCCCATCTTCTGGCTTCATCACGGGGTAAGGCTCTCCTTCTCCCGTTCATGACTTGCAAAGCCTTTCATGGATATGGAACTCACACTCTCACCCCCAACCCCAGAATATCGACCGCCACTGGGCCCGCTGGCAACACCACCACCTCCACATCGCACACACGTACGAAGGCTACCCGGACTCCAACAACGCCACCGTAGACGACATGATGCATTACTCGGGGATGTACCCGGACGTTCCGGTCCGGTACGCGCTCCGATACGGGAATGAAAGCAACGGCTATGACGAGGAAGGGGACGTTTTGCCGGATGCGGAGTTGTTGGTGAGTTGATTGGCGGTCGGGTTTTGTATTTCGAGTGTTGGTATTGATGTCTTTCGATTGGCAGTGCTATAGATACTCCAACTCGATCGTTCCGGATGTCGTTATTACCGACCCGAGGTTGTTGAAACCGATATGGGATGTGCCGACTTCGAATGATGATGTTGAGGAGTTGGAAGGGCTAGGTCGGGATCGTTGGCAGGGGCAAGAAATTCAAGGCAGCGATGATGAGGGGTGGGATGATGGACGTCGAGGTGGGGAAGATGAAGATCCCGAGCAGGGTTGGGCGGGGGGTCAAGGACCTGGACGTCAAGACGACGATGAATGGCAAGACGGCAGCCGGACCTCCAACTCCGATACGGACGCATCTCGTAAACGGAGGCGCCGACCTCAACAAGCCGACGATCAATGGCAAGATGAAGACCGACGTCGAGGCTCGCAACGCTTATCCGCATCCCGCGACTGGCGAGCCAACCTCAATCTCGCAGCCTTCCCTTCCCCACGCGACGATCAATCGCGCCCAAACCAAAGCGGCCGTCCAGCTCCCGGTTTGGACGGATCCCCACCCTGGATGCAGGGATCGGGACAGCCTGGTGATGATCAACGGCAACAGCAACAGGAACAAGAGCAGAGTGGCGGTAGAGACCCTTTCTTCGCATCGGGCAACTGGGGCCAAGGTCAAAGTGATAATCAATGGCAGGACGGCCGGGGAGGCGCGGAGCCCAACTGGACGCCTAGCTCGCAACGTCCAAGCAACAACGACCAGTGGGATCCGACCAACAGACCGATGGGCGGGAATAACGACGTACCTCCCCGCGGCGGCTCGAATGACAGTCGCGGTGGCACCCCGCAGGACGCACCGCCTCGTAGGCCCGACGGCGGCTCGAACGACGGTAGCCGAAACCCAAGCAATACCCCGAATACGTCCCGCGCTCCGCCCCACACCGGCCCAAGCAACGGCGGAGCACCCACACCCAGCCAAGGTCAACCCGCCTCCACCAACCCCAACGCCAACCCATCAACCCCAAAGGACCCCAACTTCACCCCCCTCCCCTTCACCAACGGCCTCCGCCGCCGCGCATCTTCTTCCTTCGTCATCGGGGACGTCATGCAGATGTACCGGGAAAAGAAACTGCGTTCATCATCCGCAAACACGGCAAGTGTTGAGAAGCGTGGCGAGCACAGGTATTTCGCGGGATATGGCGCGCATGGACATCCGACGAATAAACACACGCCGCATGCGTTGGATCGGAGCGATTACTTCAATTTGAGGCATCATGGGGAGGTTTCGCGACAGGTGCGTTTTGAGGCGACATATACTCGATGATGTTTGATAGCTGCTTGCTGATTGAACCGCATTGGATGCCATGTTTTATTTCTAGACGATGGAATCGCAACACTATAATGAGGAGCAGATCGCCGCCGTCCGCGAGAAGGAGGAGTTCTTTCGCGATTTCGTGGATGAGGTCAACAAAGGTAACGGTCTCCATCTCCAGACATTTCATCATCGCAAAAACTCATCGTTTCTTTCGCAAAAAGTCCCAGATTTCGTCTCAACCTGCGCCCTCCGCAACACGCAATTCCTGAGATACCGCCCAGCCACTGATGAGGATGTGGAGAGGTTGTCGACGGTCAGGAGGAATGTTGTTAGGATGGCGTTGGGGAATATGTTTCGGGGGTGATATTGCAGCTCCGTATTAGGGCTTTTGCTGAGAAGGCGATTGGCTTTTCTTTTTCTCAGATTTAGTGTCCCCTTTTCCTTGCTTTCGAGGGCCTGGCACGCTCATATGTATTGTATCATATGTACGTAGCCGGTCCTGAGAGGGCCGGAGTGGGATACTTGACTTTTGATGTCCTATTAATGAATATCGACACCAACGAAGCTTGCAAAAAAACCTCCTTAAATACGTTTGAGAGAGTGAAAATAGAGACGGAGATATCGGCCTTTCGTCCTTGTTGCTGTGAGGTTCCGCCTCGGCCTCGTGCTTATCAGAAGACGGAGTCTACTGTATGAAGGACGGTGTCTCTCCGTCTTTATCACCTCTAAGCATAGAAACGGAAGAGATTCCTCTGTCGGCTTGGCCCCCTGCTTCAGTGGGTCTGTTGCCCCTCTGTGGCGTGAGGCTTCTCTGGTGGAAAGCGGTGGAAGATTGGACCGATTGGCCCCAGCGTGAAAACGGCCATCTTGCCGCGCGTGGCGACAATTCCAACCATTACAACTTCCTCTTCTCTCGTTCTGGACGCTCCCTCCACGGCCGCACATCAGCACACTCTTGTAGCCTGCCAGCCTCAGAGTCAAGCAGCCAGCCCACCCGCCATCCTCCTCATTTCGCCCCTCCACCTATCCACCCTCCCACCTGTCTCAAAATGTCACACCGGCGCCCCCAACACGCCGCCGGCTATGACCCCTCATCCTCATCCTACTCATCGCAACAACCAATAGGCGGCGGGTACGCAGGCGGCGGCGGAGGCGGACAGCCGTATCATTATGGCATGGAGCAGGAGAATGACCAGCATGTGGGAATCTTGGGGGATAAACTGAGTCAGCTTAAGCAGGTGGGTGATGGGAGGAGGGAGGCCGTGATGTGTGGGATGGCGAATGACGGTACGCTGCTCGCGAAGCGGTGGACGGGGTGTGGTGATGGAAGGTTGGACGATGGTTGAACGATACTCCGCTCGCGACAAGGAGGTGGGGCTGGCAGGTTGATAAGCATGGACGCTTACTGTAGCTCGCAAAACGACTGAGGCTTCACTTCGCTCGCCGAACCCTGAATGCTTGCCGGCCCATTGCTCGCAACCCCATCCATCGACTAACAACCACCCTCTCGCCTCCAGATATCAATAGCAATAGGCGACGAATTACACCTGCAACGCAACTTGATGGACGAAATGGACAAAGACTTTGACAAGACGGGCAGTTTCCTCGAATCCACGATGCGGCGGCTCAACATCATGGCGCGCAAACAGAACGGGCGGTGGATGTGGTACCTGATCCTGTTTGTGCTCGCCGTGTTCTTTTATATCTATCTGTTTCGGTATCGTCGGTGAATTGATAGGAGGGTGGTTGAAAGGCGGGACGGGATTGGATGCGGGTGGGATGCCGCTGGGGTGGAAGGCATCAGGATGTGATGGGGTACATGTGCATGCGCACGCATTATCCCATCATTCCATGGTCCTTTTTTTTGGCATAGAGTTGTTCTAGTTTTCCCGTCGTAGAGTTTCATAGGGGAGTCTGAGAAATGAGCACTTTTAGTACTGGCAGGGGAGAGTCCATTTGAAACCTCGCTATCAGGGAGGAAGTGAGAATGGGCCAGATGCTACGGACCAATGGTTGGTTCAGGTGTTGCGTGATGTGTGAAGGAGATGGGAACGGTGATGGGGAAATATGTCCGAGTCCTGCACCTGGGTACGTAGAGGAAAGATCCCATCCCCATTCTATTCGTAAAGTACGTATTTCAACGGGTGACCCCATAGAACAGGATGGAGCTCTCGAACGGAACTGGGACCTCGAGACGTTCCGTACGATAAGTTGGTTCCGGGAGCCCGTCAGACCCTACTCAGTGGACGGAATCTCTTAACTCTCTTCAGTGCCGAAGCTACAATTTGAGGATGAGGCTGGGTTCACATTTGGTTCCGTACCGGTATGACAGAAACATCCGATGCAAGCGGCTGCTATGGAAAGCAATGCATTGGCAATGTACGCAGTATAGGTGCGTGCAGGATTTACGCGGAGAGGGAACATCTTTGACGTGTTTCGACAGCGCGTATATAGTACAGATGCTGCAAAGCATTCGGGAGTTGTGGTACGACGAGACTACAGCCAAGCAAATTTCCTATGAACTGTATCGAACCAGGAGCTAGTTCAATTCTCTTGATTGTCGAAGAAAGAGCATGACAACCTTCATTCCCTCTCCGCTTCGCTCATGGGAGACAACGACGTTTTCAGACCATCGTTACTCCCGACGTCCACTGCGGTAGTCTTGATGATCGACAGTTTCCTGGGGGAAGTGAACCCACTGGGCTGGCTTCCCTTTCCTGCAGCAAAGAAGGGAGGGGAGGAAGAGGCGGTCAGAACCAACATGTTTTTCTGAGACAGTACGTGGAAACCTAAAAACCGGCTTTACCATGGGTCGCGAGCCTCCGATTGTCCTCAATAGCCCTCGCAAACCTCTGCAGCATCCCGCCAAAGACCGCCTGCATCTTGCCCAGCTCCCTCACAAACTGCGTTTGCTTCAGATACCCCTGCTGCAGCGCCGAGAAGTCCATGTTGCTCGCTTGCACCATGATCCGCGTGAGCTCGCGGAGGGGCCGCGTGACGAAGTAGCTGCTGAAGGCGGCGAAGGCGAGCATAGCGACGGCGATCCCGACAGAGACGCCGATGACTTTGTTGCGGGAGGCTTTGAGCGGCCCGAGGAGGTCGGATTGGGGGATGGCGAGCATTACGGTCCAGTTGATGTTGGTGGCGTCGTTGATGCGGCGCTGGGATGGAAAGCACGGTATGGCATTAGGGATATCAAACGGTTGATGAATGCGCCGCGGTATGGCCCCCCCCCCCCCCTTACCGTGTCAACAAAAAGGTCGCCATTAGCGGTCGAAAACGTGTTAGACGTTGCGTCGGGGATTTTCGCGTAGCTTTGCAGAAACGGTTAGCAGCCATGCTTGTCCAAAGAGAACACCGCCAAACAAAACCCCGCCAGCCTTTGCGCACGCTACCTTCCATATTTGGCGAGGACTTTCTGAGCAGGGATCTGGGAAGCAATGCCAAAATATTATCATCGGTAAAGCGGCGACATTTGCCTCGCGGGCAATTTGCTCACCGCAATGGTCTGCGTAGGCGCCGACTCGGCACTCCAACTGACTGGCGGGTGCGCTGCCGGGTTGAACAACACCGACTGGTCTGCATTGCTTGCAACAAGCAGCCCGTTCGCATCCCAAATGGCGATCACTGCAAGCGCATATCCGCGTGAAAATCAAGTAGGCGAGCCTGAGAGTCTTTCTTTTGCTTTTAATACCAGTGTTTGGGGTTGTTTTGAGTTCCTGAGGGAGACACACCGGCAGGATAGAAGAGCCTCAGCAACCCTTAGAGATCACGGGGAAGCTTCCGTCACGACTCGCTTTCCTTACCGACAGAAGATCCGAATACCGCTGCAAATTCGCCACAGTCTGCTGGATGTAGTCGGGTGCGCGGTTGGGTCCGGGGGTTCCGAAGGCGACGCCGCTCCTGCAAAATACGACTCGTCAAATCCTGCAGGTCACTGCCTGTGTATGCGCGACTTCTGTTACCATTGCGGTTGATTCAAACCATATAGACCCGCGAAAATCGGGGTTCCGTCCGGCATGAATGTCAGCGGCGCCCAGACTGGCTGGCTCGCCCATTGTCCGGCCGGGTTGGTCACCACCACCCCCGCGTTAGGGAAGGATCTGAACCGTGATCTCTTTCAGCTTCGGGGCGCAGTGTGAAGAGACGGCATCCATTTCTATTGACTTACGAGTTGACTGGAGGGATGAAAGTCGCGGTCCGGGTGGCCAGGTCGTATCCGGTGACTACCAGCTGCAGACCGGGGCTGTTCGGAGGCACATTGTGGTAGTATGACCCTGGGCCGTTTAGATGGGAGACGAACACTGCGTCTCTGCCGTCACCCGCGGAGACACCCATCGCCATGAGGAAATCGTATTGGTTGACGGCCTGCGAGTATGCGTAGATTCTTTTCGTTTTCCGGATGGGGAGCTGGTCAGTCACATCACTGTGCATCATTGTCAACAAAGCTGCAGTGAGGATGTGTGGGGGTTCTTACAGACTGTTATGGGTGATAAAGTCAATGGACTGCCCCGCATAAGCCTGCAGCGTCGACACAATCGCAAAATCCTCCGCATTCCTGTGCGTGGCAGCATACACAACACCAAGTGTCGAGGACACCAGGGAGACCAGCTGGCCGGCATAGTTGTCTCTAACAACAAGCAAGATGTCATCGACCGTCTCGTTCGCGCCCTGGAAGGCCAGCACGGCGACGGGGATGACGATGGCAGCGGCGGTTATGAGGGATGTTAGGAAAAGCAGCGCCGACAGCGGCATCGACAGCTGTGATCAGCTCCATCCCTCCTTCTTTGCGGTGGTGCCGTTGTTGTCCGGTTTGCCGCCGCTTTCGACGTCTGGGTCGTCTGGTTTTCCCGTCATACTGTTCTTAAGCGGACGGAATGAACCTTGTTATGACCAGAACGTGGTTGTTCTGTGCTGGAGTTTCGCAATAAAAATGCTCGGAGGACACGAGGAAAGAGTCTTGTTAGACGGAGACCTTGACGAGTTCGTGGGGGCTTTTATATACGAGGGCCCGGACGTAGGAGCGAGATGTCGTACACAGACAAACCCGGCAGTTGCGACCTGGTATCGTCTGCTGACATGCTACAGCATAACGAAGAAGGCCATCGGAGAAGGGCATGCCGGCTCCAGAAGATCGGGGTGGAATCTGTCAATAACGGGCTGAGTTCACGGGCTGAGTATCGACATTTTGAGCGATACAGCCTCGATCGGTAAGTGGCGGCTCACAATACAGCTCTCTTGACGTGATCGTTGATTTGGGGAAATGTGTGTCTACAGCACACAAATGTTGAAAGCGGTGCAATCGGCGCGGGTGATGAGGTAAGCACAGGGATGCGCCAATATTGCCTCGGTGACTTGCGGGGTCAATGCTATTACTGTATTATTCCTTTTCGTGCATTCTTCTTGTCTCAAGCCCAAGCTCTGACAAGGGCCCGCCCGCGGATGACCTCTCAAAAGCAAACATAGCAATTACTAGACGGCCATGCTTCACCCGGAGTCGCTTGCGAGCGTGCATAGACTGTAAATAGAGGGGAGTTGCCAGGAAGAAATGACAGATAGTGTCAGTTCCCGTCGTTTTGGATTACGCGACGGCTCTGTTCTGCAATTCCCCTCGTCGCTTTCCCATCGCTCACTGTCAACTCCCACCCCTTTCATCCCAATCCCACACCCAAAAACCCATCGCCCCGCCCCGCCCCGCCCGCATCATCGCTGCCATGCCCACCCGCAAAATCCATTATTTGACTTTGCCATCACTTGACTACTTGACAACCTCTCCTCATCCATTGAACTCATGAACTACGTTCCTCGTCCAGAGCATAGGGTTATTCAACCCACCCCAAATTATTCCGTGCGGAAGGCAGTAATTCCGCGGGGAAGGCTAAGGCGTTGCGTGGCACCCGGCCATCCACATCACACCCCAAGATGTTTTGCCCTGATGGTTGGCCACAAATTTGGAACTACTTTTGACACAGAGGCGTGTGATTGACTGGCTAGTAGATGTCCTGAAAAATACGAATTTACCAATGATCTCGCTGCTACCGGGGACTGCATCGACGCACCCCTCCACCCCCATTTTTCAAAAGTAATTAGATTTCACCGGCACACTCCTCCCCGCCCTCCTTTCCTCCTTCCCGCCCACGTCCACCCCCCTCGTCTTCAACTCCGGGATTCTCGAACCATAAGCGGTACCCTGTCTCCCGGTACTCGCTGACGTGTAAGGTGGGGAGTACCGCGCCGGGTCGTACGAGTTGGCTGTTTTAGCGGTGGGTTTGTCTGCGTACAGTGGTTGAGTGTGGTGCAGATCTTTGTTGTGTGTGGTGGTGGAGAGGGTCGAGAGGTACCGGCTGCGGTAGCCCGTTGGTGAAGGTTTTGAGGGCTACAACAAAAGAATATCGAGGGTTGAGTTATGTCGTCTTTCGATTGTTTGGTTGTTTTGAAACATACCTTCGCCTCAACCTCATCCAAAGCGCCAGTATGCCGTTCCGCCGCCACCGCTGCCGCAGGCGGGTAGGTCCCCAGCGTACTTGTTGCTGTTGCAGGTAGTGGACGGACAAGCGCATCCTCGTTCAGCTGCTTGTGGAGCCATTCAATCACTAGTTAAATAATCGAGAGTACGTCAGCTCCACACACAGGCACGCCGCAGCCCCGCCTCCAGCCCACAAACCCCCTACCCCGACTATTATCCTCAATAACCTTCCTCCCCTCCTCCACCACCCCCTCCAATTCCCCAACCTTCCCTTTCGCCTCCTCCAACTCCCTCCGAGTACTCGCCAGCGTCTCCTTCAACTCCGCAATCTCCTTCTGCTGCGCCTGCACGCCGGCCGTCTTCTCGTCGAGGAGTTTCTCTTGTTGCAGGGTGACGACGTTTTTCAGCTTGAGTTTCGATTTGGAGGATTTGAGGTCTGATTGGAGCTTGCGGATGATTTCGTTGCCCTGCGGGGGGAGTGGGGAGGGTATGCCCGATTACCACCGGTTTTTAATGGAAACACCGCTAGATAGTGTGAGGGATGCGGCCTTACCTTGTTGATCTCCTCCCGAGCTCGTGTCAGCCCTTCCTCTAACCGTGCGTTCTGGGCCCGACTCTGTTCCAGCGACTCTTCCAGTTTGCTCTACAGATCCGTCGCGGCAAATGAACGTGATGACACACAGATGAGGACACCCATTCGCCGCCAAATTCCCAAAACCAGCCCGCCATCTCACCTTCCGCTCATTCACCTCATCCAACACCTCCTTAACCCTCTTATCCTCCCGACTCCTATCCCTCCCCTCTCTCTCCAGCGCCGCAATGTTCCCCCTTAAAGAGTCAACCTCCGCCTCCAATCCCGCTTTCACGCGACTCAGATCCGTGTTGGCGTGGATCTCCTTGTCGAGATCCTGTCGCGTGATGGTGAGGTCGCGCTTGAGTGTGTCGAGCTGTTTGGTGAAGCTGGAGATGGTGGATTCGAGGCTTTGTGCGTGGGAGAGGACGTGGGAGTGTTGGGCGGTTATGGAGGCTAGGTCTTGGGAGAGGGTTTTGTTCTGAGATGGCCGGCGTCAGTTAGGCCCCTGATGTGAGAGAAATCATCCGTATCTGGGCATACCTTCTCCTCGAAATGAATCTCCAAGTTCCGCTTCTCCCGCTCGGCCGCGAGCCGTTGCTCTTCCCGCTGCCGTATAAGGTCCTCCCTCTCCCGCGCAGAGTCCTCAGCATGCTGCAACTGCACGCGGCTCATTTGCTCTGCATGATTCAGTTTCATCTTCTCCAGCTCCGCCGTCAGGGTTGCAGTCAGCGCCTCCGCGTCGCGTAGCCGTGTTGCTAGGCTAATTTCAGTGACGTCAAGTTTAGATTTCACCCCGCTGTTTTCGATCTGTTGATATACATGCGTTAGGCTGCTGTTCTTACACATACTTCAAGACCTTCGAAACTCCCACGGCCGAACCTTCAACTCCTTCACCAGCTTTGCCAGATACCGCTTCACAGCATCGTCGTTGCCCGGTATAAACTTCAGCGAGATGTGTGTAATGTTTCGGAAATTGTTGGTCTCGATCACTTGGAAGGTCGCATAGTCCAGATCGGATGTCAGCTGCGCTACGAACCTTTGGCGTCGATTGACAGCCGTTAGATGCGCTTTCCTGATAAGACAAACATAGGGATGCAGCCCACTTGCCTACCTACTTTGGTTGGACATCCCTCGAAGCTTTGTCACAAGCTTCCAGTAGTTCGATGAAGTTTACGGGAAACTGCTGGAAATCCACTAGCAGGTTCTGCTCGTCCTTCAGAGCGTGAAAGTCATCTTCGCCGATTTCGAGGTGATACAGAAAGAACGGATCTGATTCGTCCGTCAGCTGGAGCTCAAGCACCTAATGAATGGAAGGGCCGGTGTCAGCCTGGTCGTTGGCCAAGACCGGCCACCTTACTTGTCACACCATCACCAACCAACCTTCAAACGACCCGCATTCTTCGAAGCCAGGGCGACTTGCACAGTGACGTTCGAGCGCCGCTTTTCTTGGTACCCATCTCCAAGCCCGATGCTCAGACTTCCCGTGTGACTCCCGCCTCTAGGGGTGTTGATTCCACTTCGCGTGCCGGGGTGTTTGAGCGTGACGGGGATGGGGTTGTGAAACAAGATTTCTGTTCCGGAGTCCATCTTCGTGAGCCGGAGTGTTTTGAAACCTTACGCTGTCAAGTAGCGATAACGAGAAAGGAAGGACTGTCTGTATGTCCTCCGACGGGACGCCCTGCTGGACTATATACTGTAGTATGGCGGACTGGGCGTGCTGCACTGATACAGTACGTACAGTACGTATGTAGTATTGCTTGGAGCTTCTCGACGGGTGCCAGCCATGTCCGGATGGGCAGACGGACGACTGGCCAGAGTGTTCTGCATGGAGGCGTGTGCTTGGCCAGATGGTCTGCTCAGAGCGGCGTGATTGGCTGGCCAGATGCCCGCGCTGTGTCAGGCTTCCTTGGCGGAATGCCCTTTTCGACAGCGCGCCGCTAAGCACACCTCCGCCAAACCCTCCAGCCTTCCACCCGCCAACGTACTTTGTCCGCTTCCTTCCTTTCCCCCCTGATGTCATGCCCCCGGCTTCTGTCATTTTCGAATCAACCCAGCTCAGAAATAAGGCAGGACAAGAGGGATCCACGTTCGCCGAAAGCGCACGGTCAACAGATCGGTTTGCAAAAACGAGCACCTCATCTATTCGTTTCCGAAAACACAACCATGGCAGCTGTAGTTGACTCCAACACCCTGACCCCCGCAGGCACCAGCCTCACCACCGTCAATGTAACCCTCACCTTCAACTCGCCCACCAATAACTCTGTCGTCGGTTTTGGCGACGCCACCGCCCCCGACGCAAACTTCCAACCCGTCTGTAATGAGGTGCTGCAGGTGTAACCTTAGTGCGGGGAAGCGCGTAGGGCATGAGATCACGTGTAGCATAGATTATATTGGAGTCCTACGCTCTGGGGTGACTCCCGAAGGGAAGAAAAGCCTTCAGGTGGCGCCCTGGGAGGTAGAAACTCTAGAATTCTTTCAATATATCGAGCGGAGACAGAGCTAGCCTCTCGCAACGGACCTAGCATTATTACATGGTAGCACCACCCTTCAATATCTCTCCGGCAACCTACGATGAGCAACTCTCAGGCGGGTGCTAATACCGCCGTCAGCTATGCGATAGTTAACAATGACCGCTTAGAGCTTGACCCATTTGAACACCCGCATTGAAGGGCGCAACGGCTCGACTGCGATCAACGCCAAGGCGACGGCCCCGCAGAGCGTAACCGCCCCTTGCACAGATGCAGGGGGTCACCCCCGTGGTCGCCACCTGGAAGGAGGCACTCCCGCTCACGCTCACCTCGTCGACGTCGAAGCCCGGACTGTTATGGACGACGCGCCCATACCATAAGCTTACCTACTGACAGCCGCCAATGTCAACCGCCAATGTCAAACGCCAATGTCAATGTCAATGTCAGTGTCAATGTCAGTGTCAATGTCAATGTCAATGCCACTCCCCCTCTCTCCTCTCATTTCGCCAATCCTCCCGCAATATCGCCGCTCCTCCTCTCTCCTCTCATTTCGCCAATCCCCCCTCGGCTTCTCCACATCCCCCACTACTTCTCCATAGCCAGCAGCTGTAGCAATGCTCTCTACGCTCGCCACGCACGCTCTAGGAGCATAGCTGGCGCCCCCCCAGTCCCCTCTTGTTGTTGTTGTTCTCTGGCCTGCTGGGTTGCCTATCTGTAAATAGCCGGCCTCTCTCCGTCCATTCCCTTCCTCCTCAGCAGATCAACACCAGTTCTTCTCATCTCTTGTTGTAGTCCTTGTCTCTTGTTTCGCCAATACAATCTCTTGTCGCCCATCGCTCTCGCCTTGTCTTCTCTACTTCGCTTCCGCCTCAGTCGTCGAGATCATAACAGTCCCCATCCTCCCCGCGCTGGGACTTTGGACGAGATGGACCGCGCTGGGATACGGCCTACGGACCGCTCGGCGTTGTATGTGACGGGGTTGGCGGTGAGGGTGCGGGATCCGGTGTTGGCGTGGAGGGGGTTACGGTGTCCTGTGGATGCCAAGTGGGCGGATGAAGAGGGTGTGAGGCGGGGGGGGTGGAAAATCGAGTTTGTCAATTCTTGGACAGCGAGAAACGTTGCCGTTGCTATGGGAGATCTTCGTCGGTTGGCTTGGCGATCTGGGGAGGATGGTCCGAATGAGGAACCCACCCACGACACCACCACCATCCCCCTCAAAACACCCGTGCCCAAGACCGCAAATGATGACGTCAGCAGACGGCGGTCCCCCCCATCCCTCACCCGCCACCAACCCCTTCCCAAATCCTATCAACCCTCCACCAAATCCTCACAACCGCACACCCTCCCGACCACCCCACCCCACATCGCCACCGCCCTCCGTACCCTCCTCAAAGGATACGCCGCTATACCGTGTGCAGATAGCGCGGAGGCGGTACTGGGGTGCTTTGAGGTGGCGGGGTTGGTGTTATGATCTCGACGACGGAGGCGGAAGCGAAGTAGAGAAGACAGGGCGAGAGTGATAGGCGACAAGAGATTTTATTGGCGAAACAAGAAACAAGGACTAGAACAGGAGATGAGAAGAACTGGTGTTGATCTGCTGGGGAGGAAGGGAACGGACGAAGAGAGGCCGGCTATTTATAGATAGGCAACCCAGCAGATCAGAGAACAACAACAACAAGAGGGGACTGGGGGGCGTCAGCTATGCTCCTGGAGCGTGCGTGGCGAGCGTAGAGAGCATTGCTACAGCTGCTGGCTATGGGGAAGTAGTGGGGGGTGTGGAGAAGCCGAGGGGGGATTGGCGAAATGAGAGGAGAGAGGAGGAGTGGCGATATTGCAAGAGGATTGGCGAAATGAGAGGAGAGAGGGGGAGTGGCATTGACATTGACATTGACACTGACATTGACACTGACATTGACATTGACATTGGCGTTTGACATTTGGCGGTTGACATTGGCGGCTGTCAGTAGGTAAGCTTATGGTATGGGCGCGTCGTCCATAACATCACCCCTCTCTTTAGCGGCGGCGGCGGCGGCGTCGAGTTTGGTGTGGCCGCAGAGGAGGTGCTACGGGGACAGCGGAAGGCTTGTTGGGGTACGCGCTGTGGAAGTCCTGGAGGAGTGCGTCGGTATGGGTGAGGTGTTCCACGGGCTCCCAGGTGTTCTCGGAGTCAGGCCAGCCCTGCCATTTGACCAAGTACTGAAGGCGACGACAATGGATGCGAGAGTCAAGGATGGCTTTGACAACCCACTCTTCTTGACCCTCAACGGTCTCTGGGGGCGCGGGTTCGGGTTCGTGTCGTTCGGGGATGGTGAAGCGGGGTTCGAGGAGCGAGACATGGAAGACATCGTGGATTTTGTACGTAGGCGGGAGCTTGAGCCGGTAGGCGACGGGATTGATTTTTCAACGATGGGGAATGGCCCAATCTTGCGATGGTCAAGTTTCTGAGAGGGCCGGGTTGTATGGAGGTTTTTGCGGAGGAGCCAGACGTGGTCGCCAGGCTTGAAGTCCGGTCCAGGAATTCGTTTGGCGTCGGCGTAGCGCTTCATTTGATCTTGGGCTTCCTTGAGCTCGAGGGCGAGCTGTTCATGGAATTCCCTGATTTGTTTAGCGCGGGCTTCAGCGGCGGGGTTGGCGGATTCGGAGGTAGCAGAGGCCGCAAAACTGAAGCGGGGGTGGAGACCCTTGTTGGCATAGAAGGGGGTGGTCTGGGAGGCGGACTGATGGGTGTTGTTTTAGGCGAACTCGGCGGACGACAGAAGTTGTTTCCAGTTGTCCTGTTGGTGGTTGCAAAAGCATCGGAGATACTGCTCCAGGTGTTATGGACGACGCGTCCATACCATGCGCTTACCTCATGACAGCATTCCAACAGTCAGTCAATGTCAATTCCCTGTCAAAACCTGACATCTGCCAAACCTCGCAGCCGCACGCAGCCGCGCTACCCCACACCTGCCACTGCCTTCATTTCTCCACGCAGCCGCACGTAGCCACACCTCCCAACACTCGGCGCTTACAAACCCTTCTCCATACTTCCCCACGTACCCGCCCACAGCCTCAGCGTAGCCACCCCATCCCCAGTCTTCTGTTTCTATGCTTCCCCACCCTTGGCGCTTCTCTTGGCTTCCCTCTCATTCCGTACCCTTCTGCTTCCCCACGCTTCCCCAGCCTTCCCAGAAAAACATAAATAGCCGCCTCCCCTGAGCTCCCCACTTCCTGATCCCCAAGCAGATCAACACCAGTTCTTCCTAGTCTTGTTCTAGTTCTTGTTTCGGTCTGAATACCATTACCTGTCAACAACCTGCACCACAAGTCGCCTCTATTTCCACCGGCTCCGCCCATTCATAACAGTTTGATCTGCTCAACAACCCCCAGCCGCTGTGCCTCCACGCCAAATCACCATGTCCGACGCCCTTCCCCTCACGGCCGAAGCCTGGCAAACCATGTGCAATGCGATTGACGAACTTCGAGCGCAGAATACCACCCTACAAGCCGAAAAAGCGCAAACCCAGACCACTGCCCCTGCCACTCACGCCCCCGAACCCAAAATCAGTCTCCCAGACAAATTTGATGGCACCCGAAGCAAGTTCCGTGGGTTCCTCAACCAGATCCGGCTCATGTTCGCCCTCCAACCCAGGCGCTACCCAAACGATCAGACCAAGATACGAACTATTGGCACCTACCTCACTGGCACCGCCCAGGCCTGGCTGGCGCCCCTTGTCGAACAAGACCATCATTCCCTTACGAACCTGGATGATTTCATCCAGCAAATGCAAGCAGTCTTTGGAGACAGCGACAGGATCCGCACGTCTGAAAACAAGCTCCAGAACCTTCGACAAACCCATGCAGCAACAGAGTATGTAGCTGAATTCCGACAGCTGCAATGCGATGTGTCGTGGAATGACCAGGCATGATTGCCACCTTCCGTCGCGGCCTCAAAGAAGACGTCAAGGACTTAATGCTCACGATGCCCCCTACCGCCTCAATTGACACCGTGATGGAACAGGCCATCCAATGTGACAACCGATTGTTTGAGCGCCGTCTAGAGCGAAGCAGGAACCAACAGCCATATGTGCCAGTTACCACTAGCCCCACCCTCATGAGCCCCGACAACCGCCCAGACGACCCTATGATCATTGACGCTGCTCGTCCGCGAGGACCCCTCACACCGCTAGAGCGCCAACACCGCATCACAAACAAACTTTGCCTCTACTGTGGTAAACCCGGCCACATAGCCAAACTCTGCCCGAACAAGATACGCACGGCAAATGTCGCGGTTAAGGAACCTGCACCCATCCAGGATTTTGCCCAAGTCCAGCTGCAGTAAAGGCCGAGCAGCTGGGCAACACCTGTCCTGGGCCTTCTCACCACGCAAGTACTGCCAAGGGAGAAGCCA